ACGCGGCCGACCTGGTTCGATTCCTCCATCCCACTCTCGGAGAGACTGGCAAGCTACTGAGAGTATCCCGCCCACACTGCAGAGCCTGGCAAGCAGCTAAGCTCCCTGTCGCGTATTTGGTATGCCCAAAACAGTAACAAGTCTCACAATGGAGATGTTACTGGTGCCCGCTCAAGCAAATCGATGAACAATGAGGACGGTGCTACAGGATAGTGCTATTATAGACTAGCTATTCACTTATATGTTGTTTTATTTCTGACTCTGACCTAGTGGTTTGTTGGTCTGTTTTTATTCTAATACCACATAATTACTGTTGTTTCATAATATAATTTGAAGTTGCATATAATGTTCCTTTTTTTTTTTTTTTTTTTTGCAAACTAAGCACACCTTTATTTTGGATCATTGAGCAGCACAGCCAGGACCATCCAGTCCTCAGGGCGGGGCTGTTTCCCTCAGTTCTCCCTTCCCCCCCTCTCACCCCGCCCCCCCCAACATACACACACGGCCATGACATGCAGTCCTTAACCATTCCAAACATGGCACAGTCTGGAGTGCAAGAGCAGCCAAGGCGACCCAGTTCACCCTCAGTCCTCAGACACCAAGGGAAGGCTAAGCTTCAGGAAACCTATTGTGCCAAGTTAATAACCTTCCCCGGGCCCAGAGAAGTGCCAGTTTCCTTGAGCAGGAGTGGAGGAGAGAGGGGAGTAGGCACACACTGAAAAGTATAGTAAAAAAAGTAAAAAAGTGTAGTAAAAAAGGAGAGTAGGCATGCTCTAAAAAACCTCCATGCATATTTTTGTATTGTTCTTTTTTTCTTAAATCATGCCATTGGGGTTTTTTTTTGTTTTGTTTTTTGGGGTTTTTTTTTGCCTTTGGTATTTTGATAAGGGTTGTGTTGAATCTGTAATTTCCTTTAGGTAAGATGGCCATTTTAATGGTTTATTCTTCCAATCCTGTTTTTCATTTCATTGTCATTTAGTAATATCTTACAGTTGTCAGTGTATTGGTCTTTCAGTTCTTCTGTTTGGTTTACTCCCAGGTTTTTTTTTTTTAATCTCTTCTGTTGTAATTGTGAGACTTTTCTTAGTTTTCCTTTCCTAAAATAACAAATTTCGTTTTCTGTCACTTGACTGAACTCATTACATTATATAGAGCCCACGTGGGTGGTGCTGGGGAAGTCAGGGATCATTCTGGTGGTGCTTGGCAGATGGTGCATGCTTAGCTCTTCAGTGCTTAGGCCTGATGCTGCAGTGCTTCAGTGCTTGAAGTCCACAGGTGGTACTTGAAAGTGCTGGGGATCTAAGTCTGGTTTTTTTTTTTAATGTTCAACTTCTGATAGTTGTGAGATTGAGTCTGTATGTTATGCTATTCATGTTAGTTTTAATTTCATTCATTGTGCTCTTAATTCCAGCATCGAGTTGGAATTAAGAATTTTCTCCAGGGGCTGGAGAGATAGTACGGTAGTAGGTAGACCTTGCGTGCAGCTGGCCTGGGCTCAGTTCCTGGCTTCACTTATGAAGCCTCTCCAGGAGTGTTACCTGAGCTTAGAGCCAGGACTAAGCCTGACCATTACTGGCTGTGACCCAAAAACGAAATACAGATTTTCTCCAGACTCTGGTGAAGTAATGCTGGTACTCATATAGCTTTTTTGTAATAATTTTTCCTGTGGTTGATTTCTGGTTGTACTTTAGAAAGGAGCTTTGTTTGCCAGAATTTAGTCCACCATTTTACTGGAAGTGGTAAGGTTTATCTTGATTATTTTAAATAGCTGCTGTGAGTTCCATTTTTTTGTTAATAACTAAGTGGATTTGTTTAAGCTTGTTGCGGAGCAGTCCTCCCCAAGTCCTCTCGAATTTTGAAAATCCTTTGACGGGATCATCTTCCCTAGCTTCTAAAGGATCTCAGCCTCCCTCGATCATTTCCTACAGCTTCCTTTCCAAGGAGCCCACCTCCCGACCCTTGAGGCCATTGGCCAGGGGAGAGCTGGGTAGCTGGTATGTTGTAGTCAGCTATTGAGAGTTTAAATGGATTATTTTCTAGCTCTTTAGACTTTCATGTCATATTATTTCCTCGTTGCCCACCTTATTTCAGAGAATTTCTTTCCCATTCTTTTTCCCTTTTCTTACTCTGAGCAGCTGCCGTAGGCTTTTTGCATAGAAATGCAGTATTCTCTGCTACAACCGTCCCTTTGATGTCTTGTTCCTTTTACATACTTCCGTATATAATTTATTCTTATAATCTAGTCCACTGATGTACCTAAAGCGGCACACATGTGTTTGATTTTAACATACTTGCTGGTATTCTCTTGTACACGTGCTTAACCTCCGCCCCTCTTTGAGAGCCTGGCAAGCTACCGGGAGTGTCCCACCCGTGTGGCAGAGCCTGGCAAGCTACCCGTGGCATATTCGATCTGCCAAAAACAGTAACAATAACGGGCCTCATTCCCCTGACACTGAAAGAGCCCCCTGTACGGCAGCGTTGGGTAGGACAAGTAAGGAGAGGCTGCTAAAATCTCAAGGCTGGAACGAATAGAGACGTTATTGGGGCCTGCTCAAGTAAATTGATAAACAATGGAATGACAGTGATACAGTGATAGAGTTTACACAGGAGATTTTAAACTTAGGGCTGGATCAATAGCACAGTGGGTAGGGCTTTGCCTTATATGCGGCCAACCTGAGTTCGATTCCCAGCATCTCATAAGGTCCCCTGAGCACCACCAGGGGTAATTCCTGAGTGTAGAGCCAGGAGTAACCCCTGTTCATTGCCGGGTGTGACCCAAAAAGCAAAAAAAAAAAACAAAACAAAGAGATTTTAAACTTAATTTTCAGGGTATTTTGTAAATATTATTTAAAAGATATTTAGCTGAGGAAAATTACTTTGTATTAAAGAAGTCTAGGGAAATGTGATGACTACATTGCAGTGTAAAACTTGAAAAAACCCTCAAGGACTTTATTTGCTCAGTTTTTAAAAAGGGGATAAAGGATAAAAAAGGATAAGGCTAGAGATATATGTCAGCAGTAAACCACTTGAATCTGTGAAACCCTGTGTTTGATCTCTCCCTGGAATAGCAAGAAGGAGAGAGAGAGAAAATACAATTGTTAAGTTTAGTGGTTTTATAAGTAGCACTGTAGGACTGTCCTCTCGTTGTTCATCGATTTGCTCGAGCGGGTCCAGTAACATCGCCATTATGAGACTTGTTGTTACTGTGTTTGGCGTATCGAATACATGATGGGTAGCTTGCCAGGCTTTGCCTTGTGGGCGAGATACTCTCAGTAGCTTGCCGGGCTCTCTGAGAGGGGTGGAGGAATCAAACTTGGGTCTGCCAGGTCGGCCGCATGCAAGGTGAATGCCCTACCGCTGTTCTATTATAGCTCCAGCCCATATGATTATTTAAGAGGATGCCTTTGTTCTTAGGAAATGGACATTGAAGTATTTAGGGATGAAAAATGACGATATATAACTTATTCAATGATTTAGGAAATATTTTTCCATATGATAAAGAAAATGGTATAAATATTAACATGAAGAATTTAGGTAATATATAGGAGTTCTCTGAAATTTTTACTATCTGGAAGTTTGAAATTATTTCCAAGTAAAAAGCTTAAAGAAAAGTCTTTACTATAAAGTATAGAAATTATGTTGAAAATAGTTACATTTTTTACTTACCAAAATAAACTCAAAAAGGATTTAAAAAAAAGAAATTTACTTTTTAAGTTGTTCCCACTAAAAATATATTTAAATTCCTTTGGAATTAATTTTTTCCCCCCCAAATACTTTCACACGTAGATCATGGTACTATTGATCTCTCTAACAAAGAATCTCTCTTTGTTAGGTCTTACAATCAGCTGTGGTCATCAATGTAGATCTTTTGTTCTATATTTCCTTATTGGATTTTAATAAAAATTTAATGCATTTCATGAAATTAATCACATCTATTCAGTATTGAATGTGTTTGATCTAAGTTAATTTGAATATAGATGCCTAGCTTTCTACACTGGGACTTTTGATCCATTAGCCATAATATAGACTTTCATATGTTTTATTCTCATAAATTTCCTCCCAGAAATGTTTTGTTATTTTGTGTATAGAAGTCTTGTCATATCTTTTGTTAACTTTTAAAGAATAATATCATGGTGATAGTTTTTAAACATCTTTTTAGTCATACATGAGTTTTTACATTTGAAATATGATATAATTTTTAGGATTTTCTTTAATTATACTGAAAGATGGGAGAGAAGAGATGGTAAAATGAACTTTGACTATAGTTTGATAATTGTTGAAAATAGTGGATAGATGGGTTAATATATTCCTTGCATATGTGTTAAGTTAGAAATTCATAAAAAATAGTTTTTAGTAACATGATTAAAAATAATGCAGTGATTGAAGTAGATCGAAGCCCAAAATATCAGAATCCAAAATTTAGTACTGTATCTTTTTATGTACCCTCATAGGTACCAGTCCATTATTCTGAAAATCATTGTCAAATGACCTTCTTTTTAGTACAGATATTGTATTGTATGATAGCCAGATCATTACAGAGTTTACCTTTAAAGTCGGTTGCAACTGATAAATTCTGTAGAATAGTAGGATTAGGAACTCACCAGAGCAACTTATAATGAAATGATAGATCTTGATTATGATTGGCCAGTGATGAATATGGTGTTGGTTAAAAGTCTGTTGGGAAACGGATGTAGTACAATTGATAGACCAAGATGGAGTTAGACTTCTCTAAGTGATTAGAATTTAAAACTCTTAAATTGAATCAAAAAAGAAACTACCCGAAGGCACTGAAAATTACTGATGATGAAATTGAAAAGCAAAGTCATAGCTGGAAAGATAACTTGTCTGATAATGATTTAACCTGTTGTTTTCTTCCATGACTTTGATGTGGCTTTGACTGAATGGTGGATGTAGCAGTTAGCAAAAATTCTAAGAGAAATAGCTATTTCTAGCTGGAGGACAAGGAATCGGGGTCCCCATTTTTCTTTTTCTTTTCCAAGCCTGCCTTGAGACCATCTCCACCTGTAAAGTTGCATTGCCATGATGGCACAAGCATTTAAACCCCCGAGAGAAAATCATTTCTCTGGCCAGAGGAATTGGGAAAGAGGCCCCTGGACACTGGAGTATGCTGGGGAAATCTCAGAGAGAAGAGAACTGATGTGAGAGGAGATTTCCTAATTGTGAGTATACATACACCCACAAAAGTACCACCTCATTTTGAGCAGCACATGCACAAAACAAATCTAGAGGAACACAGAAAAGACTTAGAATTAAGCTACAGTGTAAACAACTACTCAAACCAGATCAAACTAGGTGATGATGCATGCAGAGGATAAACCCTAATAACAAACACAGCTAAGGCCTTACAGACTGACTTGATACCAAAATTACTGTTCATAGAATGCAGTACTGCATTCTAAACTTTTAAACATGGCCTAAACATTTAAAAAGTCAAATTCTGCAAAAAAAAATAGAACCTAGAATTGGCATGAAAAGAAACAGGAAAATCTCGCCACCTTTTTGTTCTGATGTGGTGGTTGAGGAGGTTGAGGACCTCCCAAGCACTGCTTATGGGACTAGGAGCCCCTCCCGAAGCATCTTGGCCATGCTCAGAGACCTCCAGGGCTATACCTGGTGATGCCTGGGGGACCATGTAGTGTTGGGTTCAAACTGGGTTCAGCCACATTCAAGGCATATGCCTTAACCCCAGTACTATCTTTTCATCCAAAAATCTATTTTTTAAGGGGGAAAAAAACAGCAGTTTTTATTTCAGATGATGAAGTTTTCCCAACAAATCTTTAAAATGACTATTTTGTCCATAACTCATGAAGTTGAAATGAGTACTCTTGAAATGGATGAGAAGATAATTTTCTTAAAAACAGAAATCATCTAGGGGACTGGAGTGATAGCCCAGTAGACTTAGTGGATGCTCTGCATACAGGAGTCCCAGGTTCAATCCCTAGCACCACGTGGTCTCCTGAGCACTGCTAGAACAGCCCCAAATTCAGAATCAGGAGTAGTCCCTGAACACTGCCAGGTGTGACCTCTCCAAAAAAAAATCATTGAAATTATGAAAGGGCATATGATTTATATCTATTGGTGAGTTCTAGCTAGAAGAATCAATAGAAGGAAGTAAAGCACAAGGTTGTTAGAGGAGAGGAGATAAAGAAATTAGCTGACTATGATGTAAGATAATGAATTCATGTCTTTATTAAGATCCAAAAACAATGACAAAGGAGTATAATGGCCTTGTGGAAACATGAGGACTTACTGTGGTGATAGTGGAGGGAACATGAGAGGTGAAGAGGATCCTAGAATAGTCAGTGTGATGGGACTGTAGAGACTAGTGTTGGGGTATGAAACCTCAAGTTGGGACTTGAGGGAGGGGAGAAAGAATAATTTAGAGGTGACAGGAACAAGGAAGGCTGTCTTTCCTTCACAGACTATTCAGATCAGTCAAAGGAGAGAAACATAACCATCGTTTGAGTGGAGAGCAGAAAATCATAGAGGTATTAACCTGGTGCCAGAAAGGTGAAGAGTGTATCCTGCTGAAATAGGATGTTATGCTGATCTAACTAATGTTAGAACATCATGAGTTCTAGTAGACTCTATGTGAAAGGATCTTGGAAATGAGGAAGAGAAAAAGGTTCAAAGCAAGAATATACAGCACATATACAGATAAAAGTCCTAGTGATAGAAAATGACTTGGCGTTTCTAGACTTCTCCTGCTAACTAATCAAAAGAATAGTTGGGCTTGATGGAATTAATTTTTGAAATTAATTAATTTCGTAGGTAGTTTATAATCAACATTATTGAGAGGCTATGGGAAAGATGGATTTGTCAGTAGTGTCCAGAGATTTGGGGGCCTGTATTAAATTTGTTGCTGTGCTGCACAGACTTCATGGTTTTAAATAGTACACACATATCGTTTTGAAATTCTGCAGCTCTGGAGTTCCACATTGATCTCTTGGCTAAAATCAAGGTATCAGTAGAACTGCATTCTGCTGGAGGCTTTAGTAGAGAGTATATTTCCATAAGTTTTCAAGTCTCTGGAAGCTACTCAAGCTCCTCGGTGTATGACCATCTTTCACTTCACATCTAGACACATGCATTTTTCTGACCCATCTCTCCTCTGACCTCTGTAGGAAAGATTCGTTGATTTTAGAGGTTTATTATCTCTTCATCTTAAGATCTGTAATAGTAATCACATCTGGAGAGTTCTGTTTTGATAATATTCAGAGATTATGGTGTGGTCCTAACCGAAGGGTGTTAGGTGAGGGAGGCCTTTATTGTCAGGACCTCCTCTTTATTTGTGCTGATAATAGCATAGACGCCAGCAGCGAGTTGTTGCGGTTCAAGGTTATGGAACAGAATTCACTGCCTAGTTTACTCTGAGATTTGGGCTTATAATCATGCTCCTTCAGATTTTCTATGAGGCTTCTTGAGGCCAGGAGAGGGCTTAGCCCTCAAACTCATCTGTAAAATGAGTCAAATGCTGTTCTGTGGACTGTAACAGACCCATATCAGTCCCAGTACATAAATAGGGAACTCAGATAAGTTGAAGAACTCTATCATTTGCATTATTTGGCAATCTTGTGTTTAGAGAGCTGTATTAAATTTTCATATTTTATTTACTTAAGGTCCAAAGATACCCTGCCTAAATATCTGACGGGCTAGAACTCTAATTCTAGTATAATTTGATGTTTATCTTGAGTTAGAATTCTCTCTGGTCCTAAGAAATATGGTTCACGAATCTTTGGTTTAGTTCCTTTGTTCTTACTGCCAATTTTATATTTAGTTGGTTTTAGAAACACTATTACATCAAGAATATTTTTTATGTACCTAATGTTTTTATGCTGTTGTAGAGGTAAAGCTGATGTTTTCATATAATATTGAACAAATTGAGAGCATACTATTTCTCCTTCTCTTATATATTAAACAATTTTATTTAAAAAGTTTTAAAATGTTTTTGGTTTAGGGGCCATACCTACCAGTGCTCAGTGCTTACTTCTGGCTCTCTACTCTGGGATCATGAATGGCAGTGCTCTCAGAGGCTTATGGGGTACCATGGCTTGAAGCCAGGTCAGCCATGTGCATGGCAAGCACTTTACTGGCTGTTCTATCACTCCAACCTCTTCAAATTTTAAGTATTAGACCCTTATACATTAAAGTCATTCGCAGAAAAATTGTTGTTTTAGTTTACTGGAGAATTTACTGTAGAACTGCATTCTGTTGGAGGTGTAATATGCAAGAACAAGCTAACATTTTTAATATATGGTGATAAATGTGGTTAAGGAATTAGCTTGAGTTTGTATTCTCAGTCCTTTAAGTTCCAGTGCTACCTTTAATTAACATTAATAGATTCGTTGGTCTTAGAAGTATCTGTGATACCATATCTAACTAACCTAGATTTAACTAACCTGTTTCAAAGTAGGTCAGTGGGTCAGTAGGTTAATAGGTTAGAAAAAGATTTGTTGATTCCTTTTTTTCAGACCCAGATTCTTGAGTTAACTGTTTTTAGTTATTTAAAAGTAATAACTAATAATTAGATGAAAGTAAAGCTTTTCTTGAAATTATGTGAGGGATATATAGGAAATGTATTTTGTAGTAGTACAGGTGTTACTGTGTTTCACATGTGCCCAAGTTTATTTTCTGGAATGCATAACATGTATAGTCAGGATTGTAGTGATAGTTAGAAGAAAGTAATGCATGTTCTTGGGAGGAATTGTTTTTGAGTGCCACGGCCAGCAGTGCTCAGGGGTACTTCTAGTGTGTTACTTTGAGGACCATTCCCAAAGGTTCTGGGAGTGGGCTAGGGGGATCAAACAAACCTGGATTGGGCATATTCCCTAACTTCCACCATACTGTAATTTTTTTGTTTTCATTCAGGCAGTTTAAAATCTCCAGCTTTGTTTTCCTTACTCCATATTGTTCTCATTATTTTATCACCTTTGTGGTTACAAATGAATTGTAGGATTTTCCCCTTTTCTGCCTGACCCCCCCCCCAGTTCTATTGGAACCCTTATTAAAAATTGCACTCAGTAGGCCAGATGGTGATGTGGATATCTTCCCATTTATTTATATCTATTTTTGCAGCAATATTTTATAGTTTTCAGTGTACAAACATTTTATATTCCTGTGTTCATTTTAATGCTAATATTGAGAAGGATTGTTTCCTTAATTTCTTTCTTCAGCTTGTTTTGTCTGGTATAAGTATAGCCATTGCTGCTCTTTTGGTTATAATTTTCAGGGAATATTTTTCTCCATATTTTGACCTTTTGCCTTTGTGTGACCTTAAACTACAGGGGCTGGAGCGATAGCACAGCGGTAGGGCGTTCGCCTTACAAGCGGCCAAGATGGCCGACCCGAGTTCGATTCCTCCGCCCCTCTCGGAGAGCCCGGCAAGCTACCGAGAGTATTCGATATGCCAGACACAGTAACAACAAAGTCTCCAATGGAGATGTTACTGGACCCGCTCGAGCAAATCGATGATCAACGGGAGGGCCTTTACTACTTTACTTTACTAAACTACAGTGAATCTCTTATATACAGCATATATAGTTATGTGCCACAGAATCTTTCCATCAATACCAATCTGCATATGCAGCAGTGGTTCCTGTATGTAGTATGTAGTATGTAGAGGGCCCCTGTAGGTAGAGGTCTGTAAGCATGAAATGAGCTGTGTACCATCTAGGTTTATATAAGTGTACTTTGTGAAACTAAAAAGTGATAAAATCAGTTCACAGTGCATTTTTTTGAAATGTATCCCATGGTTGAACTTTGCATAACTGTAGTTAGATATTTTAAAATTCATTTAACTACTCTGTGTCTTTTGAGCGATGACTTGAGTTCGTTTGCGTCTAAAGTAATTACTGGTAGGACGTTTTTATTACAAAGTTTTAAATTGCTTTGAAAACTTTTTCATAGGGTCAGTGATACTACTGTGGGTAGGGCATTTGATCTGCCATGCAGCCAACCAGGGTTCAACCCTAGCAACGTCTATGGTTCCCTGAACAGAGTCAGAATCTCTTTGATCCCCAGCATTGTATGTTATCCCCTGAGCAGATTCGGAAATGACCCTGAGCACAGAGCCAGGAGTAGACTCTGAGTACTACTGGGGGCGACCCCCAAACAATTTTTTTTTGTAATTTTCTACATGTTTAAGAAATATATTACTCTTTTCTTGTTTCAACAGAATTCCAAAACTGATGGTCATCCATACAGAAGATTACTTGAACCTATAGGTTTTTGAAGAATCATTTCAAAAGATCCAAAAGAACGCAAAAGGTAATGAAACAGTTGTATGTTAGTCTACTTTGGATAACATTGTTCCAGAAAAAAATACATTTGAAAATTCATAATTTATTCTAGCACACCAACTTGAGGAGTCTTTTTTTTTTTAAATTACTGTACTATTCAAAACATTTCTTGTCCAAGCTATGTTCAATTACTATTTTAGATCCTAGGAAATTGAATATCTCATAAAGATTGCATTCTAAAAAGGGAAGGAAAGTAATAAATGAAAAGGTTGTGGTTGTTTTTGTACAGAGAATTAAAATAGGTGATATGATAGAGATTACTTTCACTAGCAAGTCACACAAGTGCTCATTAAGAATTGCACTAAGCCCTGAATAGTACAAATGTGTCAGCTACTGAAGAATTTTGATGTAAAGCCAATGGAACAAAAATAGCCATGGAATACTTGAGGAGTAGAGAGCAAAAGGGACTAGAGTACTAGTGAGGGAAAGAATATTTGAAATTCAGATTGAAGAAGAAAACTGAAAAGGATCAAAGTTATAAAGTCGTGTGTTATTTTGCTATGTGATATTTTAGACACCTGTAAAATCTAAAGAAAAGTACTTAATAAATTTATGTTGTCAATAACAGGTTGGAGAGTGGAGTTTAGCAGCTTTTGATTTATAAAAATAAGTATCACATAACTCTGTTGAGAGTAACAGGAATATAAATTTGTGCAGCTGTTCTCAAGATAGTATGGATGTAATTTAAAAAAAATTATCAAAAACATGTGATCTAGCAGTTCTTGTTTTGAATATATGTTTGAGTAAAGCAGAAACATGAGTTTGAAAGATATAGTCACTCCATGTTTGTTGCAGCATTATTTATAGTAATCAACATATGGGAAAAACCTGTGTCTTCTAATGGATAAGTGGATATAAAAATGTTTGAGTATGTGCACATACACTTTTTTATATTCATTCATCCACTTATGGACACATTGTTTTTCTGTTTATACACACACAGTGTAATATAAGTCATAAAAGTTTTAAGTCATTCTTGCAAGCTAGAATATGTGGGTATTATACTAAATGAGTGAGACATAACTCTCTATGTTCTCACTTATGTATGGAAATTAAAATATGGACAAAAAAATTGAAGCAAATGGAATAGATTGTTGATGGGTACCAGAACCAGGAGTTGGGATAGAATAATGAGTGAGTGGAATTAAAAGACATAAATTTCATTTATAATCTAAGTGTTTTGGGTGGTATGTACAGCATAGTGACTGTAATTAAAAATACACCATATTAAGAGTAGGTATTAAATTCATATCATTGGACTGAAAAGATAGTACAGCTGGTAAGGCGCTTGCTTGAGTCCATCCTAGGTTGATATCTAGCACCTACAACCTAGGTTTGATATCTAGCACCTGAGCACAACCCAAGTATAGCTCTCAAACAAAAAACAAAACAGATAAAAAAAAGTGTATCACACACAAGATTTTTGTATTTGTACATGAAAATTGATATTAACAGGCTTATACTATGGTAATCATTTTCTAGTAGTTACAGATAAATTTTGTACATAAGATTCATGCCATATGTCAACTATACCTCAGTAAAAATATATTTATAGGCTTGCTCTTCAAGTGCATAGTTCTCCCTTTAACATGTATCTCACTTGTCTCTATCTCTCTTTGCTTTTTTCACTCTGGAGAAGCCTGTGTTCTCTCTTGAACATGTGCTTCCTCTGTCTCTCACATAACATGAGTGGAAGAAACAAAGTGTGCATCTCTACCTCTATAGAGATCCAAGAAATATCTAGGATGATAAACAGTGATCCTTAAGGTGACAGCTGACTGTTCACAAGTTATCGATTGGTTATAAGAATTGGTATAGGGTAGAGAATTTCAAAAGAAATAGGTGGCGGGAGGAATACTGGGAACGTTGGTCGTAGAAAAAGGTACACTGGTGGAAGGATGGATGTTCGATCATTGTGAGACTGAAACTCAGTCATCCAAGCTTTGTAACTTTATCTCACAGTGATTCAATTAAAAAAGAATAAAAATAATTTTTTTTTTTAAAAAAGCCCAAGAAAGTACACTGTAATTAAAACTACGTTATATAAAACTACTAACTGTCACTGTCCTCCTGTTGTTTAACGATTTTGCTTGAGCGGGTCTAGTAACATTGTAGAATGGACAATGTTTTTTAATACAGTGAGTGAATTTAAACAAGGATGATTGAAGGGACTAAATCGTAAGTATAAAGAAAACTAGGGAAATGGCATTTATAAAGCAATAGAGGAAATGCTCAGAAAGGGGAAGTGATTGTAGTATAGTGTAGGACTCAGCTGTAAATTGTACTTACAGAGTCATAATAATGTTAACCCAATACAGCAACTAGCCAGAATTACAGTACAGTATATCCTGTTCTGTTCAGTTTTATGCACTATTTATTGTAAAGAAATAGATTTTATAAATACCTATTTATCAAATAGCTGTTACAATTTGTCAGCCCAGCCAAGCTGGGTTCGATTCCTCTGCCCCTCTTGGAGAACCCGGCAAGCTACCGAGAGTATCTTGCCCGCATGGCAAAACCTGGCAAGCTCCCCATGACGTATCTGATATGCCAAACACAGTCACAACAAGTCTCACAATGGAGATGTTACTGGGCCCGCTTGAGAAAATCGATGAACAACGGGAGAATGGTGCTACAGTGCTACAGATGGAGTCAAGGAGAAAGAAATTCTTAGCTTTCTTAGTGAATATGGTAGATATTGCATCAAAAAAAAAAAGAATATAACACTGTGAGAGCAAAATCAGATGCTTTTAATAAGTCCCACTATATTGGGACAACTTGAATAAATCAAGACTACATAGGATCCTTCCCTAAAATGGAAAAAACAACAGAAGATATTAGAGACAAGTACTTAACTGCCAAAAGAAACACATAAGGAATTGAACATTGTTGAATGTGGGAAATGGGGATAAGATGATTTTTAAATAAGTTGTAAAATTATTTTTCTTTAAACTTAGAACATATACTTGGTAAAAATACCACATTCTAAAATGAGAGAATAAAGACTGAAGAAACAGTTGTGTATAGTTCTGACAGTTTTCCTTGGAAAGGGGGCCGAAAAAGCCTGAGGGAGTTTGGAGGTCAAAAAAGTTTTGAATTTCACTTTGTTTTTTAGATAGAACAGTAAAATATTTAACTAATCCAGTGAAAGGAGGAAGAAATTAGTGATGGAATGAGTAGAAAAGACTTAAAAAATGATAGCAGAAGGGATTCAGAGGACAGGTAGTATCATGTCATTTGGTACCACACAGTTTTTGTTGTTATTGTTTTGTTGGTTTTGGGGGCCCAACCAAGTGATGCTCATGGCTTACTCTTTCCTCTGCACTCCGGAATTACTCCGGGATATGCTTGGGGAACCATATCAGATGCTGGGGATTGAACCCAGGTCAGCCTTATGCATGGCAAGCGCCCTTTCCTCATTTCTCCAGCCCCAACAGTTTATTGTTCAGATAGAAGGCATTACTTCATCTATGAGTGTTTGTTTTTAAAGGCACAGATTGTTAAATATTATGTTGCGGGCTGAATTAAGAATATATCTATTTCTATATTTGGCAATTTGAATTGATTACAGTTTGTATTTGTTTATTTTTTTAAGTAAGTAATACCTTCTCATTTTTAGAAACTTTTCAAAGCTTATTTGGAAAAGGACATTTAATAATAAAATTTAATCTGTGTTGAATTATATACTTGAAATTTTGTGCTTCGTTAATAGAGACATTGCTTGTCTTCTAAAACTGGAATCCTTGGACTCTAGCATGAGCAAGTGTGACTGTAAAATAGCAAGTGTTTTTTGCACCAACTCCTGTAGTTGTTCCTAAACAGGATTTGATCCATTTCCCTATTACTACTTTTTGCTGTTGTTAATTTGATGCCATTTTAGGAAGTTAAGGAGAATAATCTTCCGATAGTTTTTTAAATGTTTGAAACTTTATTTAAACACTGTGATTTACAAAGTTTTTCATAGTACAGTTGTTTCAGGATTCAGTGTTTCAAAACCACTGATTGAAAAAAATTAGGGTGGTAGAGATTTTTATTTTTTTTACCAAAACAGCAGGAACCCGGTAGTATAGCTGTTAGAGCACATGTGTTCGACCCAGCCCAATTCTTGGTACCACATGGTTTCCTAAGTGTCACCTTTTTTACCCACCTGTTTTTTCTTTTTTTTTTTGTCTTTTGATAATAACGGCTGGAGCGATAGCACAGCGGGTAAAGCGTTCGCCTTACAAGCGGCCAACATGGCCGACCCGAGTTCGATTCCTCCGCCCCTCTCGGAGAGCCCGGCAAGCTACGGAGAGTATTCGATATGCCAGACACAGTAACAACAAAGTCTCCAATGGAGACGTTACTGGACCCGCTCGAGCAAATCGATGATCAACGGGAGGGCCTTTACCTTTACCTTTGATAATAACATGCATATAGCTAGTTATATGTAAGGCTCAGACCTGGATTTTTCTGTTTGGGAGTCTTAGGGGCCACACCCAGCCATGCTCAGGGCTTATCCCTGGTTCTGTACTCAGGGATTACTCATTGTGTGCTTAGGGGACTGTATAGGATGCTAGGTACCAAACCCAGGTCAGCCACCTCATTCAAGGCAAATGCCTCACCTGTTGTACTGTCTCTTCAACCCCATAACTTTCTCTGTTTTAACCTGAAATGACTCTTTTTCAATGAACTCAGATTGACTGTTGCCTTTTCTTTGTACTGTGCTTGTTATTCTTTTGATAGCACCAGACTGTCATTCCATGATAAGCATGTCTGTTGGACCATGGTTGTACTTAGATTATTTTTAAAGACTTTTAACTCTTAAATTCTGTAATTCTGATTACTGTCCCAGGTGCTTAAAATCAGCATCTATTGATTATATCCTCTGTCTCTGACTTTGCTTCTCATTTTCTTTCAGAACTTGTAGCGTTTTCTCAGTCCCACTTCTGCAGCCTAAAACTGCATGGGCCAAGCTGCAGTATCATTTATCTAAGCTATTGCTTCTCCCCATCATGAATGTACCTTTGAAAACAGAGCATATTTTAGAATCTCAGGATTTTGGAGCACCTTTAATCTTAGACATACATTGTTATGCACTATTTTTACAGTTTAAAATAAAAAATTATGAATTTATGTCTCAAAGTGAAATTTCTTATACCTCAAAGCTATTTTAGGATATAAGAATTAAAGTGGTCATTTGATACTTACTTCATGCCTATTAGATATAGTGCCCTGTATTGCTAAAACGTGCTTTGCACTTGCAAAAGCTGTGTAAGATACAGAGAGGTAATTTTTAGGCTTATCGAACAGTTTAAAGCAGTACATTTTAATTCCTTCAGTGGGGGTAGGAAACTGGCCCTTGTTTTGCCTTCATTATTCTATCACTCTTGGATGCTCTAATAATTAAAACTTGAAGGTGTAAGTAACACTCCTAGATATTTTTCTAAGGAAAAGGTAAGACCTTCAGGCCAAAGAGATAGTAGTGAGATGAGGGCATTCCCTGCTTAGATCCTCAGCCCCTCAGTCTTCTGAGCATGCCAGGAACAGCCGCTCCCTCCCCCACCAACCCCACCAGTGTGGTCCAAAGAAAGGAAAAGAGGAAATGTTAAACCTCAAGTGGCGGTTCACTTATCTCATAAAGGCCAATGCCCTTGCAGATTTCTGTTCTTTTGGCTTATAATTTTTTCAGTTACAGCCTCTTCTTGTTCCTTCGTTTGTTATTTCTCAGATTCAAATGCTGTACAAATCATGTGGGGACCTTGTTGAAATGTAGATTCTTGTGTAGTAGGACCTGAGATAGTGTATTTTAACCAGCTCTCGGTGATGCTGGCCTTGCTCTCTGGATCATGTTTTTAGGAAGAAGAAACAAGACTACCTGACCCAGTACTACCAAATATTTTCTCTCTCTCTGCTGAACTCCACACTGCTTAATAACAATTAGATTTTCAGGATATGCTTACTACCAATTAGATGGTATTGTTACAGCCTATTAACAGTTACATAGTTTTATATGGAATATTAAGAGTACCTTTTAAAGTTTTATTTTATAGTAACAATGAATTTTGAACCTGAGGTTTTTTTTAACTTGTACTTATTTATTTATTTATTTATTTTAGGAAAAAAAGTCTCAAATATGCTAAAGGTATTTACTTATGCTCCTGTTCTGTGCAAACAAAATCACTTTGAATCATCAAGATTACTGTGATTTCAGAAAACTAATGATTTTTTTTTCTTTCCACCTAAGGAGAAGTACAAATGTCTACCACAAGACGAAAACGTAGTATGTTATGTTGTTTACCGTAAGCTATAGTAAAATGAGCTCGATTGTTGACAGGTATGTTTATATTTTTATTTTTAAGAAATATGAAAGCAACTTTAAAATTTACCAAAAATGTTTAATGTCAAAGTGATAAAGTGCATTGATACTTAAATATATAACGTTCAATTTTTATTGAGCAAATGTAGTGAAATTTTATTTATAATTCTATTAGGTTAGCCCAAGTCACAAGGTATAATTCGTGTCTAAATTTTTTTTTTTTTTTTTTTGCTTTTTGGGTCACACCCGGCGATGCACAGGGGTTACTCCTGGCTCTGCACTCAGGAGTTACTCCTGGCAGTGCTCAAGGGACCATATGGGATGCTGGGAATCGAACCCGGGTCGGCTGCATGCGAGGCAAATGCCCTACCCACTGTGTTATCGCTCCAGCCCCTCGTGTCTAAATTTTTTTCTCTAATTTTTTTTTATTGTTTCGTTGATTTTGCTATAAAGGAAATTATGACAGTTGAAATGTTTTCCTGACATCTTAAGTAATTTTCATCCCCTTATCTATTGTCATTTTCCTTATTTGTTTGCTGATTCTAGCTTCCATGACTTTTAATATTTATCATTTGTTTTAAGAGTTAACTATATTTAGAATTTCATTAGTTAAAATTATAATCTTGAAATCTTACTCTTGAAAGATTACATCTGATATTTTTAAGATATTAAAGAACAACATTTTAACATCTCTGATTAGGGGATTCATCTTAATGATGGTCTTATATTTTTTGATCAGTAACTTGTATTTTAATGGCACGTCGATTAATTTTTGTCAATTGTGTTTTAACTTTGATAAAATGTAACTGTTCAAAGCATTGACATAGAATATGTAGAATGCTTTTATATTTTGCTTTATTTAACCTTAGGGATAATTCCATGAAATATTATAGAAATTAAAACTATAGAGGCAGCTTCTATGAGGTACATAGTTAACTGGGAGCTGAGATTATGATCTGTGTTGATCTGACAACTAAAGTCCCTATACTTTCACCTCTATTGTGTGAGCGAGTTTGTTTTTTTAAGAGTATTGAAGCTAGAGTTTTATACAGAAGTAACTTTTGACATCTTGATGGCAGTCCTCCCTTTCCTGGGAGATAAAACAATGGGGATGTGCCAGAATTTAAGACCCTGTAAGGGTCAGGAAATTTTCCTAGAGACCTGCCTTGTAACACTGCCATGCCACAGTTCTAGGTGGGATCTCGGTGTGATCGCCCAAGAAATGATACTTCTACTGCTGCACAATTAGATATGACTTGGCATTATGCTTCTGATGATTGCCAGTTCCCATTCCAAGGAGCATGACATATAAGGATGATACATGTTTATTCAGAAAGCAGTGGTTCTTGATTGGTCATTATCTCCTAATACCATAAGTGTTACAAACTCTCTCAATAAAATGCATATACATGCAGATTTTTCATAACTACCAGTGCATCCCTGCGTGGATTCCCAAACACCAGTACCTGAACCACCAGGATATAAAAGTTTTATATAGCTTCATTAGTGACTCCAGCAGGTACTTTCTGGAACTTATAGCCAAAGAAAAGTGTGGTTTAAGAAGTAAATTGTTATGAGCATTTGATCATTGTATAATTGAAACCTAAGCACAAAATTTGTAAGTCTACAACTGTACCTCATGGGGTCTCACTAATAAAAAAACAAAAAGTAAAATAAATTTAAAAAAAGAAGTAAATTGTGGGAACTGGAGTGACAGTACAGTGGGTGGGGCATTTGCATGGCATGCAGCTGATCTGAGTTCTATCCCTGGCATCCCATATGGCCCCCGAGCACTGCCAGGAGTTGTTCCTGAGTGCAGAGCCAGAAGTGAACCCTGAGCATCACTGGCTGTGACCAAAAAACCGAAAAAAAAAAAAAAGTAAATCATGAATTTGTGTAACTTCTCAGAAATCTCTTGAAATATTGCTCCTTAGTATAAGGGTTTTAGTACCTTTGATTTCATTTGTTAAATGTTTTCCTTTTAGACCTTTTCATGATCAACCCCTTCTCTTTAGCTTCTAAATTCCCATTTCATCAAGTCCTTCTCTAACTAGACAGCCAGTGACCACCCAGACAGAATCATCCTTTAAAAAAAAAAATTGAGACTTCATTTTTTTCTACTGGAACATAAATTCAAGAGCTGGACCGTTTGCGTCCGGTTAACTGCATTGTAACTACATGCAAAACAGAATCTAGCACATGATTGTTAATAAATATCTTACATTATTGTACTGATTTTTTCATTGGTTTTGAGGCTTAACCCTGGTTCTGCACTCAGGGATCACGATCCCTGGCAGGGCTCAGGGAATCTTATGGAGTACCAGGGATCAAACATGGGTCAGCAGTGTGGAAGGCAAGCATCTTATTCACTATATTATCTTACACCCTCCCCAAAATTCAGTATACTTTAATAGGAATATAAATAATATGAATATATTAATATATTTACTACATCTTTCATATCCATAGTGAATAAATATATTTGCTAAGATTGAGTGATATAAAGTGAATATCTCAGAAAATACATTTTTAAGGCATGTATAATATGATAAAAAATAATTTTATATAACAGTAAATACTCTGGCTTTCACTGGTTCCAAATCTTTAAGATACTTAATCTCCTATTAAATTTCTTGGTGAGCATATAATTATTATGTGTAATATATATAATAGGAGTTTTAAAACTCAGATATGTAATAAACTTTAAAATTTAATTAGGGGCTGGAGCAATAGCGCAGCGGGTAGGGCGTTTGCCTTGCACGCGGCCAACCCGGGTTTGATTCCCAGCATCCCATATGGTCCCCTGAGCACTGCCAGGGGTAATTTCTGAGCACAGAGCCAGGAGTAACCCCTGTGCATTGCCAGGTGTGACCCAAAAAGCAAGAATAAATAAATAAATAAATAAAATAAAATTTAATTAAACATAGCCAAACTTGACTGTTCTCATTTTAAAAAGCAAGTGAGTCATTTTCTTAAATTTGAATTTGTATAATCCATTAAGCCCACTAAAATCCTAGGATATAAATAATCTGATTCAGATGTTGTTTAGTATTGTTGCTGCTTAGTGAGTTTGCTCTTTTTCTATCAACTTTTTTTTTCTCTTTTAGAGATGATGGTAGTATTTTTGATGGGTTGGTGGAAGAAGATGACAAGGACAAAGCAAAAAGGTAGTTCAGCTTTAAGTTGTTAAACTGTAAATGAATAGATTAAATGTAATAGTAAATAAATAAAAAGTAAATCAGTAATAGTAGATTTCCAAAAGCTGTCTGCCTTAAGACCTTGACAAGGTAGAAAAACTGAGAATATCAGAATACATATTTTTAATATTGGATTAAGAATTCAATACTGTAGTCCTCTGTCTTCTCATTGTATCATGACAACATAGCATATATATATGAAAATCACTGAACATACTTTCATCTCTTGATTAAGATTTTTTCTATAACCTCTATTCTCTGGAAGAAAGTTACTAACTATTGTCCTCCTTTAGAACAGAGAATAGAAGGAGTTGTTAAGCTTTAAATCCCATGGAAGGGGTATCTGTATGTATGTAGCCATATATATATATACATATATATATATACATATATATTTCGAATTTTTCGTTACTCTCCAGGTAAAAAAGTATGTATTTCCCACTTTATCTGTATGGACTTAAATGTATTTATTTAAACTTTAGGATATACTCTGTTGGTCTGTTATTTTTTAACATTTGTTGGGTTTCCTCCCACCCTTTTTTTTAAACTTAAATTGTTCCAGTTTTTGGATATAAGGAAGTCTTATATGGTTGACCTTAAGTCTTTGACATGCTTTTGTTCCAGCAGTAGAAGGGGAAGTAGAGAGGAAGGGAGTTATTGAAGAGTTGCCTTTAAATAGACGAGGGAATGACTTTCACGGTGATGATGGAGGTTATGAGAACTTTGACCTTCAAAGCTAATTATAGTATCAGGAGGAATGGGTTAGGTAGCATTACAGCCAAGTTTGATGTCATTGAGCTTGAATTTACAAAAAGCATATTTTTTCCCCCAGACACATTGGACTTGAAATTGTAGCATTACACTCAAATACAAATGAATAAATAAATAATGCCTGTGTTTAGCCATGTAAAAGGTACAGGATTAAGATAAACGTTTGCAAGCATTGTAAGCACTGTCCTCCTGTTGTTCACTACTGAGCGGGCACCAGTAAAATCTCACAGCAAATTGTGAGACTTGTTGTTACTGTTTTTGGCATATCAAATACATCACAGGGAGCTTGCCAGGCTTTACCGTGCAGGCGAGATACTCTCAGTAGCTTCCCGGGCTCTCCAAGAGGGACGGAGGAATCGAACTTGGGTTGACCAGGTCGGCACCCTACCCGCTGTGCTTTCACTCCAGCCCTAAACATTTGCAATAGCCAGGTAAATTGTTAGTTTAACAAATAATCTAAGAAGACCTTGGGGAAAGCTATACAGCACTTACCAACATCATTACATCTTGAACAGGATTTCAAACAATAGCACATACTTATGACCCTATTCCCTTCAGTGTAAGTTTTTATAAACCAAATCAAGGTAGAAAGTCTCGAGTGAGGTGGGGAGAAATACTGTTTGAATGTAGAGTTAAGAATCTTGAAGGTAGGGGGTATGATCCCACTAGCAGGTCAATCTGTTCCTGTGAGGAGAGTGCATCAGCATCCTGATGGCGCCTTCAGACTTCAGATACCCCAAAATTGCTGCTGTGCCTTTGGCTAGACTCCAAAATGTTGAGGCAAAGTTTACCAAGAAAGTATAAACGGCCGAAAGTTAGGTATGTGAGAGACACACCCACAAACCACCTCCAGCTCAGCTATATAATTGAAAGTAAGATCTCCCTGGTTCCTGATGGAACTGCTTAACAGCCATGATCTCAGTGACTCAGAAACAAATCTCAAAACCCAACGGCTTTTGGCAGAGATGCATCTGGTCCCCGCAATGGGTTACCAGCACTGGACCACCCCAGAAGGAAAGGGTGCTGTCCCTCTGCCTGCTACCCTTGGCGGCTCAGTGGCCACCATCCTCCAGAGGCCATTGTTCAGTAAGGTTTGGGCCCTCAGTGATGAGACAAGCGGGGCCTCATGGGATGGGGGTGGAGCCGTCCCTTTCTTCCCCGTCCCAACGAGACCTGAAGTTGCCACCCACAAACGGCCTCTCTGGCTCCTGATCAAGCCGCTTAATGGCCATGATTTCAGAGACTCAGAAACAAATCTCAGAACCTAGCAGCTTTTGGCAGAAATGCGTCCAGTCCCTGCAGTAGATTACCAGTGCTGGGCCACCCCAGGTGGGAATAGGTTTTGTGCCTTGGCCTATTCCCCCTGGCGACCCAGTGGCCACCATCCTCCAGAATCCACTGGACAGTCAATTTTGAGCCCGCAGTGAGGAGACACACAGGGCCTCACGGGAAGTGGGTGGATCCGGCCCTTTCTTCCCCGTCCCAACAAGACCTCAAGTTGCCGCCCATGAACGGCCTCTCTGGCTTCTGATCAAGCTGTGTAACGGCCATGATCCAGGAGACTCAGAAACAAATCTCAAAACCCAGCAGGTTTGGGCAGAAATCCCTCCAGATTTAATTGTTAAAATTTCAGAATTTCAAAATTGCACAGCCACTACTGCGGCCACGCAACATCATATGTTATTCATAACCAGCAATAGAAAGCAGATTGTCTACTGTTGCCTTTTCAGCAGATCTGAGTGTTGGGGTAAAATCCCAAATAATAATGGTGAGTCTGGTGTCAAAATATTGAATGTTATCAAAGTAGAGAGAAAGTAATGTGGAAATCATCTGCCCCACAGGTAGGGGGAGGGTGTGGGATGGGGCTATACTGGGGTTTTTGGTGGTGGAGAATGGACACTGGTGAAAGTACTGGTGTTTCATTGTATGACCGAGACTTAAACCTGAAAGCTTTGTAACTGCTCTCACGGTGATTCAATAAATAAAATTATAAAAAATGAAAAAAAATTAGGTGGAATTCAGGCCCAGTTCAATCAGCCTAATAAGTAGCTGAATAAACAGCAGTACTCCTACATAAAAAAAAAAAGAATCGTAAATATTATTTTATAAATGGTGAGGTATGCTGTGCTATTCTGTTTATAAGAGGCATTCTCTTTTTAAGCTTTGATCATGTTTTTGGGTAAACAAAAGTACTATAGCTGTGCAAACCTCGGAGAACAAGAGGGAACCTCATAATATCAATTAAACACAACCATATTCAGTTTATAGAAAGTATGAGGAGTTAGCAGCCTTGTGGTTAAACATAGAACAAAGGGTTTTGGGACTTATTCTCCAAGTTGTGTGTGTGTGTGTATGTGTGTGTGTGTGTGTGTGTATGTGTAATATGCTTATATAGTATGTATAACATAGATAATACATTATCTATATTATTTACATATATAGCCTGTTATCAATGAGGTCATTACAAGATTCAGTACCCCCCAATTGAATTTCATGTGATGTAAAGTTTATTTTTATGAATGTGATTGGATGTAGAGTTGGCAGTGATACTTGATTTTTATGTATTTTTTCCCCCAGAAGCCAAAGTGCCTCACTTAAATTATTTTAAATAGCTTTATAATTCTTGGCATGTTCTTTATGCCTAATTGTTCTTTCATACCTAAAGACTGGAACATATATATATGTATATACATATATAAAATGCAGTAAATATTGGCTATTATTTTTAATTTTTCATATGTTCAACTATTTCCTGTATATTTCAATGCTTCTTTCTTATTTTCTCTAGGAGAAAAATAACTGCATCCATAGACCTTCCTCTTATGTTTGCCCTTTAATATGTCAAAAAGTTGGTGTCACCATAGAAAATTTATGAACCATCTATCCACCAAAATTAGAATCACACATCCTATTTCAGATTGATAGACAGCATTATCAGTTTAAGGATCTTCCCAGATTTCCTTTTACCTTTTCACTCCAAGGCAAATCTGATTTACATAACAGTTGATAGCTCTGCCTCTTAGCCTTCAGAACCACACTGTTACTTTAACCCTGCCCCTGCCATGTTTTATAGGCTAGAATATTGCAGTTGCATCCTTAAATGGTCATCTAGCCCTCCAGCCTTGTTTGGCACATACAGTAAGTTTTCTAGTATTTGCTAAATGAATTTGTTTCTACAGTCACCGATTCTTTTATTCCTCTGATGCCCGAATGGCATTATTCACAAGAAGTTTAATTCATGCCATTTCTTAATACCTTCGATGCCTTTTCATGATTTTCAGTATTTGTTACTCTCTGCCCTTGTCATTTCCAATCATAAGCATACTTGAATTCAAGAAGCATATTAGGGGCCAGAGCAATAGTACATCAAGGTAAGGCACTTGCCTTGTGCAAGTCTGACCCAGGTTTGATCTCCAGCATTCGATATGGTCCCCCAAGGCTCGCCAGGAGTGATCCCTGAGCACAGCCCAAAAACAATCCCCCCAAAAACACACAAGCCACAGTAGCCATGCTGAGTTCTTGTACTAGGTTTTCATCTTTGTTCAAGTTTCCTATGCATAAAATTCCCTGCACATATCCCACCCTCTACCCACCCGCACATCCCATAGTTCTTGCAGCTCAATTCAGCACACTACTAGGGGTCATTCCTGCTTCCAGGTTTCTGTAGTGTTAGGGTGCATTTCTTGGAAAGGCTTTACTTCCTCAGTTTTCTACTCCTCTTAGCACAGTCTTTATCGTAGCAAAAATTCACTGTTTGTTGAGGGAGTCATTTGACATCTGTTACCTTTCCTAAAAGATGTGAAGAGTTCTGTTCTCTTCCCAGTACTACTAAGAACGAATGCTTGTTCTTGACTCAAAAATCAAATGGGGGCCAGAGAGCTAGTATGGTGGATAGGGTGCTTGCTTTGTACACGGCTGACCCAGGTTCAGTCTCTGGCATTTGGTCCCTTGAGCACTGCCAGCAGTAATTAATGAGTGCATAGCCAAAGTTATACCTGAGCATCACCAAGTGTGGCCCAAAAGCCAAAAATGAATGAATGAATGAATGAATTTTTTCTCTGACCTTTTGAGAAAGCAATATACTTTACTTAAGCAATAAACTGGATTTCAAGATCTGACTTCTCAAAGTAGATTATTAGATAATGGCATGATTAATTGCTCTGTAATTATTATACTTATTGTGCCGGGAGCTCAATGCACCTTTGCATTGGTTCACTGGCTAATGCTTCAGTAAAATTAATTATCCTGTTATTGAGATAGAAATTATTATATAACACATGTTTGGAATTCTTACTGGTTTTTTGTTGTTGTTAGCCTTCATGCTTAGATTTAAAATTTTGGGCTCTATGATGAAGGTACACATAACCAAACTTGGAGATGCAAACTAATGGTTACAGCTCTGTATTAGAGGCTGAGACAGAGTTGAATAAAGGAGAGAAAAAATAGAAAAAAATATGTTTAATCCTGCTGATAAGAAGAATCTCATTTTTTGATTAATACCCAAGAATAGCTGAGATCAGCACCAGGAGGATTACTCCATAACTTAGAGGCCAGCCGGGTATCCTAGAGGAAAGGGCAGTTCAGATAGAGAAGGGAGCACCAAATAAAGGATGTTTGGAGGATCCTCCCAGAAGGGGAGATGCATGTCGAAAGTAGACTATGGACTGAACATGTTTGCCACTCAATGCCTCTTTTGCAGACCACAACACCCAAACGGAGAGAGAGAACACAGGGGATTGCCCTGCCACAGAGACAGGGGGGATGGGGGGATGGGGGTGGGAGGGATATTATCCATGGTGGTGGAAAATGGGCACTGGTGGAGGGATGGGTATCTGATCATTGTATGATTGAAACCAAAGCACAAAAAATTGTAAATCTACAACTTTAAAAAAAATAAAATAAAATAAAGGGGAAAAAAAAAAAAGAATCTCATTTTTTATTTTCTGGTTTGTTTGTCTCTTTTGTTTGCTTTGCTTTTTTTGTGTGTCTGATTTTGGGACTTGGTTTCTGGGCCTCATACATACAAAAAGCATGTATGATGCCACTGAGCTATATATACTCCAGCACCATTTTTAGATTTCTGTTTGTGATTTAAAATTTATAGGACATGAACAGCTTCCTATTTAATAATTATGAATAGTTTCTTTTTGTGCATTATTGGTACTTTCACAAAATGTATCTCAGTAATACTCAGAGTGACCTTTTGAGGAAAGAGAATTCTTGGTAAGAAAATCAATAAAATAAAACTTGAGATTTAAATATAGTTTTGTCTTGCTGTAATTTTTGTAAAAACATATATACCAGATGTTTAATATATAAAAACTTATTTGCTTTTAAACTAAAAAGCAAAGTGTTGCTCAAATTAATTACTATTGGTAACCTAGGAGATAAATATTACCATATATATCAGTAGAACTATGTGTTATGTTTTGTACTAAACTAAGTATTATGTTAAATTGTAAATATATTGCTTGAAAACTACTTGTTTATTTCTCACTTCTAGAGTATCTAGAAACAAATCTGAGAAGAAACGTAGAGATCAGTTTAATGTTCTCATTAAAGAATTGGGATCCATGCTTCCTGGTAATGCTAGAAAGATGGACAAATCTACTGTTCTACAGAAAAGCATCGATTTTTTACGAAGACATAAAGGTAAATGAAATGTTAACTTTATAAAATATATTTCCAAAAATTCTGAGATTCTATGTAAAAAAATTTTTATGATAGACTTTCCCTTAACACATGTCACACAGGAAATTGTACACATGTGCAGAAAGTGTTAGGCAGGGAACAATTCTTGGCAAGAAAATCTTACTATAATTTTTGTAAAAACATATACCAGATGCTTCACTGTATCACTGTCCTCCTGTTGTTCATCGATTTGCTCGAGTGGGCCCAGTAATGTCTCCACTGGAGACTTTGTTATTACTGTGTCTGGCATATCGAATACATCACGGGTGGCTTGCCAGGCTCTGCCGTGCGGGCGAGATACTCTCGGTAGCTTGCCGGGCTCTCCGAGAGGGGCGGAGGAATCGAACTCAGATCGGCCATGTTGGCTGCGTGCAAGGCAAATGCCCTACTCGCTATGCTATTGCTCCAGTCCACCAGATGCTTTAATACATAAAAATTTATTTGCTTTTAAATTAAGAAGGAAAGTATTGCTCAAATTATTATTCATAACCTACGACATAAATATTACCATGTATGTCAATAGAACTATGTGTTATTTTTCCAGCTAAAAGTATAGCATAGTTTTAGTTGGAAAATAGGATCAAATGTGAAAGTATGGCAAAAGCCAGATCATGTGGGCCTTATATAACACATATAATTAAATTTACTCATTGTCATCCTGAGATCCAACTCACAGCCTCACATTCTGATACTGACCTACATCCCTCACCCTTTTATGTCATTTTAAAACATTTTTTCAGAGTTCACTTAGGAAAATAGCACTTCAGTTTTAAAATTAAGTGATTGTTTCTTAGTTCAGAAAAATCACTGTCTAAATGAGTCTAGAAAAGAAATAAAAAGTATACCAAGTGTGTTGTTAACAGACTAATAGATGAAAAACTTGTAAAAGGACATTTTTAAAAAAGTAAAAGGATACTTTGTCCATCAGATGCAAATGAAGTGCCAAACTTTTAAATTCTCCTCTTGAGAAAAGGTTTTGAGGACAATTTATAGCTAGACTTTTTTTCTTCCTAACTGACCTTGATAATGTGTTACCAGCCTAATTTATGCTTCACTATCTTTGAAATATTTTTTTGTTGATTTCTCTAATACTATTAACACCACCCTCTTTGTCACCAGCAAAATGATTTCTTTTTCTTGTAGCTCATCCTCTTCATCTTAGAGCAGTGTAAATTTTAATCCATCTTCCATTGGCTTTCTTTTCCCTCTGCCAGGCCTGTGTTGTGCTGCACTTCATTCAGCTTTCTCTTCCTTTCTGAAACTACTTTCCTCTTAATTTTTCCGCTTGCCAAATGTGGCATCTCTCTATGCATTTGTACACTTTCCCTTTGGTATTGCGTTCCATGGCTTCAGCCTCTCAAAGGTTTAAATCTTTTTGTTTGTTTGTTTCTTTGGGCTCAAATTCTATTTTGAGCCCACATCCACTCAGAAACTGCTCCAAAGTCAGAGCTTAGAAGTTGCTCCAGGCAGTGCTCAGGAAATCACATGGTGCCATAGATTGAACCTATTGAGCTCTCCACTCTAAATCTGTATTTTTGAATGCATGTTTTCCATTTTGGTTTCAGGTAACATGTAGATCTTTTTTATATCTCAAAATGGTTTTTTTTTTCTTGTTGTTAAATCACCTCTTTCCGTTTTCCTTTTTTCAATTTTTTTTGAAAAAAAATTTTTTTTTTAATTTGGGCTCTGCACTTAGGGATCACTCCTAGTGGGCTCAGGGACTATATGTGGTGTGGGGGAATCAAAACTCAGTGAGCAGCATGTAAGGCAAGGGTACTAACCATTGTACTATTGCTCCAGCCCTCTGTTTTAAATTTTTACCCCACCATCCTTTCGTTCCTTTACAAAAAAAACTGAAAACTTTGGAATGGATTTCTTTTCTTATTTTGGGGGGTTAGGTAGGCACACGTTATTGTTGGTGCACAGGGGCTACTTAACCAGCTTTTTATGTGGGAGAGTTGGGGTTACTCTTGGTGGTTCTTAGGGGACCATGTGTGGTAGGAATTGACCCAGGTCTCATGCATGTAAAGCTTGCACTCTTGTCCTCTGAGCTATCGCTCTACTCTGGCTTTTTTTTTTTTTTACTTTCTTTAATTCTTATTATAGTTGTCAGAATCTATTGCTTTATCTCTTGAGTGTATCAAAATTGTCTTCATTGTTATTGGTATCACTGTCATTACATTTTACTTCTATAGGACAGTATTCTCACTAACATCAGTAGTTGTTACGTATGATACATAATACCTCAGTTCAGTAAATGATTATTGAATAAAAAAACATTATGCGTGTGTTTCTTTGTGACCATTTCTATGTAACAGATTAATTTTGGCATCATGTAAATCCTTGTTTTTTAAATGAACATAATTCCCATAAAATTTTCTTATATCAGTTGAAAGGGAATTCTTGCATACTTATTACTCATTTATTAGAAAAGGGTCTGACTAAGCTTTTGGGGATTTTCTTATGGATTTAATTCTTTTTTCCTGAATGTGTATGCTTGACGTGAATTTGTAAAGCATGAACATCCTCTTCATAATTAGTAGCTAGCTATACTTCTTACCCTTCATATTCTGGGGTAGTTATCGCTAATAAGTTAAATTTGGGGTGAATATTTAATATGCTACATTGATATCTCAAGTAGTAAAAAATTAAAATAGTTCATACTTCTCACAGCAAAGTAGAATACAGTTTGTACTGTATTATCTGACATGTATTTTGTCTATTTGCTTTAATATGTATACATTAAAGAATACAAAAGACATTTGTTACATATATAGTTCAGATTTTATCATTTCTGAATAACTTTTTCTAAATCCATTAGAAATATGAAGTAAATTAAACTGTAATGGTATATAAAATATGTGCCCCAAGCAACGGAATCTGCAGATATTTGATCAGCCCCTTAGCACTAAGAAAATATGCAAGAAGATACTAGAGCAAAGTCATTCTGAGATTATTACTCTAAAGATTCTGCCCATAATCTTAAAAAATTTAGTCTCCTTGATTATTGAGACAAAGCACTTCAATTTGGGAGGGATCTTCCACCCAGCATTAAGGCAAGACCTAAAAACAGGCTGGCTGACTTCCCCCATTCTTTTGGTAGGTCTGTCCCTGCCATTAGAATGGCAAGTAAAGGAAGTGTTTTGTAACTCTTGATCTTATCTGCTTGTTCTGAGTTTTATTTGATTGTTGTGTCAAGTAGAAGTCTAAGACCTACAGGCAGCCTAGACTATCAAAATTTGATGTTCCAATGATCAAATCCAGGAAGATAACTTGTCATACTGGCACACTTTATCAAACCATACAAAACCTATTGATACCTATCAAAAATAATAAATGTTATTATCTATGGATCTTTAGCCTTGGCTAGAGAAAAAGGCAACTTGGAGGAATGTTGTATCTGGTGCTCTTGTTGCTCTCCCCTGTCCTGGGCTTGGAGTAAGCACTAATATGTCAAATAATTTGGTTACAGAAATCACCGCACAGTCAGATGCTAGTGAAATCCGACAGGACTGGAAACCTACATTCCTTAGTAATGAAGAGTTTACACAATTAATGTTAGAGGTATGTTGAAACATTTTTGTAAAATTATTTACCTGAAAAATGGTGGTTGGCTCAGTGTAGTTTTACCTGTATTGTCTTAGTTCAATGTAGACTGTATACTAGATTATATAATATACTATACTGTACTATATTTCAACTAAAATTATATCAACTAAATTAATCAGTGTTTTATGAAATGTACCATGTTGTAAAATGATGTCAGATTTCCATATATTCCATATTATCTGATTTTTTAACACAATAAAAATCAGAAAACTTTTACTACCCAAGTTTGCTACCTGAGACCACACTAACAACATTCACCAAAAATTGTAATAAATAATTAGATTAATAATGAAATATATGCTTTGAAAGGCAACTTTATTTTTCTTCTGGCTCTTGATCCACATTTGGTGATACTCAGGACTTACTCCTGGTAGTGCTCAGAGGACTGTATGCAGTACATACATCCTTTAGATATAGAAAAAATAGAAAGGCAAAGTAATAACTAATTAATCCTTTCTCTTAAATCATCCAGAGTCAAAACTCTTAGAGAGTTCAGTCTTGGAATGAGTACTTCTTTGTCTTACTCTCTCTGCATGTCTTATTTTTTCCTTCAAGGCTGCTTTAGTTTTGTATGTGCTTTGTAACTACCTTGGGGAATTACATATTCCTCTGCTGTAAAGAGGTCAAGGCTCTGGCTCCTTTCTTGGGTTAAGACTTTGTCAAGGGGCTGATAGAGGCTTTTCTCTACTTGGACTTTGTCTGCTTTGTTAGAAGAAAAGACAGGCTCTGGTTTAGGTCATTCAGGCACATTTTATTTTGACAGGCTCATGATAATTTCTCATTCCGAACCTTTTAGTTCTTTCTCTGCACAGTACAGAACTACATCCCATTTTCTACCAAATATCTCAAGAGCAAATATAAATCTTCATAGTAAATATTTGTTTTCAGAGATTACACAGCTTAATTTCACATGAGAAAGGCATGTTCGTTTTATTTTTAGATTTCCCCTTATATTCTTAATTTTCTTTTAAAATTTTTTTTCACTAGATAACCATGAGATGAACAGTTACAAAGTTGTCCATAATGGGTATCAGTCATATAATGTCCCAACATCTGTCTTTTCACCATTGTACATTTTCCACCACCAGTGTCCCCAGTTTCCCTACCCCCAGTCTTCCTCTATGTTAGTCACTTTTCTTCTCTTTCTCTCTTTCTCTCTCTCTCTCTCTCTCTCTCTCTTTCAATTGTTCTCTTTCTTCTTCTCTCTCTCCCATCCCTCCCTCTCTCCCTCTCTTACTCCCCACACCCCCATCTTCCTCTCCCTCTTTCCTTTTGGGCATGTGGTTTGTGTACAGGGACTGTAAGGTTATCGTGTATATTTCATTATCTACTTTCAGCACTCAATTCTTGCCCAAAGTGATTATTTCCAACTGTCATTATCATAGTGGCCCTTTCTTTATCCTTACTGCTCTCTCTTCCTTCCCTCCGCCTGTGACAAGCTTCCAACCATGGGACCTTCAATTCTATTATCCTTGAGTAATAAACTCATACTGTGTTTTTTTTTTTAATATCCCACAAAGGAGTGCAATCATTCCATGCTTATCCTTCTCCTTCTGACTAATTTTTTCAGCTAATACTCTACATATCCATCCATTTATAAACCAGTTTCATGACTTCATTCTTCTTGGTGATTGCGTGTATGCCATTGTGTAGATATACCATAGTTCTTTAACCTGTCATCTATTCTCAGATACTTGGGTTGTTTCCAGTTCAGGTTTTTGTGAGTAGTGCTACAATGAACATAGAAGTGCAGATGGCATTTCTGTTGTCTTTTCGGGTCCCCAGGTTATATTCTCAGAAGTGGTATTGTGGGGGCATGGAATTTCTAGTTCTTTGAGGAATACACATATTGTTTTTAAAAAGGGCTGGACCAGTTTTTCACTCTAACAGTGAGTAAGAGTACCTTTCTGCCTGCATCCATGCCAGCACTGGTTGCTCTTGTTCTTTTTGATATGTGGCACCCTCTTTTTGATGTCTTGTGCAAATAGTGATGATATCTCATTGTTCTTATTTGCATCTCCCTGATAATTAGTGATGTAGAGCATTTTTTCATATGCTTTTTGACCATTTGGTGCTTTTTTGACCATTTGAATTTCTTCTTTGAGGAAGTTTGTGTTCATTGCTTTTCTCCAGTTTTTGATGGGGCTGTATTTTTCTTGTTAAGCCCTATTAGTGCATTATATATCTTTGCTATTAACCTGTAATCTGATGGGTATTAGGTAAATAATTTTTCTCATTCCATGAGCTGTCTTTGTATCTTGGTCACTTTTTAGGTGCAGGAGCTTCTTAGTTTAGTGTGGTCCCGTTTGTTTATCTTTGCTTCCATTTGCTTGGTCAGTGGTGTATCATCTTTGAAGATGCTTTAGCTTCAATGTCATGAAGGGTTCTACCTATGTTTTCCTCCATAAATCTTATGGGTTCAGGTCTGATAATTGAGGTTTTTAATCCATTTGGATCTGACTTTTGTGCATGGCATTAGAAAGAGGCCTGAATTTATTTTTTGCAGGTATCTGCCCGATTTTCCCATCACCACTTGTTGAAGAGACTTTCTTGCTCCACTTAGTACTCTCCTTTATAAAAGATTAAACGACATATATTTGAGGGTTTCTGCCAGGACACTCAACTCTATTCTATTGGTCTATGTACCTTTCTTTATTCCAGTACCATGCTGCAATAAAGCATGGCACTGGAATAATTTTTTTATTACTACCACTTTGCAATATAGTTTGAAGTTGGAGAAGGTGATGCCTCCCATCTTCTTTTTCCAAAGTGTTCCTTTAGCTGTTCATGATGAGGGGGGGTGGCTAATATTCCATATGAATTTCAGAAGTGTTTGATCTTATTGTTCCATATGAATTTCAGGAGCGTTTTGTCTATTTCCTTGAGGAATGTCATGGGTATCCTAATAGGGACCGCATTAAATCTGTGTAGTGCTTTGGGGAGTACTGCCATTTTGATAATGTTAATCCTCCCTATCCATGAGCAGGGGATGTGTCTCTTTCCTAGTGTCCTCTTTTATTTCTTGAAGTAGTGTTTTTAAATTTTCTTTGTATAGGTCCTTCGCCTCTTTAGTTAAGCTGATTTCGAAGTACTTGATTTTCTGAGGCACTTTTGTGAACGGGATTATTTTTTTAATATCTCTTTCTTCTCTTTCAGTATTTGTATATAGGAAAGCCATGGACTTTTGGGTGTTGATTTAGTATCCTGCCACTTTACTATACAAACCTATTGTTTCTAGGAGCTTTTTTGTAGTCTTTAGGATTTTCTAAGTATAGTATCATATCATTCGCAAATAGGAACAGCTTGACCTCTTCTTTTCCTATCTATCTATATGCCCTTGATAGCTTTTTTCTTGCCTAACTGCTATGGCAAGAATTTCAGTGCTATATTGAATAGGAGTGGTGAGAGTGGGCAACCTTGTCTTGTGCCTGATGTTAGAGGGAAGACTTCTCATTGAGGATAATACTTACTTCAGACTTGTGGTAGATGGCTGTGACTGTGTTGAGGAAAGTTCCTTTAATGCCAGATTTGCTGAGAGTTTTCATCATAAACAGGGGAATCCATGTTCTTAACATCACTTTTATCCTATTCCTTAGGAAACAATAAGGATTCTTATACTAAGAAGTTCTTATATTATAATTTCTTAAAACTGCATAAAGTTACAGGTAGCCAAGAGTGGCTTTGTCGGAGCCATTCTAGAAGATAACGTATCATCAACTCAGAATAAGGTGTAAGGTGTTTGTCTGGAGTTGCCACATGGTCATGATACTCTAGGGCCTGGGTCTTTCCCTCGCATCTTAACCAGCTTTGGTTGTTTTTATTATCTTGATGTGTGCCAGTCTGACTAGTATGAGGTGATATCTCGTTGTTCTGATTTGTATTTCCCAGGTGGTCAGTGACCCAGAGCATTTTTTTTTCCTGTACCTGTTGACCATCTGGATGTTTTCTGGAAGTTTAGTTCATCTCTTCTCCCCCATTTTGGATAGATTTGATCTTTTTCTAGTCCAGTTTACAAAAGCGTTATGTATCATGGATATTAACCCTTGGTTAAATAAATGGTGGGCAGATATTCTCTTTAAGTCTGTGAACTGTTTTTTAGCTGTCATCTTTTTTTTTGCAGTTGCATAAGCTTCTTAATTTGATGTAGTACCTTTTATTTATCCTTGTTTTTGTTTGCTTGTGCAATGGCATTAAGTAATTGAAGATACTTGTAATTCAATATGAAGGTCTCTGCCTGTATTTTCTTTAATATGATTTGTGATTTGGGTTTGATATCGTCTTTAATTAATTTTGAATTGACTTTTATGCACAAGGGATCAGTTTGTTTATTTTTTATTAGTGAAACACCATGAGGTACAATTGTAGACTTACAAACTTTCGTGCTTGGGTTTCAGTTATACAATGGTCAAGTACCTACACCAGTGCCATTCTCTACCACCAATGATCCCAGTCACCCTCCCACCCCCCATCTCATCCCCCCCACCCCACCCCGCCTCTGTGGCAGGGCATTCCCTTTTGCTCTCTCTTTCCTTTAGGGTGTTGTAGTTTGCAATAGAGATATTGAGTAGCCATCATGTTCGGTCTATAGTCTACTTTCAGCCCGCATCTCGCATCCTGAGCGAGTCCTCCAAACAACCCTTTACTTGGTATTCTCTTCTCTGTCTGAGCTGCCTTTTCTGCTGCATCTGCTGCCGGCTTCCAAGCCGTGGAACAGACCTCCTGGTACTTATCTCAACTATTCTTGGGTGTTCGACTCCCATTCTGTTACTTTATATTCCCCAGATGAGTGCAGTCTTCCTATGTCTGTCCCTCTCTTTCTGGCTCATTTCACTTAGCATGGTACTTTCCATGTGGATCAGTTTATTTCTTGACATGGAACTCATGAGTTTTTTAATATTATTTATTAAAAAACTTCCCTTGCTCCACTTCATATTCTTTCTTAGTCCTTTCTCAATGATTAGCTGACCATCCTCTTATACCTGACATCTGTCTCTGGGCTTTGAATTCTATTCTGTTGTTCTGAGAATCTGCCTTTGTTTCAGTAATACACTGTCTTGATTACTATAGCTTTCTAGTATAATACTGGGAAAGAAAAGCCTCCCATCTTTTTCCCCCTGAAATTGCTTTGTCTATTCAAGGATTTTATTATTCCAAACAAATTTTGCCAGCATTTGTCTGTGTTGTCATTCTCGCTTCAGTTGACTTTCTTTGTGGCCGTTGATTCTCTTTTCTCTGCAATTTCTCTCCTCGTTAGTCCCGTGTATTGATAATTCACCCCAAGGATTTGTCTTTGAAAGTCTTCTGTCTTCTGTAGGTTCATTTCTTCAAGCTGCCATGGGATTCTCAATGGATGATACTTTGTGATAATAAAATACAGTATTGTATTATGAAAGTATCAAACTCTCTGACTTTTTTTCTTATTGCCTCGGATTTTATTCAGTTTTCATTAATTTCCCTGGCCCTTCCAAAAGCCACAAGGGTTTTCCTTAGAATTCTTTTTTCCCTCTAAGTTCATTTTGCTTCCAGACTGTTTTTGAACAGTCATACGATATCTGACCCTCATTTTTACAGTCCTTTCTTGATCTGACCTTAATTTGCATTTTCACTTTGTTTCCTTTTTATTTTCTTTCCCCATCACTTTTAATATATCCAAAAGGTGAGAGTCTATTCCTTTGTGTGCTAATAAAAACATTCTACCAATGGTGTGATGTGTATTTGAAGATACTAGCATCAGAAGTAAGGCTACCTTGCATATGATAAGGTAGACTGGTATCTTTTACAGACTGTCAAATAGTGATTTTTTTTCCTCCCCGGAGGCATTTAAAAATGCACAAAAACACATACTAAGATACTGTAAAAGGAAAAGTTTGCATTCCAACTGCTCTGGAAATTGCATTGAGTTCTTTGTCATTTATCTTAGTTAGATTATTATTTCTCTCCTGTGAAATAAAAAGCTTTCTTTTCATTTAACTGACCATTATGTTTAATTTCAGGCTCTTGATGGTTTTTTTTTAGCAATCATGACAGATGGAAGCATAATATATGTATCTGAGAGTGTAACTTCATTACTTGAACATTTACCAGTAAGTATGACATTTATTATCTCTTATAATTAAAATATAATGCTTCTTATTATTAGTGTCATTATTTTGCTTTGGGGGCCACATCTAGCAGTGCTCAGTGGTTATTCCTGGGAGAACCATATGGGATGCCAGCAGGTCAACCACGTGCAAGATAAGCACCCTACCCACCGTACTGTCGCTCTAGCCCCTATTTATTTATTTTTAGAAGGACATCCCAGCAGTGCTAGGGAATTTGAGAGAAGAGTTGGGAGGTCTCTCAGTGAAGTGCAGCCTTCCGTGTGGGGTTTATGGTTCAGCACTCAGGCCCTGTGGTGCTCCGTAACCATCAACACTACAGCCAGTGGTCCTCAGAACCATGCCATGGTGCTGACTCAGGGCCTCACACATGCTCGGTATGTGTGGTACCACTTGAGCTGTCTTCCCAACTTTCAGTGCCCATTTTAAAGTTTCTAAAGCTCTGGGAAGTGGATAGAGTCAGATGAATTCTATGAATATTTCTTTTAGCTAGACTTTTCTTGGGTCAGTCTTACTAATCTCTTGTAACCAAGTAGGTCTGAGAGTAAGCACTTTAAGTTCTTGTCTTCTACCCTCTTTATTCAAGTCCTGATTTTTCAGTGTTTCCTTTTTTATCAGCATGATAAAGATGTTGGTCAAGGTCCAGGGCCAAGATGACTTAAAAGGGCAGCAGTGCTTGTTCTGCAACAGAAGGATCAGCATGCCCCGCCTCCCCAGCACTACTGGGGGTCATCCCTGAGCATTATGGGATGTGGTTCTAAAATAAAAAAGATGTTGGTGAGTCACTTCAGCTATTGTAGCTAGATGAACTCATAGAAAGTGAGGGCCTTCTAAGAACACACTAAAAAACAGATGCCAGTGAAATAGGAGAGAGACAGATACACAGTAATCTCTCTTATGTCTGGGTTATAAAGAAACAGTAAGGGAGAAACAAAAATGGCCAGAGGCAACAGAACCTGAGAATTGGTCTGCAGAACCTGTTGGTCTACAAAACCAAGGGAAGTGGTGGAGGGCTAGGTTAAGTGAGGGGAAACTCGTAGAGGGTATGGAGTTGAAACATTGTATGTAGAAAACCCTATCATTAACAGTATTGTAATTCACTGTGACTAAAACTTTCAAAACAAAATTTAATGATCCAGGGCTCTTATGCTGTGTGCCTTAAGTTGATAATGTTATGGCCATTTTCAAATTTTATCAACATGACCAAATAGGTAGAAAGATAAAAAATCAATAGTCATTATAAAGGATCATTAATCTGAATATAAAATTCATAATACTGATTTATTATATTCTACCAAAAATACATTTTACGTTTGTCACTTCATACTCAGAAAAGTAATTTAGGTACAGTTCATTTGTAGCTAATAATGATTTGTTTGTAGCTAATAATAAACCACATGATTTATTCATTTAGAGATTAGAAAGGAGATTTTTGGATTTTTTGTCTCCTGACCTGGCTTTCTGTGACTTACAGTGTCGCTGCCAGAAGGAATTTTAGTCATTTCCCTGGTAGGTTGTGTTAATCAAGAAACGTAAAATTGAGAGAAATTATAGACCAGAGATAGGAGGTATGTCTTTCATGCTACCAACACTGTGTGTGGCCTCTGAGCACCACATACGGCCCCCAATTCTGTGACAGCTTAGAAACGTAGAAATGAGCCAGGTCTCTGACTCTGATGTCAATTTAAAATTTGTAAAAGTTTACAACCTAAGATTGATTCTTTCATACTTACCTAAATGTGTACCTGAGAGTGTGTATTAAATTTGTCATGTTATACAGAGAAAATGATCAACCGTGTTACAGAGCTGAGAGAGTTCAGGACTAAAGTGCCTATATCAAGATATTAAATAAGCTTTTTCTTTTCAACTCATGACTCGGTAATATAAATATAAGTGTGTCTTAAGAAAGCCAGTAAGGTCTTTATCTCATTAAAAAAAGATGTGATATCAACACCCAAAAGGAGAGAGAGAACAGAGAAGAATGCCCTGCCACAGAGGCAGGGTGGGATGGGGGTGGGAAGGATACTGGGATCCATGGTGTTGGGAAATGGGCACTGGTGGAGGGATGGGCATTTGATCATTGTGTAATTGAAACCCAAGCACAAAATTTGTAAGTCTACAACTGTACCTCATGGAGTCTCACTAATAAAAATTTTTTTTAAATGTGATATGCAGATAATACAGTTCAGGATTTGAAAGCTTAATTAAAGGTTCAGAATTTTTATGCCTTTTTCTTTATGCCTATACAAGGAACACAGTTGAAACCATAGTATATCTAACATATTTGATATTTTCAGAGATTGATAAAAACAACTATAGCATTTAATTATACTTAGTAATACTTTTAAAGAGTTTTATTTTTATTGTGAATTATGTGGAATATTTTTTGAAATAAGCTATTTGAATTGGTCTTTGAAAAATGGAAAGGACAAAAGTGGAGAGAGGGGAAGTATATTCCTTCATAAGATAGTCTTCTGGCTACAGAAAAGAAAAGAATGTGACTATTTGACTACATGGAGAGCAATTAAAAAACTTCGACCTATTTTTTTTTTTCTTTTTGGGTCATACCTGGCTTGCGATGCACAGGGGTTACTCCTGGCTCTGCACTCAGGAGTTACTCCTGGCGGTGCTCAGGGGACCATATGGCATGCTGGGAATCGAACCCGGGTAGGCCATGTGCAAGGCAAACGCCCTACCCGCTGTGCTATCTCTCCAGCCCCATAAAAAACTTCGACCTGTTTTCATCCCAGTGACTCTCTTTTGTTGTTTGAGGTCTGTTTGTGTGTTTAAGCGGGAAAATTCTATTTGCAAATAAGGTTTTTGCTGTGTTTTAAAAAGAAACCAGATGAAAATTGAAGTACTTTGGTTGAATACAGGGAGAAAGATCTTTCTGCTTCCCTTCCTGTTTACCCATCTCCACAGTCCTTGAGCTGCTATTTCATTATCCCCAGGATTCCTTAGAGCAATGTGAAAATGTTGAGAAATCAGGTAAAACCAACTAGATGAGGAGGAAGTAAGAAGTCATTGAAATTTCCTTGTCAGTATTTTGGTTGATTGGTTTGAATGACCCCAGCAGTGCTAAGCCATTTCTGGGAATGCATGGCTGGACAGTGCAGGATGAGTGGTTAGTGTTTGACCTGAGATGCAATGCTGCTCTGGCTGCAGCAATGCTGTCAGCTTTCAGGGTCACTCCTGGCATGCTCCAGAGCTGTGCAGTCACAGAGATCAGACTCTGAACTATTTCAGTGGCCGTGGTAGGGTATTTAAGACTAGGAATTGTCTTATTCATTTTTTATTCCAAAAGCCTTGCCTTATGTTCGCCAAATTACGGTTGGTTAATGAATCATAATTAAAAACATGTTTTAGCGAGGATTATAATGCTTAACGTGTTGCTAGCCTTTGTTGCTGTAAGCTAAAGGCAGGGCTTTTTGAGACTTGTGTTCAAGTGCTAGTACACATGCCTAGCATTATGAGAACCCATGTTCAGTTCTTGATGCCATTCATCTGACCTTCACACTCACACCCAAGTACTACCAGATGTGTATTTAAAAATTTAAATATAAAAATTTAAAATTTATTTAAAAATAAATTTAAAATTAAATAAAAATAAATTTAAAAGTAAATGAATAAATAAAAATAAATCTATTTAGGGGCCAGAGCGATAGTACAGCGGGTAGGACGCTTGCCCTGCACGTGGCCGACCTGGGTTTGATCTCCAGTATCCCATATGGTCCCCCAAACACTGTCAGGAGTAATTCCTGAGTGCAGAGCAAGGAGTAACCCCTGTGCATCCCCGGGTGTGACCCAAAAAGCAAAAAAAAAAAAAAAAAAAAATTTAAAAATAAGATTTGTTGATTGAAAAAGAAAGGATATATCAGACAATTAAAATGATCCCAGAGCAGAGTTACATCTCTCTAGCCTGTGGCTATCCTTTGTTAAGGTGTGTGCCACGATAATTTGAGATTTGGACATATGATCAAGTTACATGTTTAGCTTAAAATCTTTCTGCTCAGTTCTGTCTTGTTATTAGAAATTCAAATTTAGTGAAAACTCAGCTGTACAGTGCCTGATATTTTTCAGAATTATTTTGACCATGGCTCTGATGACACAAATATGAGAGGCAAGGGAACAGAATAATTTTTCACCTTATTTTTTAAATTGTGTTTGATCTGTAACACATTTGTCGATTTTCATAAATAATCAAGAGTTGACTATATGCCATTTGATGTTTTAAGAGTAGGTATATAGTCATTTAAATAAATATTGCTTGAATCACAAAAATTATTTTTTAAACTTCCTTTGCAGTCTGATCTTGTGGATCAAAGCATATTTAACTTTATCCCAGAGGGAGAGCATTCAGAGGTTTATAAAACACTCTCTACCCATCTGCTGGAAAGTGATTCATTAACCCCGGAATATTTAAAATGTAAGTAGTAGCTGTTAAGAAAAAGTTAAATATTACATTTGGTAGCATTTTCATTTATTTTTCTCAGTTTGTGACAAACCAGATATGTTTACATTAATGTGTTATCATTCCATATAACCTATTCACTATCACTATGCTCCCGTTGTTCATCAATTTGCTTGAGCGGGCCCAGTAACGTCTCTATTATGACAATTGTTACTATGCGTGGCATATCGAGTACATCACAGGTAGCTTGCCAGGCTCTGCCGTGCGGGCGAGATACTCTCGGTAGCTTGCCCGGCTCTCCGAGAGGGGCGGAGGAATCGAACTCGGGTCGGCCATGTTGGCTGTGTGCAAGGCAAACGCCCTACTGCTGTGCTATCGCTCTAGCCCATACAACTTATTAGAATGTCAAAATATTTATGTAAGTATATGTAGAATTAAATTATGACTGCATTGAAAGTTTGAGTTTAGTTAGGCAATTTAAAATACCACTTTTGGGGCTGGAGAGATAGCACAGCGGGTAGGGCATTTGCCTTGCAAGCGGCCGACCTGGGTTCGATTCCCAGCATCCCATATGGTCCCCTGAGCACCACCAGGAGTAAGTCCTGAGTGTAGAGCCAGGAGTAACCCCTGTGCATCTCCGGATGTGACCCAAAAAGCAAAATAAAAAATAATAAAATACCATTTTTGTTTTAATAGCTGTGCCATAAAATTGTATTTCACATGAAAGTAGGAGTTTCAACATAATTTTTTTAATAGTCATACTGTATTTAATAAGAAAAGACTAAGCTTTGCTTTTTTTTTTTTTTACTTTTTTGGGTCACACCCAGTGATGCACAGGGGTTACTCCTGGCTCATGCACTCAGAAATTACTCCTGGTGGTGCTCGGGGGGGACCATATGGGATGTTGGGAATCAAACCCTGGTTGGCTGCGTGCAAGGCAAACGCCCTACCTGCTGCACTATTGCTCCAGCCCGAGAAAACTAAGCATTTTCAGTATTACAATTGGACACTAAAACTAGAAAGTAATAAAAATCATATAAAAATTGTTAAAGAAAATTATTTACCTTATAAGAACTAGCCATGTTTTAGGTGAATGTATCTAAGTGTCAGACACTTGTATTTTGTAAAAGTGTCAAGAATAGAAGAAAATAGTCCCTGCTTTCTAGAGTATTATGTTAGGGGCTAGAGCTATAGCACAGCGGGTAGGGTGTTTGCCTTGCACGTGGCCAACCCGGGTTCAATTCCCAGCATCCCATATGGTCCCCCAAGCACCACCAGAATTAATTCCTGAGTGCAGAGCCAGGAGTAACCCCTGAGCATCGCTGGGTGTGACCCAAAAAGCAAAAAAAAAAAAAAAATTTTTTTTGGTAAAACCAAACATTTCTTTTTGACTGGAAAAAATAATTTACCTGACCACTTTTCTTTGCTAAATTGAACTATCCTATGCAAAATCCAAAATGATTGTAACATAATTTGATAACCAGATATCTGTGGTTATAATATTTGTAACCTGTGTCTATAATATTTATTATATTAACTATAATCTTAATCTATGTCTATAATATTTAAAATTTGGACTTCTCTGATAATACTGACATTAATGTATTTGCACCTTTAACTTCTGTATAACACATGTAATGCCCTAAGAATCGAGAGGATCTAGACAGCAGGTAACCAACCTGGGTTTGATTGCTGGCACCACGTAGTCTACCAGGTTTTGCTGAGTGCAGCCCTGGGGTGCCCCAGGTAACCCTAGAACAGCAGAGCCAGAGCAGCATCACATCCTCACTCCCTTGTGTTGAACCAAGCCTGCTTGACGGAATCACCAGTGGGTCCCTGGACCGCCTGAGCACAGCTTGGGAGTGCTATCCTCCACATCCCCCAAAAGGAGTTACGAACCATTTAAGACATAAGTCCATTTGAAACCTATTTACAGTTATTTAAGTCAAATACTTCCATGATAGTAACAGTCTCACAATTTGTTGTGAGACGTGTTACTGGTTTCCGCTAGAGCAAAATCAGTGAACAACTGGAGGACAGTGCTACTTCCTTGATAGATCACTGGGGCACTCTTAATCTTTCATATGTTTGTAAATGCACAGTATTGGAAGTTAAGAGAATGACATTGTTTGGAAGAAATACATAGCTAAAGGGAAAAAGAACCCCTGGCACCTAGTAATAAGGAACATGATTCAGTTTTCGAGAACTGAATGAAAGCCTTTGACAGAAGAGACTTTAGGCTTCCTCCAAGATGAAGTGAGGTTGGCAACAGTAATTTTTCATAGAGAAAAAGTTTCACTAATGACCTACTGACACACCCCACCCCCACCCCACATAAAACAAATGACATACAAAAAGGGTTCTTACCATACTCTAAGAAAGTGTTTTATGTTGAAGCGGGATAGTAAGCATGATTGAAAGCAGGAGAAATACCTTAGAAAAGTCAGGATTCCACAGTTACAGTATTCGGGTTAGAATAAGTCAAAGTGGTATGTGGTTTGGGAGTGTGATTTCTGTCCGGAGACAGAAGAGCACAGAATGATAAATGGCCTTGTGACAGCACTTCACTTTTGGTTTGGGGGTCACTTCCAGCAGTCCCAGAGCCTACCCAGGTAACCCTACCTACTAGGTGCCCAGGATTCACGCCTAGCAGTGCTTGATGGAGCATGTGGTGTGTGGATCAAACTTGGGCCTCCTATAGCATACAGCATGCACTCCAACCCTTTGGATTATACACCAGCCTGGGATTTTATATTTTATGCAAGTCAGTACAAGAGAATTTGGTTGATTTTTCTAGTCTTGAAAAAACTCCCAAGATGGGCTGGAGCAATAGCACAGCAGGTAGGGCATTTGCCTTGCACGCGGCCAATCTGGGTTCGATTCCCAGCATCCTATATGGTTCCCCGAGCACCGCCAAGAGTGATTCCTGAGTGCAAAGCCAGGAGTAACCCCTGACCGTCGCTGGGTGTGACCCAAAAAGCAAAAAAAAAAAACACTCCCAGGCAGAAAATTTTGAGAATGAACCAGGCTAGAAATAAAAAAATAAAACTAATCATAGAAATAGAAGGAAGGCATGAAACATGTATATCTGAGTGTTGAGTGGATAAACTTAATAATAATTGATAATGGGTATAGATATCCAGATATCCAGGAATTCCTCAGCAAGGAAAGTTAGAGGTGGAAGACAGATTTTTGAATTAGATGATAAGAGCTGATGATAAGATTTTTGATTAGATGATAAGATGATAAGATGACAGAACCTGTTGAATTAGATGATAAGAGCTCTCATAGATAATTGAGTTTCAAATGTTATGCATTAGAGGTATTCCAAGCCTTTGAATGATGAAATATTAACAACATAACTAATATTAATTTCAGAATAATAAGTATGGAGGTTGTTATCAGGTAGCAAGAGTGGTGGTATAAAGAATAAATTTTGACTGTCAGTCAGGTATAGGTGTAGGTGAGTTGGTGGTAATGGATGCTTATTTGAAAAAATTTACTTCTGAGAGTTTCCATGGTGAAATAAATAGAAGATCCTGGTGACAGTAGTTGGGAACTTGTGACTGGGAGATAAAAGGTCACATATGCTGTCATAGATTGTAGATTTCAGATACTTCTGGAATACTCAAGTAAAATGTCCTGAAGGCAAATAGTGATATGAGAAACTATCTTTCATGAACTCTTAAAGTTGGGAGAGAGATTTAGGGGCAAATAAATTCAGTTATATGTCATATATTTATGAAGAAGAGCAGAATAATTTTTATAAATGTCCATAATTTGAATATTAGCAAAAGAGAATGGTCATTGAAGTGAGAGTACAAATTTCATGCTATGGGAATGAGAAAAAGTATGAGTTTTTGGAAGAAGTAGAAACAGTGAGTCAAGATCCCTGAAGTTAACAAACCTCACTATTGTTGATAGGGTCTTGGAAACTCCCTTTATAAGTAAAACAACATTTAATCAAATAAAATCTATATAAATACAGATTTATAAAAATTTTTTATGAAATAAATTATTTTACCATAAAGTTAAGTTTCTACTGTTTATTTTTTTAAGGAAAATCAAAACAAAAACCATCAAACAGCCAAGACTCCAAACAGTTCTAGTTAATACAGTAATTTAAATTTATTCATGCATTTATTTCATATCCTGCTCCCTACAGCTCAGGTCACAGCAACTAAAGGCTCACTATGGGACTGACCCCTAAATAGGAGGCCCTCCAGGGAAGGGTGCAGTCACATCCACATTCACGCAGAAGTTTAGAGATGCACATTGATCTCTGGGGTATGAAAGAAGCCTCTGATGCTCACCACACGGTGACCCCAGGCAGGGATTATTTTTTTTTCTCATCAACATCAAAATGAAAAATTCTTGACCAATAGAATATTATCCAAGGATCTGCTATGCAAATATTGGTTATCTTTAGAAGAATCATTTCTTAGAGATAAAGGTAAAGGCCCTCCCGTTGATCGTCGATTTGCTCGAGCGGGCCCAGTAACGTCTCCATTGGAGACTTTGTTGTTACTGTGTCTGGCATATCAAATACTCTCGGTAGCTTGCGGGGCTCTCCGAGAGGGGCGGAGGAATCGAACTTGGGCCGGCCATGTTGGCCGCTTGTAAGGCGAACGCCCTACCCGCTGTGCTAGAGATATAAAGACAAAAAAGCTACAGAATATGAAGTTTAGGAAAATTAATATATGGAAACTAGAGCATGTAGTGAAAAGAAAGGAAAGCTGATGTTTGAAAGATTAGCATGATAAAACCCTTTATTTTCTCCATCTCAGTGGAAAGATCTGAGCATATTTTATTTTATTTTTAAATTTTTATTAGTGAAACACCATGAGGTACAGTTGTAGATTTACAAATTTTTGTGCTTGGGTTTCAGTTATACAATGATCCAGTACCCATCCTTCCACCAGAGCCCATTCTCCATCATTTACTTTTTTTTTTTAATTTTTGTTATGAAACACCATGAGGTACAGTTGAAGATTTACAAATTTTTGTGCTTGGGTTTCAATTGTACATTGATCGAATACCCATCCCTCCACCACGGGTCCCAGTATCCCTCCCACCCCCCATCTCCCCATCCCACCCTGCCTCTGTGGCAGGGTATTCCCTTTTTGTTCTCTCTCCTTTTGTGTGTTGTGGTTGGCAAAAGAGGCATTGAGTGGCAATCATGTTTGGTCTATAATCTACTTTCAGCATGCTTCTCCCATCCTGGGAGGATCCTCTCAACACCCTTTATTTGGTGCTCCTTTCTCTATATGAGCTCCCTTTTCCCCTAGCATGTGTGGCTGGCCTCCAAGCCATGGAGCAAAAATCTGGTACTAAATCTCGGCCACTCTTGGGTGTTAGTCTCCTATTTTGTTACTTTATGTTCCCCAAATGAATGCAATCTTTCTATGTCTGTCCCTCTCTTTCTGACTCATTTCGCTTAGCATGATACTTTCCATGTTGTACCACTTGTATATAAATTTCATGACTTCATCTTTTCTAACAGCTACATAGTACTCCATTGTGTAGATGTACCAAAGTTTCTTTAACCGGTCATCTGTTCTCGGGCACTCAGGTTTTTTCCAGATTCTGGCTATTGTAAAGAGTGCTGCAACGAACAAACAAGTGCAGATGTCACTTCAACTATACATTTTTGCCTCTTTGGGATATATTCCCAGGAGTGGTATTGAGATCTGAGCATATTTTTAAAGTAGAAAATTAAGGACGCAAAGAAGATAATATGTGGATGCAAATGGAATGTGACAGTAGTGTAGATTTGGTTCTAGGGAAGATACGAAGAGTGTTGAAAGTAGAGATAGAATCATTAGCTTGAGAATGGAAGGCACAGCCTTTTGTTTGAAATCAGGATAAGATGGGAAATACGGAGTGGCGTTGCTCATATTCAAAGATTTGTTTCCTCTATTAAGAACAAGGTGAAATCAAGGAGTAGAATCAAGGTTCTGTACTTATATGGATTAAAATAAAATATTATTTAGGAATTAACTGTTGGAACTCATAGTTAACAAATGTTACGTAGTAATATATTTATAGTTTCAGGTTAGTTATATGGAAACTTATAGTTATGTAACTTTTATGTCATGTGGTTTCCTCATTTTTATGTATCAAAATATATATCACTTTATATTTCAGCAAAAAATCAGTTAGAATTCTCTTGTCATATGCTTCGAGGAACAATAGACCCAAAGGAACCATCTACTTATGAATATGTAAAATTTATAGGAAATTTCAAATCTTTAAATAGTGGTAAGTTGAAATGCTTTAGTCATGATACATTTTCACTTGTTTTTCTTTTAAGCTTTTAAAAGACATAGATGTTTGAACATCAAAAATTTAGAATTTACTTTATTGTTTCAGTATCTACTTCAGCACACAATGGTTTTGAAGGAACTATACAACGCACACACAGACCTTCTTATGAAGATCGAGTTTGCTTTGTAGCTACTGTCCGATTAGCTACACCTCAATTCATCAAGGTATGTTTCTAATTTAATTGTACAAAAGGGATTTCACTTACTACCCCAGAATGTCTCAGTAATTTTTTTGTTTCCAAATGACTTGAAATATCTACAAACATAAATGATTCCAATGTTTTTGAAGCAAATTAGCTGCAAACGCTTTTGTTAAATCATATAACTTCACTTTTTAGTTTATGTTCTTTTGCATTTTACCAGTAATTATGTATCACCATTGTTCTTCTCTTGTGCAAAATTTTAGGATGCTCTTTTGTAAAGTTTACGCTCTACACTAAAGGAAAGGTCTAGATTCTAGGTAATTTTAAGAGATGGCTTTTTTTTTTCATTGGTGGTGGAGAATGGGCACTGGGGAAGGGATGGGTACTCGATCATTGTAAAACTGAAACCCAAGCATGAAGGTTTGTAAGTCTACAGCTGTACCTTGTGGTGTTTCATTAATTTAGAAAAAAAAAAAAAGAAAGAAAGTCTTTTTTTCAGGAGGGGGAGGATGGGTTTTTTTTTTTAATTTTCTTTAGAAATGTACAAATGGCTTTTATGTTATGTAATTTATATTTTCATTTTTTGAAATAAATAATTTTATTTCCTGTGTCCAATAAGCAGATGACTATATAAAGAAGAGGGAAAAGGACGAAAGAGATAATAAAAGGATGAAGGCATTTGCCTTGCGTGCATCTGGCTCCAGTTTAATCTCTGTCATCACATATGATCCCCCAAGCACAGCTAGATGTGTGTGCCCCACAAAAGAAGCTCCATAATAAAGTGCTTAAAAAATAATAGAGAAGTTAGCCATTAGAAAAAACACTGTGATTTTAATTTTAGGATTACAGCATGTGTAGAATTTAGCTTCTTAAACTGTGAGTTATGACTCCATATAGGATCATAGAACTGAATGTGGGGTTGTAAAAAATTATTTTGGGGGGGTTAGAGTGATAGTACAGCAGAAAGAGTGCTTGCCTTGCATGCGGCTGTCTCAGGTTCAATCCCCAGTACCTACATTGGTCCCTGCAAACCCACCAATAGTGATTCCTAAGCACAGAGCCAGAAAAGTAAGCCCTGCCCACAGTTGGGTATGACCCAGAAACAAAAACAAAGCACAAAAGTTAATTCTTACCACAGTCCTAGAAAATTAAAGTATATCAGTGATTTAGGGGAAAGTTATCTAATAATGACATTTATGACAATATTTAGGTTTCTTTTAAATATTCAGAATCATACTTCTAAACTTTCATTATTAATTTATTTGTAGGAAATGTGCACTGTTGAAGAACCTAATGAAGAGTTTACATCTAGGCATAGTTTAGAATGGAAGTTTCTATTTCTAGATCACAGGTAACATTTTTCAATTCCATTACACAGTAATAGCTACATAATTTTTGAAATTAGTGGGTTTCAAAGACAAATTTTTAAAATCAAGATTTTCAAATGTATTTTTTCAGAAATAAAAAACCCTCCAAAATTGATTTCTAGGTGGGCTATTTCTTATTGTGGGAAAAGTTACCATCTTTTGATTGCTTTATGTGTAATTTAGGGCACCACCAATAATAGGATATTTGCCATTTGAAGTTCTGGGAACATCAGGCTATGATTACTATCATGTGGATGACCTAGAAAATTTGGCAAAATGCCATGAGCACTGTAAGTAGACTTTAATATTTCCAGTGATAAAACTGTTTTAAATCATATAAACAGCTATCATAATGAGAAGGTGATACAACAAATCTATTTTGGGGTTTTGAAATATACTGGCATATACCCTAGGTGGATAATCAGGGCAGCCGGAATTAAAACTCAAGTTTAAATAAAACATTTTTCTATTTTCTATTTGCATTTGTAATTGTAAGTACAGTTTTATGTTACAGTATCTAATAAACCTTATTTAAACTATATAAGCCTTGCATCTGTAGTAAGAGCAGTAGATTGTTTTGAAGATTGTAAAATCATTATGATACTGTTTAATAACTTCTGGTTTCTAAGCATACAGGTTTGCCCAGGAGCAAGGTACATGTTGAGAGTATTTCAGGAAGGACCTAGTGAGGATATTACCTCCCATTCTGTGAACCACAGCAGCTTTCTTGTCAGCACTATTCTAAACAGTTTATAGGCATTATCCCATTTTTTGCAACTACACTTCTAGAAGGTAGATACCATCTCTTTAAGTAAGACGCAGCGAGGTTAGGAAGTTTTCTACAATCCCATTGCTTTTATGGTGGTAAAGATGGATTAGCACCTAGACCTACCACTTTACCACATGCCGGTGATTCTTTACTTCAGAGGTTTTAAAGTAGGTTTTAGTGGCTTCTCGGACCTTCCTCCCCAAATCCTGTCCTCTTGGTGTCCTCTAAAGCTTTTTCAGATATTCAAGATATGTTCATATACCACTGGCCTCATATACCTCATTTTGTGAAAATAAAGCATGATAATCTCAATTGCAAGGAAGATTTTTCTGAGTAAAGTTATTTAAGCACAAAAAAACATAATTCACTCCAAGAGATAGGAGGACTATGCTCCATTCTGTATTGAGAAGAAATAATGCTTCTTTTAACTAGTTGGGATAAAATTAATTAAATTTGGACAGTTACAAGTTTCTAGACTTGGTTTTCTCATATAATCATGTGCATTCTACCAGCATTTTCTCAGCTTTATTCTGTTGAATACCAGTCAGTCCATTGAAGGGGTTTTATAGTGAAGCAAGATGGGTATGAAATACTTCCTAATAATCATTTTCCCTTTCCACTTCCTACTCCTCCAATTTTACAAAAGAATTTTGGTATACATAGAGTTTGTGAAGAAAATATGAACCTCTTAACTAATTTTAACCACAGACTTATTATATTTGGCCAAGTATCTGTTAATAGGCTTCTGACTTAGAATTTACAGAGAATGCTTTGGGAAACGCAGCACACATCAGTTGTTCAGACAAATCAGTTGATAGTGGTTATTTAACAATTAGTATCAAATGCTTTAAAGATTCTGTTCCTGCCACAGTTGCTGTGGAGAGAAAATTCAGATGTGGTTATTTTATTACTACTATAGTCATTGTATGTTGGCAGGAGGAAGTAATAATGTGAAGAATTAATTTTAGGGTATTTCAAAATTCATTGTAACCAGAAGTATACAAAAAGGGCAATAATTGACAATAAGCTAGGGAGTGTGGAAGAGCTGATTCAAAATTGCTTTGGAGCTAAAGGTATACAGAATAGCATTTTCTCCTAATTTAAATGTGTGGGTATATTTGTATACACACATGAACACTTATATCTGTAAGTAAATAGCCAGAAAATGAATTCTGTCTATAGATCAAGGGAGAGTAATATCTTTGACTAAAAACAGATTTAAAACTAATAACATGAATTGAAATTTTCTTTTCTCTAGTGATGCAATATGGGAAAGGCAAATCATGTTATTATAGGTTCCTAACTAAAGGACAGCAGTGGATTTGGCTTCAGACTCATTATTACATCACTTATCATCAGTGGAATTCAAGACCAGAGTTTATTGTTTGTACACACACTGTAGTAAGGTAATACATCCTTTGCAGAATTTCTGAATTTAAGCACCATCATTATGAGTTTTGCAGTGTAATTTTAGGTATGATTTCTTAATTACAAAGAATTTTTTCCATTTTTCTAACATTTTCAGTATGTTATTAAATTTACTAGTTATTTCCAGGCATTATATGTAAGTACTAAATAGGTAATTCTTCACATCAGTTTTAGAATTTTTTCAGTTTTAATCCTTTTTTTTTTTTTTTTTTTTGGTGAGGGGTTGGAAATTGGGGTAATACCTGGCTGTGCTCAGGACGTATTCTTGGCAGTACTTAGGGCACCATATGTGGTGCCAGGGATCAAACCCAGGTCAGCAGCTTGCAAGGCAAGTGTCTGACTGACTTAATCTTTATCTGGCCTCCAATTTTATGGTTTAGAATAGAATTTGTAACAGTCACTTATGTAACCAAAGTCAACCTATAAAAGGAAAATTGGAGTAAATAGTGAATACTCTTCCTTTACTTAATACTTTGTGCTGTGTAGTTTTGAATCATGTACGAGAGCATATAAAACTATTTAACTAGATACATAAAGCAGTGCAATTTGAATGAAAATAACACACTGTAAATAAGTTTCAGGTTTATAGCTTATAGAAAATCATTGCGATTCAGTGAAGCAGTGGAATGCGTAACAGCGCTGAGCATTGCCCCTCTGAAGTGTTTCAGGTGAATGACCAAACACTGTTTTTTCCCATTTGCAGTTATGCAGAAGTTAGGGCTGAAAGACGACGAGAACTTGGCATTGAAGAGTCTCTTCCTGAGACAGCTGCTGACAAAGTATGTATCTTAGCATTTGTTTCTAATTATTTCATCCCAATTAAAGACAAGGCTTGATAATTTTTAAGAACTGTTTTTTCTGTTTTTATTCTGTTTTGGGGGCACACTGGCAGTGCTCAGAGTTACTCCCGGCTCTGCACTCAGGGGTCATTCCTGGCAGTGCTTCCGGGACCAGGTGGGATGTTGGGGATTGAGCCTGGGTTGGCCATGTGCAACCCAGGTTAATTTTTAATCTTACTTTGAACTTAGGATATTAAGGATCAGATTTGAGCATCTTTGCAAAGCATGTGCTCAGCCTCTTGGATTATCTCTGGCCCTTGCTTTCTTGTATTTTTTCTGTTTAAAAATGTTTTTGGTTTACAATACTATTATGGTTTCTCATAGACATAACTGTGTTAATGTTATTTAACAAGATTATATATCAGGAATACAATTTCATACCTCTCCAACATGTTGCCATATCTGAGTACCTGTATCCCTCCCATCACCATCCATTGGTTCTTTGAACTTTCTCCCCTCTCCTCACAACCCCTCTGGTAACCACAGCACTATGGTGCGAGTCCAGGGGTTTGGCTTTGTTGGGTTTTTGTCTGTTACCTTGCTCTGATGCTTCATTTCATTCATTTTTCAAAAAATGATTTTTATTGTCGTTTTTAGATAACACGGTTATAGTAGTGTTAAGGTTTGTGATTTTGATAAATAAAAAGTGACTGCTGCTTTTGACAGTGTCCTTACACTATTAATACGCCTCTTCCCCCTTCCCTACCCCCCTCCCTCTGTTGCTTGGTAATTTTAGTTCCCTAATTAAAGGCAAAGAGTTTATCATCATTTGATATAGTCCATTGACTTGTTTTGTTTTTCTGTATACCACAGATGATGGAGATCATCTGGCATTTAACCTTCTCCCTCTGACTTATTTCATTTACATGATACCCTCCAGCTCCATCCGTGTTGCAGTAAATTGCAAGCTTTTATCTTTTCTGCATGATATTGAGTTGTTTCCATATGTCCTGGCTGTTGGTACTGCCGTGAACATAGATGTGAACATATATTTTTGACTTAATGTTTTTATGTTCTTGAGGTAGATGATAACCTTGCAAGAAGTGGAATTGCCGGGGATATGGGAGCTAGGATGCAATTGAGACAAAGTAAAAAATGTAAACAAAGTATTATGTCACATAGTCATTTTTCCTTCTTTGGAGTATGACTTAGAAATCAGTCTTTATTTTTGTCTGTACATACATAAATGTGTGTTACCCTTTTATGTGGCTTCCCCAAAATAAGAACAAAAACATCCTACCCTCCCTCCTTTCCCCTTTCTCTCTTCCTCTCCTTGCTCTTTCTCCCTCTTCCTTCCCCTCTCCTCCCTTCCTTCTTTCCTTCCTCTCTCCCAGGCATCACATATGTAAGACAAGTACTTTACCATTGAGCCACATCTTCAGTCCAAACCCTTATATTTTATACATTGCATGTGGATGGCCTTTGAGAGACACTCCCCTCTGTCATGGTGAAAAGGGAAGAAAAGATTGGGTAAAGTTGGTATGTCAGCAGGTAAAATTAGATATTTGATGATAGTTAAGTATTCTCACCTATCAGCTGAGAGAAAGGGATGCAGATTAAGAGTAGTAATAAAGGTATAGAATAACAAGCAGAAAAGTGAACGTGCTAGAAATTTAACATTTCTGCCTAGTATTGTATACACTTTAAGTGGATCTCTTTAAATCCACTTTTTTCAAGGAAACATTTGAGTAAGTGAGCTGGAAAGATCCAGTAGGAAAGTAGTTTAAAATGAGATTTGATTTTGTTGTTAGACATTCTTCAGTGTTTAGAAATGGCATGAAGTAGAGCTTGAGTAGAAGTGAAAGATTGCTGGAGAAGAGTAGTTCCTAGGAAGCTCGAGAAACCAGGATAGGATACAGAAGGATTATCTGAATGGAGATTAAAATTCCGAAGAGTGGTCTAGTTGTAATGAAAAGGATGATTTTGAGCAATTACATGATAAGTTCCAAAAATGCTGATAATACCTTGTCTATAATTTAGAGTATCGTCTTTATTCTGTTGCTTCCCATCTTTTATACTTCTTAAATGTAAAATAAAACATACATAACAAATGTACCATTTCAACAAATTGTAAAAGTACAATTTAGTGACAGTAAGGACATTTAGCTGCAATACAGTGGTCACTGCCCTCCATAAATACTCATCACTCCTGACTGAAATTCCCTACCCATGGAACAATAACTTTCTATTCCTTCCTCTCTATCCACTGGCACCCATACAGTGACTGTCTTTGTGACTCTGACTTATATTAGTGGTACCTCATAGTAGTGGAATCTTGCACTCTGTCCCATGTGAATGACTCATTTCACTTGGTATAATGTCTTCAAGGTTCATGCATGCTGGAATGTATGTCAGAATTTACATCCTGTTTTAGGACAAGTAATATTCTGTTGTATACATACAATGGAATACTATCATTTCATCAACTGATACACTTGAATTGTATCCATCCTTTACCTACTGTGAATAATATTGTTGTGACGTAAGTGTACAGTATTGTTTTATGTTGGTTTTCAATTCTTTTGAGTATGCCCAGAATTGGAATTGTTGAATCAGGGTAATTCTGTTTAGTTTTTGTTTGTTTGCTTGTTTGAGCCATCATTCCTATCTTCCATAATATCTGTATTATTTTATATTCCCATCAGCTCTGCACAAGGTTCTATTTTTTCCCTCTGTTTTCACCAGAAAAAATAGAGAAAATAGGCATTTTGGGATTTTTATAATAGCCACCGTGATGGGGTGAAATAGTGTTTTATTGTAATTTTGATTTCTAAATGATTAGGAATGTTGAGTATTTTTATGTATTTATTGGCCACTTGTGTCTCTTCTTCGAAAAAATGCAATAAGACTTTTTCCTATTTTTAAAATGTTTTTTTTTTCAACTATTGTGTCATTTCTTTGGTATTAATCCCATGTCAGATAATGGATTTTTGAATATGTTCTTCTATTCCCTTCAGTGGTTCTTCCACTTTGTTTATAGTATCCTTTAATATATAAAGTTTTTTTTATTTTTATGAAGTGCACTTTATCCATCTTTTCCATTTTTGTTTGACCTTTTAGTGTCGTAGTCATTACCCAATTCAGTGTCGTAGATTTTTTCTCTTTTAACATTCCCTAGTTTTCTTTTAGGCCTTTACATGTTTTGAGTAATTCGGGGTTTTGGTTTTTTGTGTGTCACACAGTGATGCCCAGGGCTTAATTCTGATTCTGTGCTCTGGGATTATTTCTGGCAGTGCTCTGAGGACTGTATGTGTGCCAGGGATAGGGACCATATGTGTGCTAGAGATAGAATCCCTGTTGTCCATATGCAGTGCAGGCCCCTTAACCCCATGTGATCTCTCTGATCCTTGAGTTAATTTTTGTATGAGACAACTTTCATTCTTTTTCACCTGTTGTTTCTTTAAATAGGTAAGCAAGTACTCTCACTATAAAAATCAGTATTTGTGGGGGAGAGCCTTTCCGAGCAGTGTTCAGGGGCCCCTTCGGCTCCAACCAGCTGTACTCAGCCTACCATATAGTACGGGTCGACAATCGGGCCCAGTGATGTTGTGCTGCTAGGCCAGGAATGCGGGGGCTGCCGGGCTAACCCCGGCAGTGCTTGGGCCATGGGTGCCATAGATAGAACTCCTGTCCTTACACACATGCAAAAGCATCCCTCACCCTGGGCATTCTACCTACCAGCCCCACATTTTCATTTCTATATAGGTACTTTTGTTGTGGAAAAAAACACGTTAGCAGGAGGAATTAACAAGTGGTATTGCTAGTTGGAATCTTTGAATTGATAAAAACATTAATTTTATTCTGCCTCCTTAGAGCCAAGATTCTGGGTCTGATAATCGTATAAACACAGTCAGTCTTAAGGAAGCTTTGGAAAGGTTTGATCACAGCCCAACCCCTTCTGCTTCCTCCCGGAGTTCAAGAAAATCATCTCACACAGCAGTCTCAGATCCTTCCTGTGAGTACCATTCCTTGAAAGCAGATTTTCTTCCAAGAGATGCTCCTTAATGATATGAGTAACTGCTATCTGTGGACGCTGTTGTAGCATGTGTTTGCGTTTCGAAATATAGTAACCTCTCCAGCACATAAAAGATACTTTGCTCACTTTGGCAAAGAATTAAGTTTATAAATGACTTATGAAATAGTAAAGTTGACATTATTTGTTTTTAATTGTTCTTCGAAGAGAAAGCAAACCTACTTTTTTATACCATAAAATCAATTTTGCTTTTTACAAGTTTTTTTTTAGTGTCTTTAGTGTCTTTGAAACTTGCATAATTGTAATTAAGTTAGTAATCACTTTTTTTTTTTTTTTTTTTGCTTTTTGGGTCACACCCGGCGATGTTCAGGGGTTACTCCTGGCTCATGCACTCAGGAATTGCTCCTGGTGGTGCTCGGGGGACCATATGGGATGCTGGGAATCAAACCTGTGTCGGCCATGTTGGCTGCGTGCAAGGCAAACTCCCTACCTGCTGTGCTATCACTCCAGCCCCAGTAATCACTTTTTAAGAGCTCTGCACTTTCATATCTCAGGTTATTAAAACTGTGTAATAAGGAAAAAGGTGTTGTGAAGAATTATGTAACATCAACGAAATTGGCATTTTAAAAATGTTCTTAAGGGAAACAATTTCCTTATTTATAACCACTTAGCCTTCAAAAAGTTTTATTGAGGTATACTGCAGATCTCTAGTGGATTCGTTGTGCTTAATCAAAACTTCACTCCCATTTTCTCCCTCCCCAGCCCTTGGCAATTGCCATTCTATTCTCTGATTCAATCGACTTGATTATTTTAGTTGCCCTCATATAAGGAGTCAGGCAGTATTTGTCTCTGACTTATTTCACTTGATGTGATGTCTCAAGTTCCTTCATGTTGTTGATTTCACCTTGGCTGTTGTGAATAATTCAGCATTGAATTTAGGAGCATCTGAGGTCTTGGTTTCAATTCTTTTTGATGTATGAATCCCAGAAGTGGATTTGTTGGATCGTCATCTGTGGTGATCTGGAATTTTTTTAGAAATCACCACACAGTAATGGTGCCATTTTATATCACCACAAGCACTGTGTAGAGGTTCCAGATTCTTGCCAAAATTTAGTAATCATATTTTGAATAATAGCCATCAATACAGATGTAAGGTTTTTGTGGTTTTGATTTGCAGTTCACTGATGCTGGCAATCTTTTCATACACCAGTTATTCCTATGTCTTCCTTGGAGCGGTGTCTATACAAGTCTTAACAATACAGTTAGTTTTTTTGAATTTAGACTTGCATGATCATTTTTTTATAACTGAAAAGTATTTTGAGCTTTTGTTTTGAAAACTGTATTTTCTAAAGTACCGATTCTACTCTGTCTTTGTTAACTAACCTCAGCAACACCAACAAAGATCCCAACCGACACTAGCACTCCCCCGAGACAGCATTTATCAACTCACGAGAAGATGGCACAGAGGCGGTCATCATTTAGTAGTCAGGTAAACTCTTTCATTACTGTTGTTCACAATAGAGATTTTTTTATAAAAATTTAAAGATTTTTTTTAAAAAGAAAAAATTATCTAAATCTTCAGAAATTCATTAGTCTACTGTCCTTTTTTATAAAAAATTTAAAAGCTCTTATTATGTAAGACTCAAGCTCTTTTTGTGAGGTAATTGTTAACATATCTTTTAAATTGTTTTTCAGGTTAAGTGCTAGATATAATATAAAGAAAAACCAAATCATTCGAAAACTCTTTTGGATTTTTTGTTTTGGGCCACTGTTAACAGTGCTCATGATACCGGAATCGAGCCCAGACCTCTCACATGCATAGCATGTTCTCCTGCCCACTGAGCTCTCTTGGACCATTTTATATGTTAAGTTCTTACACTAATCACCTTCAGTTAAATTCGGTCAACTTTACTGAGAGCCCATGGAAGATTATGTAGCAGGAGCCTAGGAAGATAAACAGGAGTAGGCATTTCCAGCAGAAAAGGAGAGACAGTTATAAAGACACCACGGTGATCTTTCTAGTTGAAATACTCATGTATGGGAACAAACACCAATTCAGTGTTACTTTTTTATTTTGCTTCTAGTCCATAAATTCCCAGTCTGTTGGTCAGTCATTAACACAGCCAGTGATGTCTCAAGCTGCAAATTTACCAATTCCACAAGGCATGTCCCAGGTATTTTGTTTTTGTTTTTCAGTTGAGTATTTTTAAATAATACATTGCTTTTAAACTAATGAAGATTTTTTTAGAAATATTTATAGATGTAGTGAATCTCAACTGTGGGCTTTTAAACTGAGGATATTTTTGATCATTGGTGATTATAGACTGCCACTGTCCCTTAGTATAGCTAGGGATACTAAAAGTCTTTGTGGATATATGACAGTTCCATGCAATCAAGATTTATCTTGCTTAATATGCTGTAACTGCACCACTTTGCTCCCTACATTTATGAGAAACGTAATAAATATATGTTAAAGATAAAATGGCTGTATATTTTATTTTTATGGATATTGTACTTAGGAAATGAATAATTTCATATGATCAGGTATCATCAGGTGCTGAATATACAAATATGTAATATCTATGCGAAAAGACTTGTATATAGAGATAATAGCTTCATTACAATATCATATAATCTATGCTCAAAGTAAATAGACTGATATTTGAACACATTATATGGACCATTTTAATGCCGCTGAAAGTAAAGGAAAACTTTCTAGAATTACTGCCTCCTCTGAGTTCTAAAGGAGGACCTAAGTAAGTTACCCAGACAAGGGAAAGTTGATACAAAATAGACACTAAGTTATTTTTATTATAACTTTCTCAGCCTGTCATTTTTGCTGCTCTCAGGTTTTAAGACACATTAAAAATAATAATGATTAGTAGTCGAAAATCAAGGTTTTCTATTTTGAAAATACTCAGTATCCTTTTTCTATTTTGTTTTGCATTAAACTACTTTGACTTAAGAATATCTTAATTTCCAATAACCATAGTTAACAATAGGTAGAAACAATATTTTTTTTAAAAAAAAGCTAAATGATTATTTAAATTAGTGTTTCCCATACGGTCTCCCATAAAAAAACCATGAAACTGGTGAGGGTTGGGAGGGGCCACAGCATATGAGACTAGGGAGCCAGCTGGTAAGAGGGTGGAGGGTGGGGCACTTGAAGGAAGCATGGTCAAGAGGGGCCACAGTCATAAATAGGTCGAGAAACACTGGTTTAAAATATGTTTATAAGTATGACTGTGACTTGACACTTATTTTATTATAGATATGACACTTGTACAAATGTATTGATACTAAAAATTACCTAAAAATCGTCATCTGAATTTTTAGCTCACATAACCCAGCATAATTACCATATAGGCTACTTATTATTAAATGTTATAGTTGCGGTTTTTAATAGCATCAAAAACTACTTTTTGTTAAATTTTACAGGATTTTTATGTATTTAGACAGGCTTTCAATACTATTAGTTTATTAGTCTCAAGATACTGAATACTAAATTTGTAATATTTTCTTACCCTAGTTGTTGGTTATTGCAATTTCTGAAGTCAAGGTTTTATATTTTGAAAATACTCAGTATCCTTAATACAAACTTTTTAAATGAAAAGGATTTGGGGGAAAGGGGGTCACTTTTCTCATTTTTAAGTGCATTTACTGTAGGAGACTTTAAGATTTTTAAGATACTCTGAATATTAACCAAGCGTGTGTAGATTTCAGTGGTAGGTAAGGCTGAGTTCAAGTATAATAAGTAGAAGCTGCTCGTAGCTCACGTAAAACTGAGAACTGCAAGATAGAAAACCCTCGAAGTAGAACTGGACAGCTTTGTTGTCATTCTTAAATGTATTCATTCCTTCATAAATGGCTTTCTCTAAAATGTGATGTTTATGTTTGGTAAACAATTTCAGTTGAAACTATGAGTGAAAGTATTATAATAGGTTGGTTTAGATTTTTATACCTTCTAATAAGGTGCACTAAGGTGACAGTCTAGGGATGCCGGAATATGACATGAAGAATTAAAATGAAGAATTAAACTACCTTTTTACTTGCTAAAGGCTAAAAAGGTTCAATAACTTGTATTCTGAAATGGCAGAACTCAATTGTGGTAGCAGACTCATTACTAATTTGAGCTCAGGTTGTCTAACATCAGTGTCTGCTTGTAATCTTAGTTAAGATCAAGTTAGAAATCAAAAACTATACCAGAAATCTGAACCAGAAAAGTATAAAAAGAAAATAATTCGCTACTAAGAGTAGAGAATTCTATTTATTTATTTGCTTTTTGGGTCACACCCGGCGATGCACAGGGGTTATTCCTGGCTCATGCACTCAGGAATTACTCCTGGCGGTGCTCGGGGGACCATATGGGATGCTGGAAATCGAACCCAGGTTGGCTGCGTGCAAGGCAAACACCCTATTGCTGTGCTATCGCTCCAGCCCCAAGAGTAGAGAATTCTAAAGGATACAGAATAGACAGCGGTGAGCAGAGCTAGTCACAGGGAGAGCAGTTTGGAGACACACTCCGCTCTCCTAGATTCCTGCCCTCTGCTGCCATACTGGCCTGCAGATCCGACTGAAGCAGGTGTGACTATAGTCACTGGATGTCAAGGGAAGTCACTAAGGTCTCACGCACCAGGGCAGGAGAGCAGGAAATCACCCACTGGGGTGTCACACCTGTTGGTGTGTTGCCCACAAGGATCAGTGGAGGCTTGTTAGAAAGTTCCTGCACCTGTGCTGCTGGGACTCCCTAGGAAACTGCCTCTTATGAGAAGAACACTCAGGAGAGCCAGAACGAGGAGCGCTTGTCTTCGCAGTGTCCCTCCAGCACCACGTACTGAGGAGACTAAATTTGTGCCTCCTGGCCAAAGAGAAATACTTATAGGTCCCAGCCCCACCACAGAGGCACTGTATTAGTTAATAACTAGCATAACATCCTCAATGATAGCAAGCTTACTTGTCAGATTGAACAATTTGGAGAAATAAGCAATTCTAAAATGTGTTATACTTTTTCCATACATGGCCCTTTAGTTTCAGTTTTCAGCTCAGTTAGGAGCCATGCAGCATCTGAAAGACCAGTTGGAGCAGAGAACACGGATGATAGAAGCAAATATTCACCGACAACAGGAAGAACTAAGGAAAATTCAAGAACAGCTTCAGATGGTCCATGGTCAAGGGCTGCAGGTAAGTTACATTTGAAGCGTGTCATTTACTTTTTTTTTTGCTTCTTAGGAAAATTTATTTTTCTTGATTTAAATTGAGATTTAAGAGATACATTTCATCTATTTAATTCAACAAATACTGTTACCTATCCAATTATTTTATTTTCAGTTTCTAAATACAATTCACTTCTAAGGGTAGATACAAATATAATTCTCCCTCAGTATTCTTGTTTCTATCAGTTGGAGACTAGGACTTTGGCAAAGGGAAATTTTAAGTGAAAAATTACTACTTTCAGTCCCTTGCGCCTATGTAAGTAAATACTACAGCTTTCATTACTAACATTCTGGAAGGAATACTAGTAACTACTACTTTCTAATGTCATAAAATATCAGTGATGAGTGCAAAACTAGTGGGCCAGTCTTATGAGTGGGCCTGCATTAGAGCAATGCTAGGTAATAAAACAAAAATCCTCAACATATAAAATGCTCAACTAAGTAGAGGTTTTGGAATTTATAACATTTTTTTCTTATATGTGGAAACATGATAGTATAACTAGAAAAGCTAATACAAAGTGCCACATTTTATTCAATAACTATTAATGTTTCAGAATGTCTTCCTAATTGCTTGCTTTGTGCACTTTGTTTTGCTTTTCTTTTTTTCAGTACCCTCATTCTTCTTTGTTGTTAATCTGTAATGTTCATTTCAATGTAATCTTTATCTTTTAAGATGTTTTTTCAGCAATCAACCCCTGGACTGAATTTTGGTTCTGTTCAGCTTTCTTCTGGAAATTCATCTAATATCCAGCCACTTGCATCTATAAATATGCAAGGCCAGGTTGTTCAAACGAGTCAGATTCAAAGTGGAATGAATTCTGGACACATTGGCACAAATCAGCACATGATACAACAGCAGACTTTACAAAGTACACCAAGTCAGGTAACCATAACAGATACCGTAGATTTGAGTATGCAGTTGATTAAAACATACACCACTGTTAAAACAGAAATAAAATTCTACCTTGAACTACATACACTTTAAAATTTAATAGTTGTTATTGTTCTCTTGAGAGTAGTTATTATACTTTGTGCATAATTGTTGCTAAATTATTGAATGATACATAGATTTTGATGTTTTGGCAGAATTTTGCAATTTGTTTAAAATGATCATACAATACTTTTGGAAAGGTTTGACTTGCAGAGGTTGACTGAACAGGAGACATATTACATATTATACCATGTGGAGAGTAGATTGTTGGGGCAGCAATATTTTAATCAGTATTCTAGGAAATTGTAATTGATCTATATCTGTGACTGTAAGTCTGTAGGTTTAAAATGAAATATATAAAAATGTGTAGTGTTGGGATAGAAAGATAGGGCACTTGCCTTGCATGTAGCTAACCTGGGTTCCATCCCTGGCACCACATATGGTACCCACCAGGCATGATCCCTGAGCACAGAGCCAGGAGTAAGCTCAGCCAGGTGTGACCCAAAACAAAAGTAGTGGAGTGCTGGTTACTGCACATTTAGACAAAATTCTTTCTTGTATGTTTTATGTCATCCTTACTCAGATCTGCCTTATTCATATGGCTTATCTTGCAGCCAGATACTTAAAACTAATCCATTTTGATCCTTTTGTAGTAGACTGTCCAGGGTAGTACATTATGCCATGTTTTCTACCATGCCACTTACTATCCAAATCATGTATACTTTCGGAATAAATATTTCCCGTACTCTTTGTCAAATTATCTCTTTTTCTCGCAGAGTCCACAAACGGTCCTGAGTGGGCACAGTCAGCAAACGTCTCTTCCTAGTCAGACACAGAGCACTCTGGCCACCCCGCTGTATAATACTATGGTGATTTCTCAACCAGCAGCCGGCAGCATGGTCCAGATGCCATCAAGCTTGCCACAGAACAGTGCCCAGAGTGCAGCTGTGACAACTTTCACTCAGGATAGGCAGATCAGGTACTTGGCATTTTTCACTAATCTTCCAAAGTTGTGAGTGGATTCATGCAAAAAAAGATCATTTAGTTTTAAAATATCTTATTTAGGTGGCTATTCACTCTAGTCATTGTTCTTGAATTTGAAATAAAAAATAAAATGCAGTATTTATGGGCTTAAAAAAATGGTTTAAAAAATATTTTTAAACATGTTTCATGTCCAGAAATATACTCTCAAACTGTGTTTGGCAGCACACCTTTCCAGATTTGTGTAAAACTGTATGTACAAATATAGGTGTTGGTGAATTGTGCAGTGACGGTACACTGAGTAATCAAACTATATTTCTTTTAAATTTTATTTTTAAAAGTTATATTAGGATCTTTTCTTCCTACCTAGATAAGGGAAAAAAGTGAATTTTCAGGCTTTTGGTTAAGGGCTTAATAGAATTAAAAGAGATGGCAAGGGGTTCTGAATGCAAGCCTTTTGTCAGTTTTCAGAGCTCTAATTTCAAAACTAAATATATACTCCTCTAAACTTTTCTTGACTATTTTAGAAAAACTGCCATTTATGACTTATGTTGGTGGGAGTTCAAATAGCAACTTAGAAATAAATTTTTTGGGGGCGGAGGAATTTTCATGTAAGGGGAAGCTATCACTTAGCAATTATAGGATCTCTGTAGTTTGAAAGCTTCTATTTTAAATGCTTGTGGACTATTTTACTATAAGGCTGTTACTTTTACAGTTCAGTTTTGCTGTTGTATTAGCTTATGTAACAGATTTTTATTAAAATCCTGTTACTAACTTTCAGATGTTAAAGAAGCTACAAAATCACAGAAATGCTGGGAGCAGGGAGAACTTGATGTGGAATTTGATGCCTTGGCCTTAAAAGGTCCCAACACTGGACTGGGAATATAGTGCAGGCTTCATGCGTTGTGAGGCTCTGGGTTCAGTCCCTTGCATCTAAATAGTACAGCTTTCATTAATAACATTCTGGGAGGAATACTAATAACATGTTCACAGAAATGTACATGACTAGTGTTTTGGTGTTTAACCCCTCCCACCTCACCCCAATTTGGAAAGAATGGAAATGTTTATTTGATTTCACTGTATTTAGTTTTGCAAACCAGAAGCATGGTACCTTTCTCCACTTCTTTGTATCTCTTTAGATTTTTTAATATTTATTTTTGTTACAGACTGGTTTAAAATCTGAGGGGGGATAAACCATTGTAATTAATCTTCTAAGAAGGAACTGTTTGTAACTATTTGTTCTTCGAGAGGAAATAAGCCTTTAATTGAAATAATTGATTGGCCACTTAGATGAGTATGGTACATTCTTTTTCATAAGATAATTTCAGACAAGGAAGTACCATAGAAAAATACAACTTCATATTACTTGGTGTGATAAATTCTTCATAGGTCTTTAAAAAGGAGTAAAGGAGCTTTTTTTTTTTTGGTAGGTAGGAGGTAAAAAAGGAGAGTGAGTGGTCAAGGATAGGTTTAAAATGAAAAGAGGGATGGAGAGATAATGTCGTTTGGAGGTCAGGTCTGAATATTAGAGCTCAGCTTTGAATACACTTGTAGCAGGGAGTGTAGGCGTGTTGAATAAAGTCTATCCTGATACAAACTGGAATTGTGGTATAAAAGCAGAGGGAGCAGTACACAAGAAGCCACATGTGTGACTTAAGAGTGGATGTGTTGAATGTATTGTGGGGCAAGAAATAGATGCATGTTCTCATCATATCTTACCAGTGAACAGTTGGACAATTCAGATATTCACTTTTTTTCGGTTGATCTGTTTCTTCTTCTACTGCCTCTGCATTCAGTTCATATCTAAAAAAACCATTGTCTGACTCAGGCCAAGAAACTCTCCTCCCACCCTTGCTTGCCCTGTGCTTTTCTTCTAAGTTTTTCATAGTTTTAGCATTTACATGTAAATCTATCTTGAAATAATTTTTGTTTATGGTATAAGGTAAAAATTCCAACTGCCATTTGTTTGCATATGCATATACGGAAAGTTTGAGCTTCTGTTTGTGGTCATTTTATCTGGCTACTCACTGTCATTTCATCTGGCTACACACACTTTTGTTCTGGCATCCCAAAGGAAACCTTTAGAAATGTGCAACAGATTGGAACATCCTCCTTTTAGAAATGTAACCTGGCGGTATCATTGGGTTCCACCCGCTTCAATGTGTTTGGGGTATTTCTTACTTCTCCTGTTTTCCTCCTACAGATTTTCCCAAGGTCAGCAGCTTGTGACCAAATTAGTAACTGCTCCCGTGGCCTGCGGGGCAGTCATGGTCCCGAGCACCATGCTCATGGGGCAGGTGGTCACCGCCTACCCGTTCGCTCCCCAGCAGCAGCAGCAGCAGCAGCAGCAGCAACAGCAGCAGCAGCAGCAGCAGCCGCCAAGTTCCCAGGAGCAGCCGCTCCCTGCAGCTCAGCAGCCGTCAGCGCAGCTGACCCAGACGCCGCAGCCATTTTTACAGGTAAGCAACCCTGCCCTTTCCCCTTGGGGGGAAAGCACTCCAAAACCTTTTTTTACAAAAAGCCATTTTGTAATCTGAAAAATTCATTAAAAACTTACCAAGGAACTAAGTTTCTCCAGCGACAGAACGTTTGCTGGGGTTACCTCTATGTTCCTTCCCTCAGTCTGTCTTTGGAAGATGCATGGCTGGCCCACTCTGAGCTGCTGCAGCCCGTGGCTATGTCCTGTCCCCATCACAACACTTGACATAGGCTTTTTTCCCTCCGGTTCTTCCATTCTCCAGCTGTTCTTCAAATTCAGGACGACAGTGGTAGCAAAAGGCTGTGTGTCTTTTAATTAGTATAGACATTTTATTGAATTAGAATTTGTAAATTGGAGGGGTATATATATAGTTCAGTGGCAGAGCCCATGCCCATATATGTGAGGTCCTGGAATTGATCTGTAGACCCCTAAGTACATCAGTAACCCAGTATACTGTTCTAGAATGGTTTTAAATGAATGCCAGAGGAGAAATACTGTGGAGGTAGTATAGGCTGTAGGTTATAACTAGAGCTCTAACGTCAGGACGCCCGCTGTATCCAATTTGGTGACCTTGGTAGATTACTCAGGTAATTTTGGTTTTCCAGTGTAGAATACATGGAGGTGCTGATAGTAGAAGGTTTGCTTACCTAAATGACTAAGCATACTGTTAGATAAATAACAAGCTGTCATTTATGATCCTTCTGAAAAATGCAATAGATGTTTATTACGCAGACAGAGATGTGAAAGGATCCTTTACCCGAAAGATTCAGAAGAAAGTCACCTAAATTGGAATTCTCATCAAGGAAATTAGCAGGATATATTTCTAAACCCTGGAACTCTCACAGGTTGGTGTGGGCGGGGGGCACCACAGTAGTCAATGAGCCAGTGTTTCCATTCTCGATTGGCTGAAACAGTCTGGGGTGTAGAGTAGACCCATGGTCTTTAGCTCCCATATGTGGACTGGTGCCAGTCTTCAGAGCTTTCCTGCAGTCCTCAAAACTCTTGTTGCTGCTTAACACATGGTATGTCTGGATTTTCTTTTTTTTTTTAAAAAGCATGTATTTCATCTTTTCTCATAACTGAGTGGTACTCTATTGTGTATATATACCACTGACGCTCATACATTGCTGGGTACTTGGGCTGTTTCCAGATCTTGACTATTGTAAATAGTGTTGCAACCATTTGTGGCCTTTTTAAATTATATCACATTTAAATAATGTTAATATTTATCTTCATAAAAACTAAAAAGGGGAGCCAGTACAATTTTTTTTTAATCTAAATTGAGGCCCAGGAAGTATATGGTTTGGGGCTGGAGTGATAGCACAGCGGGTAGGGCTTTGCCTTGCACATGACCAACCTGGGTTCGATTCCCAGCATCCCATATGGTCCCCCAAGTACCACCAGGAGTAACTCCTGAGTGCATGAAAAGTATATAGCTTGCCCAAGTCAAAATAGCACGTAAAGGAGCAGCCAGTCAGAATCCAGACCTTAGACCCATACACCTGACTATGGAGGTGTTGGAGTAATTCTCCAAAGGAACTATGTGTGGGGGTATCGTCAGTGTATGTGGGATTCAGATAAAATTTCATTACCTGTTAAAAAATTCAGATTATAAGAAGTATTTTCTTCAGGACATAAAAAGTGAAAAAATGTGTGTGGGTTATAGATTTCTTACTATACTGAAGATACAGATTTCTTAATATACCATAAAATCTCTAGCTCAGATTCATTTTAGTCACTGTCACTGTCCTTCCGTTATTCATCGATTTGCTCGAGCGGGCCCAGTAACGTCTGCATTGGAGACTTTGTTGTTACTGTGTTTGGCATATCGAATACGTCACGGGGAGTTTGCCAGGCCCTTCCGTGCGGGCAAGATACTCTCGGTAGCTTGCCGGGCTCTTCGAGAGGGGCGGAGGAATCGAACTTGGGTTGGCCATGTTGGCTGCGTGCAAGGCAAACGCCCTACCGCTGTGCTATCACTCCAGTCCTTCATTTTAGTAAATGAGATCAATTACTAAAAAGCATGATAGCTTTTTTATTGTTTTTTTTTGTTTTGTCTTTTGATTTTTGGGCCACATGCAGCAGTGCTCAGGGCTTATCTTGGCTCTGCACTCAGGAATCACTTCTGGCGGTGCTCGGGAGACCATATGGGATGCTGGGGATCAAACCCAGGTCTGCCAACTGCAATGCAAGCACCCTAATGTTGTACTATCACTCCACCCTCTGTCATGCTTTTTAAAAAAGAGGGAAAACCTCATAATAACTTAAGATAATGTGATCTTTTGCCCTTAGGGAGAGTGGAAAAACTGAAATTAGTCTTAATCTAAATAATATAAATTGGGGGAGCAGTACTTCACTGTTGACCCCTTAGTCCAGATGCATAACTCATTCGTGTTTCTTTAGACTTCTAGGTTGCTTCACGGGAATCCTTCAGCTCAGCTCATCCTCTCTGCTGCGTTTCCACTCCAACAGAGCACTTTCCCTCAGTCACATCACCAGCAACACCAGTCTCAGCAGCAGCAGCACCTGGCTCGGCACAGGACTGACGGTTTGACTGATCCTTCCAAGGTTCAACCACAGTAGCCACCTCTCTGACCTCATGGAAGGAGGGTTGATCCACAAAGAATTTCTCAGATGATCTGAGGAGAGGAGAACAAGTTCCGGCACTTGCTGAGATGCAGTATAGAGTGTTCTAGTTTCCGGAATCACTTAGGGAAAATGCTGCCTAGTGCTAACGATATACAATAATACCAGCCTGCAGGAGGGAATCAGGGCCATAGCCAATTCCGACAGTGTTTTACTTGCCCAGATACTTTTTGATGGAAAAAGGAGTATATTGCCAAATGTTTAGCTCAGCTATGAACACGACCTCCAGTGAATCAGAAAGGCACCGACGATGTTAGTAACTTTTAGTGGTTCTGTGCCTATTTTCCAGTGTTACAGAGGACACACCACTGCCGTGTCAGGGGTTTGCTCACAGTGATGCCATGCAGACAGTCCAGTAGACTCAGTAGTTCCCTTCCCAGCCCGCCCCCTTGTCAGATAATGATGGAATGGTGATTAGTTTGAGAATGTTGTGTGAGTTCCTATTCTCTATGTACAGATACTGTAAAAATAATATGTATATGTCTGGATAAAAGGAGAGAAAGCAAAACTTTTGTATGCTGCATGAAAGCATTATCTCCTCCTTATAGGTATATTTCCTTAGATTCTGATACCATGTGCAAAATGAATACATCCTTCATTTCCCTTTTGTTTACAACAGACATAGTGTTCTATTCACTTTCCGGGGCACAAGTCTTTTTGTTCATACTTTGGCTGTGATGTCACAGTTCGTTTTGTGAGGTATGATGTGCTGCTGGGAATGATTTATTTTTTCAGGTTAAATTATTGAAACAACAGGATTTTCAAGTTATTCAGAGATATCCCTCATTTCATTGTTTTTTCAATTATGTTTGAAAACAGGATTTGCACTGTTATTTTTTTTTAAGATGGTTGGGAGTTTTGATGACATATTTTGATACAGTTCATAGTTGGAAGTAGTTGTGTAAGTGGTTTTCAACAAGACTGAAAGTGATTTCAAGAATGTTTGTTATAGGAGTAAAATTTGCACACAAAACATTTTTGGCACTTTTTAACATTCTCACTGGTGGGAATTTTAACTTTTAAGATTTATTGGAATCTTTTTATTATCCTTCACAATTTCAATGCTTCTTTTAGTCAGAAACGATTCAGGGTTAGAGAGGAAAAAACCCATAGTGCCTTGATTTTGATTCAGGTGAGAACTCACCATCTTGAATTCGCTGTCTGGCTTCAGTAGCAGTTTTAAAACCTTAGTACATTTTTCACAGCATGTGGGTGTCAGTGCCATTATTATTCTCCTAAGTTCTATGAAGACTGCTCTGGGTCTCTTGGACTGGAGGTACAAGTAAGTTAGAAACAAAAGATGACACCCCAACACTGTATTAAAGTGATTGCAAAGTTACTTTCCTAGTCTTCATCATCCATCAAGCTAAATACTCGTTAAAGAATTACCAGTGACTATTTATTTGTTCAGTATAATCTTGATGTTCCTACAGAAGACAAAAAAAGGGGTCAGGAACTCTTTGCTTTCACTCATAACACTAGAATATTCTTGCTCATGTGCTTTCTAAACAACCTAAGATTTCTTTTCCTATTCTAGAGGTAATCAAGGCCAACAGAAATTGCCTACATTCAAACAAGCATTTCCTAGGTCTTGTGGTACTAATAAATTTATAATTTCATAAAAAGTTAAAAATCGCTTATGTAATATTAGAAGATACTACTGAAGAAAGGGAAAATAGCAAATGATAGTAACTCAGAATTGATCCTAACTGAAAATGTGGAACAAATTTGGGATTGCTGAGCAGAGAAAGTTTCTAGCATTGAAAATAACCTGACTCATACTTCACTAGATACAGGAGCCCAAGAATTCTGTTAGTTCTTAATACTTTTCTGACCTCAGCTTTGCTGCCACCATCATACTTTGTCTTTCTTTAGAAAACTACCCAGCTACATTTAAATTAGAAATACTGAAAAATAAAACTACCAAAGAAAGTTGGTACCTACCCTTCTACAAAAGAAGTGTCATGAGATACCAAACATTAACATATCAAGGAGCACCTCTTCCAGTTATTGAGTATCCAAGAGAGGGTGCTGACTTCTTCTGAAGCTGTCGGAACCAGACGTGTGTGTGAGCACGCGTCCAGACAGAACCGATAGGGAGCGTGGCAACAGTATTTATTTCCTCCCTTTCCAATGGCCTTTTTCTACCTTAGCATGCTGTTCTGTTTCTATGAGTTGTGCCTCATTAGTTTGTTTGTGATGTCTAGTGATAAGGATTTAGATGACGAGGTAGGAAGAGCTGTAACTTTGAGGTCTTTCCTCTAAATGCAGTGCTTACAGAAAGCAAACCACAGGTAGATAGGTAGATCCACGAAAGCAAAGCATGCTCAGATCAGCCGTGGGTGGATTGGCTGACTAGTAATTCACATTCGCCAATACTCCCTTTAAGTATTTTTCATCCTGACAAATACAGTAATCAGTAACCAAATTTTTATTTGGTAATTCCTGTCCTTGACAGCCGCCTCCTTCCCCCACCCACTCCCCACACAGTCCTGGTTACTGAATTTCAAGAAGCAGTGTACACTTTTCCTTTCCTGTCACTTTTAGGTGTTGTCAGAAGAGTTAAATAAGCATCAACTGCTTCTTTTCTCATTGTTTTCCTTCTGCTTCTCAAACTTAACCACTGCAAAGCTGGCCCTGCCCTGCCCTGCCCTTGGTCCCAAGAACTGGCACTTGAGCATACTGAAGAAGATTCTGCACCTGTCTGTACTTCATTCCTTTTTGTAGCCAGTGTACATTCAATTCCCAAAACCTAAGTCATGAAAAAATACCAAATAGGAGCACTTTTCAGCTACTGGAAAAAAATCTTCCCTCAGCTTTAGTCTGATTAGACAGTTTTTCTTTTAAAAAAAATTATGTTTATATTCTGGGTAGCAGAGGGAAGACCTTTCACTTCTTTTTGTAATTCTCTTGCTTGTGATGGCTGTGACTGGCTCCAAGGACTGTTTAACAACAGCCCACAAGAAGGGAGTTGCTAGCACCTCCCCAGTGGTATGAAATCAGAATCTACACTCCATAGTACTCCAGTTTTTTGGTGAAAAATCTTGGAGGAAAGCAAATACAGGGGTGAGGTAGTACGTGAGTAAAGGTACAGTTCTGTCTCCGAAGTGTTGTCTTCGGTGAAGGGATCACTGGGATCCCATGCTCAGCTCTGTCACTTAAATCTGGCACACAGGAGTGTGCGAGTGACGCCGGGATCCTGGTGACCGAGTGTGGTGTTCAGAACTCTCAGTGCTGACACCCGAGAGGTCCCCTGCACTCCCCAGAAATGCTCGAGTTGGCCGTTGCCTTAAAGCAGTGTACTTGCTTGCTGACCGTGTGGGCAGACACCATCGCGCCCTGCAGCTCTCTGAGGCAGTGGTGCACAACCTGTCCCTCACTGCATCCCCCTACCCACGTGTTTCCTTTTTGAAGCGCCCCCCCCCCCCATCCTCTCTCTGGATCCTAGTCTCATGCCATGGGCTCCCCAGTCACCCTGTGCCCCCCTTGGAATACCACGGGGCCATGAGAAATGCTGCTCTTAAGGCCACTGGGTCACAGGGAGATGAAGGCCGCATTCAGGAAGCCGCCAAGAGGCCCTCTGTTGGCCCTGCTCAGCACAGGGACAGTGAGTTTAGACCAGGTATCACCCAGCTTTCTTTGGTTATGTGTTAGGCAGATTTGGGGTTTTATTTGCTTTTGTGGTGCCAAGAACTGAATCCAGGGTTCACATGTGTGTGGCATGCAATTTACCACTGAAGCAGCTACAGCCCTACCCAGTGTATTGAAAAAGGTTTCCACGACATTGAGAGTGACTTTTTTCGAAATGGAAAACAAGTAGCATCTTACTCTAGAATTGCTCACTTCCTTTTGCTTTCTATGTTTTCTTTGGCGATTCAAAATCTGTTGATGGACATCTGTGTAAAATTCACTCAAGTCTGTGACCTTTCCAGTATCGGGGACTCTGTTCTTGAGTCCCTCAGGACTTAATGTTGGAAGGTAGAAACACTGGATATTATTATTGCTGAGTGAGTCTAGTCAGGAATAAGTTGATCGGAGCTTTTAAACTGTGGGAGAGAAATAGCACAAAGGCACATGCCCTCTCAGTAGTGATCAGAGAAAACCTTTTAAGTTTGTTTCAGTTGGGTGAACATTCTTCTAAAAGGAGCTTCTAGAGTAATTGCAGAGGAAAAGAGTTGACTATTTTTATAGCGTATTTAATATATTTGTATATAACTATGAATATTATATAGTAGGAACCTCCCCCACGCCTCCCTCTTTTCTAATTTCCTCCCCCTCCGCCATAGCACTAGTATCGCCTCATCCGCATGGGTACTGTGCCTACCGCCAGCCTACCAAGAGATAGTGCTGCTGCTTTCTGAGACAGGTGAGACGCCCCGACTCTCATGCCTGGGGATCCTTTACACAGGAATAGCACACAACGTCACACAATACAACAGTCAAAACGCATCCTTTTAAACGTAACGAGCACTTTATTGCAACTATCCATTTTGATAAAGTTTATTGTCTTAGGCATTACCGTTTCTAAAGGATCCCCCAAATCATCACTTAGGTGAAAATTTAAAATGACACATTTCTGAGAAATGTTTAGATCCAGTGAACCATAGTAGGTTTATGGGAGTGATTTCAAGGTAGCCAAATGAACTCTGGCTCTTGTTTTGAATGTGGTGGTCAAGAGACTGTAGTTGCCTCGTTCCATTTAGATATTGTAAACCTTTCTTGCCTATTACTTGTGTGGACACCCAAAGAGACCAATGAGCCTGTTTGTTTTCAGAGGTCTAGGAAAATTGCATCAATGTGAATAGATGTCTAGCGCTGACCTAAAAGTGAATGGTGTAATATTTTAGAATGTAATAATTTCAAGAATTATTCTGGGTGTTTTAAATGTGTTCTGAAATGTTGGCATGTCATTTCAGTGTTTCCATTTGAATTGCTCTTGTAATGTTTTTGCACAAAAAGACTGAGAAAAATACTACTTTGGTTGAAGAAAAATAATTTGGTCCTATTTTAATGTCTCCTGTGGAAACACTGGGAGTGACTTTTGTTGGAAGCTAGTAAGATATTTTTTTTAAAATGTCGAACCACTCACCAAAAAATTAAGAAAAGGTAAATATTTAAAAACTTTTCCTTGTGACTGTTTTGCACATTTCCCCCGTGTCATGATTTCACACTACATTCCTTGTATTTGTTAAATAAAATGATACTCTACAGGTTTTGTTTTTGAGTATTTAACAATACTCTGTAAGCTGCCTGGGTTTTCCTAAGGAAACGTTCTTTAGTGAAATATAGAATATAGTTTAGGAGGAGACTATGAAGTGAAATTCCATCACCACCACCAGCAAACACTGAGGGTGCTTGCATTTTGTGACAATCAAAATAGTATTTATGGAAGAATTTAAAACACGGTTTTAAAGAAGCAATTGCTTTGAAAGCATTTCTCTGGGTTTCTTGAATAAAAATGGCTTAAATGTATTTATTTTATATTTTAAAATATCTTTATGTTGTTTTGTCATCAAAGTGATTTCCCAGTGTCATGTATTTGATTTGTGGTTTGTTTTGTTTTGCCATGTCAATCTTGTATGGGGAGACCTGGCCCCTTCTCTGGGGTCGTCTCCAGCCCTCATCTCTTCTTGGGCAGGTGTATGTTTGCTGTCAGGACCCTGGGACACCCCAGCCCAGGGGCTCCTGCACTGCTTGCCCTCTTCACAGTTCATTAAAAAAATATCCTTTCAAATGTTCATACAGCTCCAACCTTTTTCTAGTTTCACTTGCTGCCTTTTCTAGTTCATGGGCACTTTTTATACAGTTAACTTCCCCAAAACAGCCAAAGGCCAGTATGACAGAACCAGTGGCACACATTGTTCTCTTACAAAGCATCTCCCAGTAGCTATCATGATTATGCCCATACTGAAACTCATTTAAAGTCTTTAAGTACAGGTGGAGCAATTATACCTACTGTAATCTTTTACAAGAAAACGTTTGCTAACTTTCTTTATATAGTATGTTACTATGTTGCTTGATCCTTTTTTAAAATCCTTCATATACAGCACTGTCCATTAAGGCAGTGTTTGACATTTCAAAACCTAGAGCTGGTACTTCCTGCTGGTGCACTTTGAAACATGACATCTCCACTTAAGGGTTCCCACTCTAGCTCCCTAGTCCTACAGGGCAGGCACAGAGCTGCTTCCTCTGCCTTGCCTGTAGGGCTCCTCAGAGCATGGTGATTAACGCACATCAACCACCGGTCAGATATGATGTTGGCATCTGACTTAAATTGAAGATGTGATGTTTTCAAATAATATACTTTCAGATTACCTGAGGACACAAACTGACATCATTCGAAAAACAGTGTTCAAATGCTTCTGTGTGTTTTTTGAGTTGGCTTGTACTGGTGCAAGTTCACTGCTGGCAGTGGTTGGCATTAAAGTGTAAAGAAAACTACATTACTCGGAATGATCATCTGAATACACCATCTCCCCATCAGCAAGAAAACAAAACAAATTGACCAAGAGATGACCATTTTCTTTTAATGGGTATCAGCCACAACTGCAATTCAGACCATTTGAGAATGACTTTGAGATCTATTTTCCCACCGTGTAAGTTGGGGATGGGCCCCAGTAAGGCACTCTTCATAAAGATTGAAGCCCAAAGATGAGTTTAAGTCAGTGCTGTATTCAATCCAGTTCGTGCAAAAAATGTAAATTTTTTGTTAACATCAGTTGGTAGTTTTATAAACAAAACCAAATTCTAATGTTCTGTATTGATTCTTAGTGTGCTACTCTTTGACATTACTGTCCTTACTGCTTGGTTCTCAGTTTTAAGTAAGTTAGATGTAGCCCCTCATTCTTATACTCCCAAAGGGTGGAGCTGTGTAGAGCTAGCAGGTCTTGAAATACCTATTTTCCTAAAGCAGATATTGAAAGCCCAAATTTATTTTCATTGACATTTCCCAGGTGTTTTCCCAAATCCAAAGTTGCACAGAAGCATGAAGGAATACTGAATGGTTTCAACGGTGCTATATTAGGTTCTTTGCTGATTTTCATGAGCTATGTTTGGAAACACATTATTGTACAAAATATGTGGATCATTTTGTTACCAGTTGAATATTGCCATTTTAATTTGGTGTTATGATTGGTTATAGATGTTTTTCAAACCTTTCCTTTGAGAAAAAGGTAAAATACATTATTAGCCTACCTCCACTCAGGCCTCTTGCTGTATAATCACTTTTCCAGGTTATGATGTGCAGTTTCTAAAAACTACATGTACTATTATAATGTTCTTTCCCATAGACTCTTGTAATGTATTCAGAACCGAAAATTATAGCAAAAGAGCCAAGCAGTAGCATTGTTTATTTTGTAAATGTAAAAATAATTAGATGCAAACCTTGTTTCCTTATTCAATTTTAAAAATAAAAAATACCTCAGTGCTATGTTTTTCAGTATCACCTGCAGTTCTCAAAAAAAAAAAATTTAAGACCTGCTTTATGTGGCACATAACTTGTAAGAATCACACTATTTTGGATTTTAAAAGAGAGACTATTAAATATTTTAAAATCACTACCAGTGACATTTCCTTTCTTTTATTCAGCAGCAGAGTTCCCTGCAATAGTCGACACTACCTTGTGACCTGGTTGGAACCACCCTGTTCTACGAGTGCTCGCCTCCCCTTACATTCACCTGCTTGGGGCACCCCACCAAGCTAGGCCGCTAGTCCCACTCCCCCATCACTAGTCCTGGAGCCAGCGGTCTGATGTGGACCAGCTACTACCTGATAACTAACTTAAGTAACTGTCTTCCCTGTTCTCCAAGGAAAGGTCTCCCCTCCCTTGCTCTCTTGACAATCCTGAGGTGGTATTGGGACGCAAGCTGTGCAGAATGAAGGGGTCTTTCTGAAATTTCTTTATCCTAATTTGTAGACACTGTGCCGTTGTGGTAGAGAAGAATTTAGAAGCTTCATACTGGACTTTCTGTTCTGGGGGGGTGGGGCCGGGAGGGAATATGGGGCTACACCCACCAGTACTGGGGAGATTGAACCCAGGACTTATGCTCTAGCCCTTTCAGACACTTTTTAACTGATCCTCCACTTTAGATCCCTTTCTTCTGTAGACTCTTCGGGCTGGAGCGATAGCACAGCGGGTAGGGCGTTCGCCTTACACGCGGCCAACATGGCCGACCCGAGTTCGATTCCTCCGCCCCTCTCGGAGAGCCTGGCAAGCTACCGAGAGTATTCGATATGCCAGACACAGTAACAACAAAGTCTCCAATGGAGACGTTACTGGGCCCGCTCAAGCAAATCGACGATCAACAGGAGGGCCTTTACCTTTACCTTACCTTTACCTTCTGTAGACTCTTCAAATGACCAGAGGTAGTTTTTTAAGAATCTGAATTTTGGGAGTAGTTCAACAGCCCTGAAATGCTCTGGGTCTAGGACTGTATTTCACACAAGAAATGGCACCATTTCCACATCTGTCCTCTGGGCTAAAAGCTGTTCATGGCCAGTGCTGCTGCAGATGGCAACAGAAAAGACCCGGGTCACTCAGTCGGCTGGCCATGGTGAAATACACTAGTTGCAGAATCCACACTTAAACCCCCATGGAACCACGGTGATTCCATCTCTTTCTGTGAGCCCATGTTAAGAACCACCAGACACTCAATAAGGCTTAGCTCCTAATTTTGTAGAGCAACTTTAGAAACTGCCTATAAATACTTAGTACTATGATAAATAGTAACATTATGAACTTGTATAACACAAAAGGGAAAACAAGGCACTAGTGGTATCACTTTTATTTACATTGTATCTATGTTACATTGTTTATTCAATATAGAAAAAATATGAATACACTCATAGTATTCTAAATTTGGTAATTCCACATGGTCAAATATTGACTGTTTTTATATTGGGTTTCCTACCCAATTTGTCTTAAAAAGGAAAAATGGATCTGGCAAGTTATCTGCATCACATTATTGGATAGAACAGTAATACATTTCTCATTTTTGTTTTTTTTAAACAAAATTTTGAAAAAGACTTCCTGATTAAATTGCTGCTTACTGGCTCTAAGAAATGTTTAAAAGATCAAACTCATTTTCCTCTTAAGAACAACTCAAACATCTTAGAACACCTCTGTGACATAGGAAAAGAACCAAAGACCCTCAGAGGAGGCTTAGTGCCGGGAGAGAAAATCAGTGGTAGGACCCACACAGCGGCTCTGTACAACACACAAACCCCAAACAGAAAGAAAGAATAAACCAAACAACTACATTGGTATTATTTCTGCTGTGGAGGAAAAAAAAACCCACACTTAGGAGATCAGATTTCTCTTAAAAATCCATGTTGATAATAGAATCCATGATTATTTCCTTTGGACATAATACTTCCATTATAGGGGAATTCATAAATCAATACTACAAAATAACAGTATTTTCCATCAGTTTTAGTTATAATGCACATTATGTACATAAGGAGTTACCTATCAAACTAGATACAAATGAACAAACAGCTTGTTAAAAACCAGATTCAGGACTTATAAATAGTGCAGAAAATGCAAATGCCAAAAATATGATGCCTCCTATGATTGTCACTGTAAGAGAAGAGAAAAAGTAAAGACAAAATTAGTTTCATACTGTTACAATTATGAGCAAACTAAAATGATGCTCACTTTCCAATCTCATAAACTTTGAGAACACATCAGAAACAATTTAAAACTCCGTTTCTACAGCAAATACTGAATCGAAACATAATCTATCACTATTCCGGAAAATTGACCATTGAGTCTGCTGACAAGCAACAGCAGAACTATCACTCATCTTTATACCCAATTAATAATGAAAGAGAATCTCTGGCCAGCAGAGCCAGTCTGTTCTACTTCTTATAACAGACGCACAGGAAATTCCCAACAAAGTCAGCAAACACGGCCTGTACCCAGGATTCCCAATCTCATATCACACCTTTAAAGCCAAGATTTCTCCTTTGCACACGACAACTGACTAGGTATGTTTGTCCAGTGATGCCATTGGGACTCGGTTTCACTCACAGTGACACATGGACACAGGCCCATGTCTGTGGCTCTAGGGGAAGCTTGCCTTAGGAAAGTCACATTTGCTTCCAAAGTGAAACATCCTAATTCCATTTCTCATCTCAGTGATGCTAAGAGTTCAAATAAATGGCATTTCTTAGCAATCAAGGCAGACTTACCAGTTCTGACGGAGATTTTTTGTGCTATCATTCTCCCTCCAATTACTGCCAATCCGGTGCATAAGCAGTGTCCCACAGTTCCACCCACTGCAACGCCGTAGGGATCCTGGAAACAAGGGCCCCCGAGACTCATGTAAAACCAAGGCTGCCATTGCGCCGTGAGAAAGTAAGGACGGAGTCCTGGGAGCAGGACAGCGGAAGCTAAAGGCAACCTGGAAAGTGTAACAGCTGCTGGAGGGCGTACACACAGGGACCAAGCCGACCAGGACTAGACTGAAAGCGAGGACCCCCCTCCCCCCATCTGCAAGGTCCAACAGCCCTCCTGTAACCCTGTCCTCAGGAGTGGTGGGATGGACCTGCCACCAGCACCAGGGAAGACCTGCAGCAGGCGGCTCCTTCAGCCACTCTGACGGGGCTGCATGGAACTATGTCCGTCTGTCCACAGCCCTGCCACTGTCCTCTGTGTCAGGCTGCCAGCAAACCCGGGAGGCACAGCGCTCTGGGCTGTCACGGCCCGCACAGGAAGGGAAGGGCCCCGGAAGACAGTCTCAGCTAGCGGGTGACAGAACAGACCCAAGCTTCAAAAGTCTCATGCGGAGCAGGAAGCCGAGGGGAACCAGACTGAAGGAAGCGGGTGAGGAACCAAGCAGGTCTGGAGAGCGGGCAGACTGCGTGCGGGCAGAGGACACAGAGAGGGCACAGCTGACTGCAGCTGTGTGAGGAGGGTTAGGAAGTGGAAAGGGGGCCTGTTGCCAGAGTTGCTCACCAAAACCCGATCGATGGGCCAGGGTACTATCTCAACTAAGTTAGAAGGTCAGGAGAAAGGCACTGTGGCAGCAGTACAAGTTAAGACAAAGCTGAAAGACAGGGGCTGGAGCAATAGCACAGTGGGTAGGGCATTTGCCTTGCACGTGGCTGACCTGGGTTCAATTCCCAGCGATCCCATATGGTCCCCCGAGCACCGCCAGGAGTAATTCCTGAGTGCATGAGCCAGGAGTAACCCCTGTGCATTGCCAGGTGTGACCCAAAAAGAAAAAAAAAAAAAGCTGAAAGGCAGTTCGGGGATGAAACAGAATCACCCAGGATGCAGGACCCAGGATGCAGGAGGACGATGCCAACACACCCACAAAGAAAGCAGAAGGGGGCCCAGGAGCACAGCAAACTTAGGGGAGGGAGGAGGGTGCCCGGTGCAGGCTACGAGGAGCACGGGGTGAGTCGACTCTCCCCAAGAGGGTAGCACGCACCTCAGACAGCGCAGGGGGCAGGGGAGGAGAGGAAGGCAGACACCGGGCAGATGAGGGAGCCACGGGAGGGAAGGCTGGCCGATCTGGGCAGGGCAGTGGCAAGGAGGGGGTGGTTCCGAGGGCCACTGGCGGCCAGTGGAAACCGGGGGAAATGGGACACACTGACATCCACGCAGAAGAGGAGATGAGATGTAGGAATATAAAGACATTTAAATCGAGCTTATGACCCAAGTCCTGCCGCCCGACAGCGCGGAGTTTAACAGAGCGGTCGGAACTGAAAGCAAAAGGAGGGCGAGCAGTCCCATGGTGGAGTGCAGGGGGAGGGTGTGTGGGGTCACCTGCACAACGGGCCTCACACGGGCCGGGGAGATTCCGGCCAAGGCCACAACCCTCGCAGGCAGTGAGCACAGAATGTTGTGGGACTAGACTGTACCCCCTTCAAAGAACGAACAGCTCCGTGGGGGCAGAGGAGTTGGTTAATGCTCAAGGAACCCCGAGCCTGTCCTGGGGACTCTGGCAGCTGGGTCGAGCTCAGTGCTCCGCCCAAGGACGTGGTGCTGCTCAGGCCCTGCGGTGCCCGCTGGGAGCCCTGACTGGCTGGTGGGTGCTCGCGGTAGGAAGGTTCAGTATCATCGGAGTGATGTGGCACCCAGGGCCATGTGCCTTCTTAACCCAGCACCATTCTACACCTGCGCCCATGTTTTGGACCACCCTGGCATTAGCTCCACCCTGGCAGCGGAAGACACAGCTGTGCAAGGCAGATGCTCTACATCCTGTGTCCAAACCCAGGAGCCCCGCCCCTGCCCCTCAAGGAACTCGCCAGGAGACAGTTGGCCAGGCCCATGCGCCACCAAAGATCCAGTTGAGCCACTAAATGAAACAGGTCTGCCGCCATGAATGGTGCCAGGCAGCCACTGCAAACTTTCAAGGAAGGTCCAGCCTCTGGCCCACGCTGGAGGTGAGCGGTCAGAACCCCAAGGGGCCCCACCGAGAAGAGGCCAGTCAAGGGTGGCTGCAGGACAATCAATTCTGTGCCCATCTTTGGCAAGAAAGGTCCCAACACCAACTCGGAATTCCTTTGTAATGCCGGCTTTCTCCGATAGAGGTATTCAGTCCAGTCGCACATACAACACACAAGAACAGGCATCTGAATTTTTTGCTTCTTTTGGTTTTGGGGGTCACACTGGTAGTGCTCAGGGGAACCTCTCCTGGCTCTGTGTTCAGGGATCACTCCTAGTGCGGTCCAAGGGACCATATGTGGTGCCAGGGATCGAACCCAGGTTGACCATTTGCAAAAGAAGCACTGTACAGTTCTCCGGCCCCCTTGTCCCATGCAGAATTCTGGGCAAGGTGGTACAGGCCTGAGAGCTTGGTGCAGGGGGTCCAGAAATCAATTTTGGGGTACTACAAGGCATATGCCATGCCATGTGACCTATTTCCCCAAACCATTCTCTTTAAAGTAAATGACATGTAACAACGATGAACATGACATAGAGGAAGTGACTAGAATGACTCAGCTGGAATGTTTGTGCTTGCTCTAACCAGCCCCTTGCAGAAAAGTCACTCTCTCCCTCTGGGACTCGGCTTCTCTAAGCTGAGATAAGGCTCTAAGCCAACATCTAACAGTCTTTTTCCAGCCGACCACTCCAGGATTTAGCATTCTGGGGCTAACAAAACGTCTCATCGGGAACAGGGTGCCAGTATGTTCTGTAGCCCTGCTTGGAGGACTAAGTGCTGATCACATTTATTTCCACAGCCTTCTGCTAGCTGGAGAGTTAGCAGGGAACTACAGATGAGAATGACACGGAACCCTGTAAGGAACTGGGTGCATTTTCCTCTGCTCCACAGCTGAGCTCTTTCTAATCTCCCACTGAGTCGGATTCCATAAGTCCTTTCTGCTAACTCAATTACCTCTTCAGCATAGAGAATGTTTTACCCAAAGACGCTTTTCTAGATATACCTATTTATACTCTCAAGGAATACACAAAGAAGAATTCTAAGAGAAAATGACAACTGACACAGCATCATTCTGGGAAAAAAAAAAAAAACTGAGGGGACGAGGAGTGAGGAGAAGACAATAAGGTCTGGACACAAGAATCTGACCATACACGGGATCACAAGGGAACCAGAACCACGCTCACCCCACCCCAAGCCCCTGGGGTCTCCAAGTTCAGCGCCAGGAGTCAGTCTTGGTTCCCACACAGAAGCAACACCTCTCAACAGGAACTTACCTCCCGCGCTGCCAGAACAATCGTGGTCAGCTGGGAGCGGTCACCCCACTCCGCCAGGAACGTCAAAGTAAGCGCTTGAACGAAGATGGGCGAAATAAAATGCAGCCACTTTTTCTGAGGTATCGCTGTGCTTGCACCCGTTTCAACATCTCCAGGTCCATTTAGGAGTTTGGTGCGCTGAAACTACCAACAACAACAACAAAAACCAACAGGGCATGAATCCAGAGTTACAGCCCCAAGAAATCGAAATACCAAAAAAAAAAAGTTATTTCTTTTTTAGAGGCTGGAGCGATAGAATGGTGAGGAGGGCATGTGTCTTGCATGCAGCCAACCCAGGTTCGAACCCCAGGATCCCACATGGTCCCCGATCACTGCCAGAAGTAATTCCTGAGTAACCCCTGAGCATCGCCAGGTATGGCCCAATTTCCCCTACTGCCCCCCACCCCCCAAATAAAGTAATTTTTTAAGAAATGTTTAACTTCGATGGGATCTGCTTTAAGAAACTAAAGCCATAAGACTCCAAACTTCCCTTCTGAACCACTGGTCTCACAAGAGAAATAAATAATGCGTTCTCAATGTATTCTTCCACTCCTCGCTAACAAAATTACTCTCACACTATCAGCAGTAGGGTTGCTGAGGAAGGAACATACACGTACAACCACAGTTCCTGCCTTTCACACTCTGTCCAGCAGTGAAGAATCTGGAGACTACTTAGGCCAAGGTCCTTTCCAACCATCTTTCACCCAAACCTGGAGTCTTACACACAGCAAAGCCATCTCAGCTTTTTCTGTAGTTTCCACATAGCATATAGCAACACACACACACACACACACACACACACACACACACACACACACGTGCAACACACAGCAAAGCCACCTCGGCCTTTTCCGTATTTCCCACAGAGCAAGCACGCACACACTCACACCGCACGTGACCCAGGGTTTACTACTGTTCGAGTGCCTTGGTCAGGATATTTAACAGTGCCTGGACATACTTCTTCATCTTTTTTCTTCAGTTCTGCTTGAACTTCTTCCAGTTCCTCTTGACCCTCATCTGGACTCATCTTTAAGCCTTCTCGAAGCATTCTAATGCCAAATATGGCAAATAAAGCAGTCGAAACGTAGTATGTGTACACTCTGGGGATGACAGTGGTGGCATAGCCAAACAAAACTGCAAGAGAAGGCAGGAATGTATCCGGTTAGCAAGCAGATTAGCAAGTGCCTCAGAACCAAGGGAAGGATCCACATCTGGTTAGCCACATCTGGTTAGCAAGTGCCTCAGAACCAAGGGAAGGATCCGCATCTCACCACTGTTTCCGGTGCGGAAATGGTTCACTTTAAAGGCCAGTCTGGGCCTGGAGAGACCGTACAGGAGTTAAAGCACATGACCCGCACACGGCTGACCCAGGTTCAATCCCAAGCACTGTCTATGGTTTCCCAAGCACCGCCAGGAATGAGCCCTGAGCACAGCCAAGTGTGACCCCAAACAGCCCCTCCCCAAAGCTAATCTGGTACACAATGATCTCACAGAATTCCACTTCTTTTCTTCATCAATATTATGAGTGACGTCGGTCCTGCACACACATGCTGAGGGGCTGGCTCACACATGCCCGCAGGACACAAGCCTTTCACAGCTAAGGGAAATTTCTTCACACAGACAAGGTTCTCATATGGCATGATTCAAACTTTGCTCTTTTATGAATGTTTAAAGTATCTCTTATGAAAAAAAACTAATCATTGTGATATATATTTATAAAGTTACAAGAGACTGAAACTCAGTATCACTCTTTTCTATATGTAAGACAATAATATAAAAACTGTACTTCAAACTCTGTTTAGAGCCCAAATCCTAACTGAAACATCCACACCAATACCAATAAAACTGAAAAATGATGGGAAAGGGACCGAGGAGGTAGTTCAGAGGCTGGTGTACATGCCTTGCATGCATGAGGTCCCAAATTCAATCCCTGGCACCACTGTCCCCACTGGGCCTAGTCCTGGAGGCTCCTAGCACCTCTGACCAAGTAGCACCGCACTGCTGCCCACCCGGCCTTCAGCTCATCTCCACCAAGGGTTCTGCCTCTGTGCTGATGGTCACTAGGAGAGAAGATGAGGGCGACGAAGTCTGGAGTGGCGACGGTAATTTCATAAAATAAAAAAATTGGGAGTTTGCAGTCTCAATGGACTCTTTTTCAATAGCATCTGACACTAGGTCAGTATTTTACCCATTTTTGTTTTGGTTTTATATTTTATTTTTGCTAGGGGGCCACATCCAGCAGAGCTCAGGGCTCAGGGATCACGTCTGGCATGCTCGAGGGACCCTATGGGTATCTGTGTCAGCTGCATGCAAGGCATGAAAGAAACTGACAGCCTATGGAATGTGCAGCATCCACAAGGCACAGGAGAAACAAGGGTACCCCATGGAGTTACGCCTGACTCCTTCTTAAAACACTACGGCTGTGAAGCATCTAAGACCAGACTACGAGCACTTCAATCTAAAAGAGGCTGCAGACAGGTCAAAGGGCTGTAGCGCATGCTCTGAATATAAGAGCCCTGGGGGTCCAGCCCCCAGAACTGGTTGACCTGGTCACTGGGTGTGCCGCAAACGAGCAGACAGACTGCAAGTGGGTAAGGAGGGCAACGGGGCGAGGATCGGGAACGGCTCTCGTCCCTGCTGTCAGATGGCGGAGGTCACGGAAATTCCCCATAGAGAAGCAGAGGTAAAGTCTGGGTACAAACTCCGAAGCAGAGATAGACAGGAGAGGGGGGTGAGGCGTCTACAGAAACGCACAAAGGGCTCCAGGTGACCAGATTGTGAGAGAATCTACTTCCACAATCTACTTCCCAGCCTCACGCAGCTGGTCGGAAACTCGGCCTGAAAATGCTGTGACTGGACATCACTGCAGCTCCCATGGCAGCCCGCTTGATGGAAGGGCCTTTCACACAGCTTCCCGGGTGCACCAGCCACGGCAGGACCATCGAAGTCAGGGCCAGAAATTTAGTGTCTAAAATAAGGCATCACTAACCAGAGGTAACGCTTGGGTCTCCATCTCAGACAAATTCTGAAAACATCGTAGCATTGGAAAAAAGGACATTTTAGCCTCACCACACATGACAAATTTCTCTTAGAAATTCTGCCTGTCAGGGGCCAGAAAGATAGCAGGGCAGGTAGGGCGCTTGCCTTGCACACGGCCGATCTGGGTTCAAGCCCCTGCACACCATACGATCGCATAAGCACTGCCAGGAGTGATTCTTGAGTACAGAGCCAGGAGTAACCCCTGAGCATCACCAGGTAGAGCACACAAACAAACACAACATTTTTAAAGCATGTGCCATGATATAATTTCTATAAAGAAATCTATTACCTGAGAAAGTATATCGAAATTATCAGTATCTCGTACAATGCCTTTTTGAGGAGTTAACTTATTGTTTCCAATCCTCGGCTTTACAAGAAATCAACAGAAAGCCTGAGTAAGTTGTCAGCTGGGAAATCATTAAAGATGCTTTGATGATGGAGACTGTCTGTGAGCACAGAATTCAGCAGCTCAATTAACTGTGTACCAGGCTGGGACAAAAATGCCTCCCCACCTATTAAAGGGAATAAATGTCTCTATCCTAACGGTTGTACTGAAAAAAAGGAACAGAATCCATTCTAAACCATGGGAAGGGCAGGGTTCGCACTAGCCCCAGACTGAGAGTGGAGCCCCCCGCTGAGCCCATCTCCACGCCTAAGTATGAGGAACCAGCTCTCCCATTTGGAATCCCTGGCACCCATGTGTGTCCAAGCACCTCAATTCAAGTGTACAACCAAACGGTGCCTTGGCGCATTCAACATACCCAAATCGAGAGCTTGGGCACTCCTTAAACCAAGACACAAGCTTTCGGGTTAACCTCAATGTGAAAGTGGGTACACAGGATTTTTAACTCATGGAAGAGACAGGCAAGAATAGGTGTGGGCAAGGGGCTTTCCTGGCGGATCTGTTAGCTGCACGGGCAGCTCCAGGTGTGGGGCCTAGAGCAGCGCAAAGGAAGCTGCCTCAAGAGGCAGGGATCGACGCGGCAAGTCCCCAGGAAGACCGAGCAGAGCGAGAGGACAGCCTCAAGTTACACGGGAGCAGAAACATGAGCACGGGACAGGAGGCAAGGCCTGGCCGTGCTGCAGCTGACCCTGCACTGACCGCCGGCACCACATACGGTGCCGAGCACAGCCCCCCACCCAACCCCCAAAGAAGCTGTTAAGTAATAATAACGAAAGTACGGAAGGCTGTAACGAGCACAAAGAAACAGGGTTCTCTGGTAAGACTCAGATCCATCCCCAACCCACGCCTAACAAGTGACTTCCCCACGTGCAACCTTCCCTAAAATCAGAAATTCTTGAGAACTGTTTGTATTATGAAATGTGAACGTGGCAACACAGTAACAGCCAAATGTAAAAAAAATGATCAAATTATTTTAGTCGGTAAAATACACACTTCTTTTTTTAACCGGGTGTCATGATTTACAATAGTAGCACTATTAATGTCCTAGGCAACACGTCATTGTACCACACCCACCGGAGTGCCAAGATTATGTTTGAAAAGACGAATTTTACCCAGCATCCAGGAGGCCAGAAATAGAACTGTTCTGTGCTTTCAGAACTGAGTTTGAAAAATCTACAGGCTCGAAATAGATCTCATTTAACATGGACCACAACCCTATGAGATACATAGATACTATTTTTATTCTTTTTTACCATAATGGGTAAGAAAAACTTAACGTGCTATATTGAAGGGGACTCTCCAGTTGTTATCAAATGTCCTGCAACAGGGAAATAAGTAATTCTCTGGAGTTGCAGGGGCCTATTTCTGGGAGAGCAGATGTAAAATAAGGTGGTGGGCGGGGGAGAAAGAGGGAAGAACAAGACAGACAGACAGACAGAGAGGAGAGAGAGAAGTGTCTGCCATAGGGGCAGGATGGGATGGGAGGGGTTGGGGGTAGGTGGGCGGGAAACTGGGGACACTGGTGCTGGGAGATTACAGTGGTGGAGGGATGGGTGCTGGAACACTGTATAACTGAAACCCAATCATGAACAGCTTTGTAATGCTCCATCTCACAGTGATTCAATACAGATAAAATAAGCTTATCTGGATGGAAAAGGAAAAAGCTAGAAAGTCAGCAAAAACGAGGACGTTAAAATAGGAGTATATGTGGAGCATGTATCTTGCCTGGGAAGAGCTGAAGACTTTCAGAGGGCGACCTAGCCTTCGGGACCCCAAGCAGGTCCCTGCCTCCTGGAATGTAGGAGAGCTGTGCAGGCGAGTCGGCGCTGAGCCCCGGGCTCCCTCTCCGGGTCCCCCCTCTCACTCACCTGACAAGCAGGTCATCAGGCCCAGGGCCAGCATGGCTCCCGCCAGCACGGTGAGCCGGTTGTAGCGCATGGCCATGATGGCTGCGATGAAAAACGTCTTGTCACCGAGCTCCGAGACGATGATAACTGATATGGCCGCGACGAACGCATGGATGAAGCCCAGATTCGTTTGGGAGGCTGACTCTTCTTTATTGGGATGAACCGGGGCGGCCGCTGTAAGTCCTTTCTGCAATAAAAAAATAAGCATCAGCTACCTGGAGGGAAAACACAACTTTTTATTAGCCTTGTGGGGGTGAGGGGGTGGCCCGCCCGGCTATGCTCGGGACTTCCTCCTAGCTCCATGCTCAGGGGACCATATGCAGTGTCAGGATCAAACTGGGGCTGGACACAGCAAGGCAAATGCCTGAACCCCGGACTATTTCTCCAGCCCAAGAATATAAATCTTTAGATTTTGCATTAGCTATCTGGCAGGGGAGGTGGGGGGAGGGGCAGTGCGTGGGGTCATTAGACTTTCATTCGATCTACTATCTACATCACTTTGAAAGTCATGAATATGGAGAGCAATGTCAAGATGCAAATCCAAGATTTCTGCAGTCAGATTTTCAGAGTAAAGACCGGCAATATCACTCATTTAAATTAAACACGTTTTCTAAGTATCTGTGACCTATGCTTTCTTTTCTTTTTTTTTTTTTTTGTTTTATTAGTGAAACACCATGAGGTACAGTTGTAGACTTACAAGTTGTTGTGCTTGGGTTTCAGTTTTACAATGATCTGGTACCCATCCCACCACCAGTGCCCATTCTCCACCCTCACCAATCCCAGTATCCCTCCCACCCCCCCATCCCTCATCCCCCCTGCCTCTGTGGCAGGGCACTCCCTTTTGCTCTCTCTTTCCTTTCCGGTGCTGTGGTTTCCTATGCTTTGATTCTTATCTGCCTCGGTCGAACTTTTATTCTTAACCTGGGCAGGAGACCTAGGTAGGTTTATCAAACATTCAAGAGACAGGGGACTGAGGGAAATCTCAGTGCTTCACTGGATAAAACAGACCCCAGAAAGCTCTCCAGGGGCTGAAGCAAAACGATGGTCCTTGCCAAGATTTCATTTAGAGGCATAGATGGACAGTCCCACATGCAGCTCTAAAACTATTCTCACAAGGTAAAAAAAAAAAAAAAAAGCCAGGAACAAAAGGCAAACTAGAAAGGGGGGAAAGGGGGAAGCCAGTGGACAAAGTGGCCAAGCTCCACATGGTCAGAGGCACCAGGGAGAGACCGGGGCAAGCACAGTCCCAGCACTGCTCAGCCCTTCCCTGAGGCCCTGCGCTCCTGAGGTCTCAACCAGAGGAACTGACCTGCACATCACCGCAGTACCAAGACTCATTCGGAAACAAAGGCTGCTGGGCTGGGACCAGGGGGGCGTGGCTCTGTGGCAGGACATAGGCCACAGTTCAGGACAGACCCCATCACTCACAACCAGAGACAACGAAAAGGCTCCTTTCTCTCCTAACCCCCTGCATGCACCAAGCCTAACAAGACCAGGAAGGATTTTCTTTCCTAACCCGTTTTCTTCTTAGACATACCGTTTACAGGAGAAATTCTGACTGAAATTTCAGGATTAAAAACTCCAGAAAAAATATTAGCCGTAAATTCCATCACTGCTGACTAATTAACCTCAACTTCAGACACAGCTGTCAGTGTGGACACTGAGTCAAACATGTGCTCAGAAGAACAGACGTGCCACCTGCGGAACAACCTGGCCAAGGAGGGGAAGAGTCTGCTCATTTCAGAAGGTCCCGGGAAGTCTCAGGCCCAACTCATGTGTGGAGTGGCTAACTGGGATACACACCAAGGGCTGGGCAGACAGTACTGCTGGGCAGGTGCTTGCCTTGCACAGAGCCAGCCTGGACACCCCATACAGTTCCCCCAAGCACCACCAGGAGTGATCCCTGAGTACCACTGGGCCCAAGGATCAAAGAAGACAAAGAAAGAAAATGCATTCGCTTCCTTCCCTAACTACTAATTAGAGGAGAGAGGAAAACTGATGAGGACTGATTAGGCCCAAACTGAAAATCCTCGGATTGAGGGACCAGCTTGAGGCTCTGAAACTGTTGGTTCTGTGAGCTGCAAGCCCCAAACATGATTAAAGGCACTGAAGAACAGATCAGGGTAGAAAGCAAAGAAAACCAGCAGCGGATCAATTCATTAGGTGGAGAGCTGCTGAAGATCAATGTGAAAACAAAATAGAGACCGCCAGAACTCAGTATAAGGGATAAAAAGGAACTTCAAATGGGGAGATCAAAGACAGCACTTGTACACCTGCTTGACTGCAAAACCTATTCCTACTGCTACAAGGCATGGGGGCGGGGGGTGGGGGGAGGGAAGGGAAGACATCTGGTCTCAGTCATGCTCAAGTGAAGTGAAAATCCTTCCAAAAGGAAGGTTTCCAAGAAGTCCCAGGAACGGAGGGATACAAACTCCATGTGTGGCCTTGAGTATTTGTGCCAAGAGCTGGACACTGAATGGATGAGGAGGTGAGACGTAGAGACCAGGATGCAACATCAGCGAGCAAGAAGGCGGCACTGCAGGACGGAGGGGAAGGCAGGAAGAAAAGACCAACGGGTGTGGCAGCGGGTCAGCACAGATGGTGGAATCAGGGACCACCGTCCTTCATGAGCTACTGACTCGATGCGACGTGCTTTCACAAACACTGTACTGTCGCCTCGACTAACAAGAGCCGAAAATCAAAATGGTCAGATTTCCCCTGAATTCAAACAGCCAAGGCAGAGTAGATAGGATTCCAAAGAGTACAGGGCTGGAGGAATAAAACAGGGGTGACAAGGTTGGCGGCGGGGGGGGGGGGGGGGGGGGGACATGCCTCAATGAGGCCTTGTCCCAGCTCCAAAAGATCCCCTGAGCATGGCGACGTGCCAGAGAACACAGACCCCAAGAGGCCCCATATCCCTGGATCCTAGACTTGAACTACCAGACCAGCTGGCTGGGAGTCACTGGGAAGGGCCCCAGTCTCTCCAACACCAAGTGAAAGCAACCTCCCTCCCCCACCTTAAAAAAGAGAAGTGTCAAGTCAAAACTGATTCAGCAACTGTATTTCAGGACATCTTTCAAGGAGTGGCTCTTCAACTGAAAACACAGGGACTCAAGTCAAATAATGAAGGTCGAAACCAAAGTGAAAAAGTAATTCCCGTGGTTAGAAGTCAGAACAACACTGAACAGAACTGGACACAATCAGGCAGAATTCAGGGTCCCTCTCCCTAGGCCTCAACCCCCCACCAACTAAGAGAAACCGTGGGAGCTTCATCAGTTCCTATACACAGGAAGGATCTGAGTGAGGAAGGCAAGAACTGACACAATGACACAAGAATGTGAAGGATGAAAAGGCGTCCAGGATGCATCCGGAGTCTGCCCTATGCAAGGCAAGCATGCGAACCTCTGTATTAAGGTGTATTTAATATACATGAGCCCCGAAAGTGTATGTCTCTTGCCCAGTGAATATATTTTGGTCAGCTGGGTGCTACTCTTCTGAGTGGTCGTGGTACACGGAGATATGGGAAATGAAGCCCAGGGTCTCTCACAAGGCCTGTGTTCCACCGTCTGAGCCAAATCCCCAGTCCAATAAATCCATTTTTAGTTTATTTGATTTTGGGGTCACACCCAGCCGTTCTCAGGGGACCATATGGGGTGCCAGGGATCCCACTGTTCTATCCCTCTGGCCCCTTATTTTTAATGAACGTTTTTATTTTGGTTTACGAGCCATGCCAAGTCTCGATCTTAGCTGTCAAGAAGCCTGAATTGGGAGGCTGAGATTAGATGAAGGTGAAAAACAGTTCAATTTGTGTGAAAGGTGTTCTCGGTTTCAAATAAGCACCAAGAAACAGTTCAGCAGAAACACAATGAAGAAGGGTGTGTGCTGGGCTCAGAGGCAGACCTTTGGGACTGATCACTGTTATTCAGCCTGAGTGGATAGCAGAGCACGGGGCAATTATAAATCCATCTCATGTCGTAAGGGACTGCAGGCTGTCACTAGAAGCATCAAAGTGATCATCGCCATTTTTCATGGGTTTGTCAAGTGGGGTTCCTTTATTCTTGGGGAGCTAAGAACTAAATTCACACACTCTAAGACTCTGGATGCTAGCTGAGACACATTCTTGGCCCCAGTTGGTTCAGTCTTTCTCGGTATTGTGAGACTGAGATCCCACGAACATAAGACATGAACTCAACTTTTCAACCACATTCCCAGCCTGGCTGGCCCTGACATTAATTTGAACTGTAAGTCAAGAATCACCGCTACTTAAAAAAAAAAAAATTATAAAGGGAGAAAATATATCCAATGTAGAACATCCTCTCAAAAGGTTTCTTATTTTGGACCAGGGAGCTAGGACACAGATAGGTCACGTGAATTGCACGTGGCCGACCAGGGTTAGGTCTCCCCATTCTACATAAGATCCCACCAGGAGTGATCCCTGGGTAGCGGCAGAAGCAAGCCCTGAGAAATGATGGCTATAGTCCCAAAACAAAACAAAAAATGTACCTCAAAGAATCCTGAAAGTAGGGGCTGGAGCGATAGCACAGTGGGTAGGGCATTTGCCTTGCACGCGGCCGACCTGAGTTCAATTCCCAGCATCCCATATGGTCCCCTGAGCACCGCCAGGAGTAATTCCTGAGTGCATGAGCCAGGAGTGAGCCAGGAGTAAGCCCTGTGCATTGCCAGGTGTGACCCCCCGAATAAAAAGCAAAAAAAAAAGAAGTATCCTGAAAGTATACACCTACATTTTTATAACCTATTTCATGTTGGAAAACTAACTGTGGGAGATTTTTTTTCCCCCTTCCATTTCCAGACCTCACTTCCACAAAGCCGCCTCAAAGGGGTCGACTTAAACACCCAACCCTTTCAAAACATGCTCTTATAGCGCGTACCCGCAAACAGCTGAAACTCAAGTCTCCAGCAAAGTTGAACCCTTGCTTACACAGCCATTAACTTGAACTTTGGCCATTTCTTACTTCCACCAAGTGGACAAAAAGGCAAAGGATACTGATGTTACATAGTTTAGAAAAGGTGTGAAAGAAAACCTGTTTAATATACTGTAATGCTGTAGTCAGTAAAGGAAAAATAGTTGATACAAAAAAACCAATAAAGTATAATCAAGACAAATAGAGCAAACTACAATACAGAATCAAGTGTTGAAGCACCACTACTAATAACATATTAAAATACTTAAGACAAAAATCCTATTGTATGCCTGCCTTTTCCCTCCACAGCCCAATTTTAAAGACAAGGGATGAATACTTAAGACCACTTAAATATGGTCACTGGAAACTATTACTTTTACTTTTTACACAACTAGACTCTTTCTTGTACCTGAATTTTTAAAAAGGGCACTTATTAATAGCTGAACCTACCAATATCTGTATCTCAAAAATCCCCACTCAGATAAAACTGGTGATGGGCCAGGAATTTATAACCTATCTCGGCTTCTCCAAGTTCTGATTCCCCTGTCTTCAAAAGTTAACTTTTTTAAAAGAAAACTTTGGTGAGTTGAAAGATGGAAGGTTACAGATGACCGACCCACTGCAGTTGGACAGGACTGGCGATGATTGAGTGACAGGTAGGGGTGACTGTTCAGTATGTGCTGGCTGGGGAAAGGTAGGCAGGGTCCTGAAAGTCCCCGGAAGTCCTTTGTTGGCCAGAGGCCGAGCACATGGCAGGGGTCCAGGGATCCCAGACCACCGAGGGGGGGGAGTGGGGAGCTGGTTGAAAAGCCTGCTGGAGGTTGACAGTAAACAGAGGGTGAGGCCTCAACACGCTGCTGCAGGGGCTGGGCTGGAGTCACTGGCAGGGACCAGCTCGCAGATCATGATTACCCGGAAAGAGGGGTCGTTGAAGTGGGGCACCGCAGCTGGTGGCCCCGGATGGAAAGAACAGCCGCCGCGCCCCACGTGGACACGTCCAGAGGGGGCCCAGACTCAGGTGCCCGCGTGGGAAACTCGGATTTAAAAGCCCAGGACAGGCGGCGGGCAGCAAGTTTCAACTGCGACCGCCAAGTTTGCACGCAAGTGACTATGTGATGCTGCTATGGAACATAAAAATGAAGGCTGTTGGCTTCTATTTCCCCCCCCACGCCCCCCACCAGCGACGGCCCAAACGGAACACAGGAGCCTGGCACACTTGAATCAATTTTAGTCTGGGGCATGCCCATATGTCTGCAACGACTCGGTCCGGTCAAAGACAGGAGAGCCTTCCACGCGTTTTGAAGGGCTACGACCGGCAAGCCCAAGCACGTTTGCAAAAAGAAAGAGAGAGAGAGAGACACCGTTTTATGAGGCATCTATTATTTGTCCAAAAATCATAAAAAATAATAATAATCCTAATCACAGTCATAAATCACAGGTCGTGCTGATCTGGCGGCGCGCGGGTTGGGACGGACGAGGTGGCCACAATGTAACCCATCCCCCGAGAATGCGGACAGGCTCCCCCCCACCCCCCAGCTCAGGCCAACTTTCTACTGGGGTCCCCAGGAGTTCAGATCTCCTGCGAGACCCCCTCGCACGGGTCCAAGCGTCCTCCGCAGCCTCGCCCGGCCGGAGACCCGCAGAAAGCCCAGGCGGGGCCGCCCGCCGGGCTCGGCCGGCTCTGCCCCTCCCCTCCCCTCCCCTCCCCCCCCTCCCCGGGAGCCGGGGCGAGGCCAGGCCCGCGCGGGAGGGGGGCGCCCGCCCCGCCGGCTCCGCTCCCCTCCCCCCCCCGCTCACCTCGGCCCTGGCGGGCTCCGGGCCCTGCACCGCGGGCTGCGGCTGCAGCTGCTGCGCCGGCGCTTCCTGGTTACGGAGGCCCGGATCTTCCTCGGGGGCGGCCCGCAGCACGGCCGGGGCCCACAGCAGCAGCAGCAGCACCAGCAGTGGCAGCGGCAGCGACAGCGGCGGCCGCGGCGACAGCGACAGCAGCCGCGGCGGCCGGAGCGCAGATGCCGCCGCCATCCGGCCCGCCGACACGGGCCCCCGCAGGGGCAAACGCGGCCCCGGAAGCCTCCGCCGCAGCCGCGTCCGCCGCGCGTCCGTCACGCCCGGCGAGGGGCCGGCAGCATGCGGCCAGGGCCAGGGGCGGGTGTCCCTACGGCCGCCGCCGGCGCCGTGTCCCTTCTTCCCGCGGTGGCCGCCCGACTCCGCCAACCGCCCGGCCGCGGCCCCGCCCCGCCCCGCCCCGCCGCCCGGCCCCGCCCCCCGGCGCGCGAGGCGGCCTCCCATTGGCCCGCCGTCCGCCTCGGCGTCGTGACGTCCCCGGCAGGTTAAGGAGCGGCTCGAGCGCGCCTCCCATTGGCCCGCGGGCTCGGGGCAGGTACCCGGCGCCCGGTGACCTTGTTTCTGCATCCCTGTGGGCTCCCAGCGCATCCCGGACCCATCCTCTGGCCTCTCCCTCGCTGTCGCTCTCTCTCCCCCACCGCCCCAGAACTGCAAAAACTCTCGGCTTTGCTAAACCCCCCTATTTCCAGACCGACTTCCTCTCTCTCTCTCTCTTCACCTCTCGCTTCTGTGCACCTTTCCCAGGCGTCCCATTCGTCGGAGCGGCCGGGTGACGTGGCACTGGCTGCTGGAAACGCCACACCTAAACCAGTTCCGCGCTCCTGCACCCATGCCCCCGGCCGCTTCCACGCGGCGATCTGCAGCGAGGTACGCTCTTTGAAGGGTCAAGATGTGGTTCTTTGCAGGAGACCTCTGAACTTTGGAAATGAGTGGTGGAAAATGCCAAAGCCTGTATTTGTATTAGACATATGCTGTTTGCCTCTGATCACCCCACGCTGTCACATACACATACACAAAATGTGTCATATGGTTCTTTGTCCTTGGCACGCCTTTCCGTTTGGAGTGTTTTGTGCTGCGCCCCTTGACTCATCTTCTTTAAAGGTTTAACTTTTGGGGCTTTTTTGTTTTTTATCTTTTTAATTTTATCAAATCACCATGAGATAATTATAAGCTTTCATGTTTGAGTTACAATCACACAGTGATCAAACACCCATCCCTCCACCAGTGCACATTCCCCACTACCAATATCCCCAGTATAACCCCCCTTTCCCACCCTCCCTCTGACTCCATGGCAGACATGATTCTCTATATTCTCTCTTTACTTTTGGGCTTTGCTTTGCTCTATAGCTACTGAGAGTTCATCATGTTTGGTCCTTTATCTACTTTCTGCACACAGCTCCCATCCCGACCGATTCCTCCAGCCATCTTTTTCTTTGCCAAACACCGTAACAAGTGTCACAGTGGAGACGTTACTGGGCCCGCTTGAGCAAATTGATGAACAAGGGAGGACAGTGACAGTGACATCTTTTTCTTAGTGATCCCTTGTCTATTCCAGCTGCCTTCTCCCCTTTGCTCATGAGCAATCTACCTGTCCCGTGTATCTACTATCCTTGGGTGTCAGCCTCATGTTATGTTGTTTTACACTCCACAAATGAGTGCAGTCCTTCTATCTGTCCCTCTCCGACTCATTTCACTTTAGCATGTTACTCTCCATGTCTATCCATTTATAAGCAAAGTTCATGACTTCATCTCTCCTGACAGCTGCATAGTGTTCCATTGTGTAGATGTACCAAAGTTTCTTTAAAAGGTTTTACTTTTGAAATGGAGTGTTTGGGACGGTTGCAGGTGGAGACTGGTTTGGGCTGGAGAAGAAAACAGGAACAGATGGTTAATATACTTGAATATATTTTTCATCTTATTTTTGTAAAAGTTGAGCTATATAGGTATCAGAACTTAGACTAAGAATGTGCTAACCATGTGCTGGGTACTATACTAAATGCTCATGTTTGCATTTATTAAACGTATTTTGTAAACAGAAAGCAAGGTTGGTACTAAATACTGGAACATGGTAGGAGACCACCAGAACTAACGATTACTTTGCATTTCCTGTAGTTGCCAGAACAATAAAGTTTTTGCCTTGCTTTTTATTTATTTGTTTTTGTTTTGTTTTTTTTTCTTGGGGACCACACCCTACGATGCTCAGGGTCTAGTCCTGACTCTGTGCTCAGGGACCACTCCTGGAGGGACTTAGGGAACCATATGGGATGCCTGGGATCAAACCTGGTTTGGCATTGTGTGAGGTCAACACCCTACCCACTGTACTATCTTTCCAGCCTCTTTTCTTTTTTTTTAATGAATCTCACTCATTGTAAACTCCTCCTACTTCTGAAACCTGTTCAAGCAGGACATCTCAGAAGTTCTATCACAACGGCCCAGCACATCCCTTCCAGGATTCATCTCCTGGCTCCAACGTTACGGTTTGTGTTTGAATTTGAGTCAGGAGCCAGGATGCCTCCCGTAGTTAGAAGGTGTGAGACTCCTACCTCCCAGTTCATCTCTAGTGTGCTAACGTTGGAGGTCTCAGAGATGGTGACTGGAAAACCCACAAGTCCAGATCCTCCCCCACTCCCGCTCCCTTCCCTCCTGCAGACACAAGTCCCTGTGTTTGGAGGGACTGAGGAAATGAGGACTAAGACAGAAGGGTGAAGCCCAAGTATTATGTGTCCCTGATTCCTGGAAGGCACTTGGTTTATTTTCTGGTGTGGGCTGGTCACCCTCCCTCCCCCCACACATACACAGGAAACCTAGTGCTCCCTAACAGGAAGTGCTCCTGGTCAAGTCCCCAGTCACCTCTGCAGAGGCCTTGAGAGCCTGTGAATGCTGTAAGTGCTAAAGACAGTAACAACATTGCCCCAGGGCAGTTGCAGAGGCCTGGGCCAGAACCTGCCCAGAGGCACCCAGATCAAGGGCCCTGCAGGCTCTGACAGTCCAGACCCAGGTATGAGATTCCAAAACAAACAGTTCTTTCTCTTACCACACACCAGGTTCCAAGCTCTTCTAGAAATCATGCAGGCTGCTTCTAGCTTTCCCTGCCTTGAGGATTTAGAGCTATCCTTTGGTTTGGTTTTTATTTTTTTTTGGGGGGGGGGGGTGGTTATGAGTAAGGACACATTTAGGACCACACCAAGGAATGCTCGGGGGCTATTCCTAGCTCTCTGCTCAGGAGTGACTCACGGTGGTGCTCGAGAGCCCTTAAGCAATGCTGAGGATGAAACCAGGGTTGGTCACAAGCAGGGTAAGCGTCTTCACCCCTGGACTGTCTCACAGACCTGCTTCATCCATCTGTTCCTCCCTAGTGACTCCCTTCAAAAAAAAGAAACAAGGGCCTGAGAGATAGTACAGCAGGTGAGGTGCTAACCTTGCATGCAGCTGACCTGGATTCAATTCCTGCCGTCCCATGGGTCCCCCGAATGCAGCCAGGAGTGATTCCTGAGTGCTGTGCCAAAACCCCTGAGCATCACGGGTGTGGTTCCAAACCCAAATAAGTAAATAAATAATTTAAAAAGAAATAAAACATAGGTTTCCTGTCTCATTGAGCAATTGAAGCTACCTACTTACCCACTACAACTGTGGGAGCCCCACTTCATGTACCAAACTCACACCAGGCAGCACTGTTGTTTGTGATGTCTGGGCCACATCCAAGTGTGTCTACTCAGGTAGAATGCACCGAAGTGTGTGAACATCACAAAGTGTGTGGGGGGGTGTGAGGGGGTGTTTGGTTGTTTGTTTGGTTGGTTGGTTGGTTGGTTGGTTTGGGGGCCACTCCTGGTGGTGTGCTAAGGGCTTACTCCTGGCTTGGTACTCAGGGATCACTCCTGGCAGGCTTGGGGGGGACCATATGTGGTGCAGGGGATTCAACCTGGGTCAGCTGCATGCACGGCAAGCTCCTGCTCGCTGTACTATTGATCCATCTTAGTTTCTTCTTTAATTCCCCTCCCTTCTCCCATTTTTTTGCTGCTGTTGTACTGAATGGGAGCCACACACGTACTCAGTTGTGGTGCTTCACACCCCCAGCTGTGGCATGCCAAAGATGTATGTCAAAGTCCCAAACATCAAAGCACCGTGGAGTACATGTAAGCAGTTCCAGGAACCAAATCCATGGCCTCACACTTACATCACAGGCGCTGATGCTACCGCGGTATCCTCACCTCACACCCCATGAAAACTTTCCCTTTTTATCCTGGCCTATACAAATATTGTTTCGTGAAAAGGTGAGAGTATCGGTGTGGTTTCTTCTGCTAAGAAATTGATAATACTGTATAAGTATTACACTGGGCTCTGTTGGGGTTGTTTTTTGGTTTTATGTCCCAGTAGTGCTCAAAGGATACTTCCCGTTTTGTGCTTGGAGGATGTTCAGGAGATTATCCAGTGCCGGGGTCAAATCAAACCTGGTCTCCCAAATACAACATGCATTCAGACCAATTGTAGTTTAATATTTTTATTCCTATAGCCCTTCCCCCCTCAATGAACCTTAAGCTTTCAGAAGACATGCTTCCGTTTTCTATGTTTATATCCCCAGCATCTAGTGGATAACCACACACAGTAACAGTATAGGCGGCATTACAGGTAGCAGTCGGTCTTTATCAAATTCTGGATTAATCCAATAGCTCTCTGAATATGTTACCTGAACATTCTCAAAAGGCAGGCAGGCAGTATTATCCTGATTTTAACCTGAAAAAATGTGAGACTTAGCTCAACTAACTTGCCCAAAGTCATTCAGTAAATGATCATTTATGCTTGAGATATCTGTTTGTTGAGTTTCACCATACTCCACTTACTGGAAATCCAAAATCTAACCTCCACCAGTGAATAAATAGAGAACCGTATCACTACCAGTGTGAGTGAGCCCTTTCTTCGCTCTAGATTCCAGGGGGAGAACTGTTCCTCACTTCTGCCTCTCAATCACTTTCCATCTGGTGAGAGAGAGGGCATTTAGGCTTGGTCAGTGGGCTCAGTTCTGAAAATGTTTACTTCTAGGGAGGCGCAGCACCCAGGATGCAAAAGCACAGCAGGTGGTCTCTGCCCACCCCACCCCGACCCCACCTGCTTCAGGGGAGACTCATTATAAAATTCGTTAAAAACCCAGCACAGCATGCCGGAGTCTCACTGCTTTCTTCCACAATGTTTTAGAAATAGGGAAGAAGTGATTTATTTTCCTTTTAGGGAGATGGGGATCAGTGGGGCTCAGGGACTATTTTGTGGGGATCAAACCCAGGTCTAGTGCAAGTGAGACAAAAGTCCTACCCATTGTGCTATTCACCTATCCCTGTTTCTTGCTTTCTTAGAGACTTTTTGTGAGACAGGAGAATGGCCCCTAAAAATAT